ATCCTTGCTGCTGTTGCTAAAGCTATCAGGAACAGCGTCTTCTGCGTCAAGAACTCAAATGATGTTCTTTGTGATGGTTCGTAGATGTCACTAGTGAGATGTCGTAGAACTACGTTGAGGTCCCACGTCAGAGTTTTAAATCTCTGTTGTTGGTCCTCCAATTAAAAGGGCGTAGTAAGGCCAGTAACTCTGGTACTTTCGTCAGTTGCACTCGTCCTCATAGCGATAACTGAGCTCAATGGCGCTAGGTATGTTGAGAGTGTTGACCCTTTTAACCGCTTCGTTTGTCTAGGTGACAAAGGTAGTCCGCCACTTGAGGATGTGTCACTTTCATGGCTGTGAAGCCGGTCCTCGAAGCGTATGTCTCGAAGTTTCGCCACTTGTCATCGTACAAGTTGTGTAGACTTGCGTAAAGCTAGTGTGACTGCTTTCGCTGCCCTGGCGGAATATCCTCTCTTGTTCAAGCATGCCTTGATACAGTCCACACGTGTAGCCGGAACACCTCTGGGTTGCCGTGCGCCTTCTTTGTGTGAGGATGTACTAGTAGATTCGTCCAATCTGGTAGTTGCAGTTGAGGCAGTCCTAGGTCTTGTATGAGAATAGGGAACCATATTCTCGCTGGCCAGTAAGACGCCCCTCAAGTAGTTGTAGGTCTCTGACTGATTTTCTGCAACACCCTCGGTATTAGAGCTGGTGGTGGAAACGCTTAAGCGTTTAGTCCTTGCCAGGAGATGCTTAGCGTGTCCGTTGCCCATGCCCGTGGATCTGGTATTGGTGAGACGAAAGTTCTCAGTTGACCTTTGTGGCGAAGAGGTCTATTAATGGTGCTCCCATCTCTCGTATGATCTGTTTGAAGATCTCTGGATGTAGCATCCAGTCTGTTGAGAATGGCTGCGTTGGACAGGATAGTGCATCTTGGCTCTTAGAATGTGGCATGCTCTGATGTGGACATTCAGGTTGACTGTTATGCTAGCCAGTGGAAAGCAGAGGTCCAGATGGTTCGCCGACCTTGTTGATCCTTCTGTGGATGTAGAACGCCACTGAGGAGGTGACTGTATGTACCGTCAGATGAGCATTCTACAAAATGCTGGTCCAGTGGAGTATGGCGTTTATCACTGCTTTCATTCCCAGCATGTGGAAGTGCAGATCTTCTCTGCTCTGGTCTATATCCCAGCTGACACATCGTTGTCGAGGTGTGCTCCCCAATCTTGGAGAGATGCGTCCACATAGAAATGCGTCTTATACTCCGGCTCTGCTAAATTGGTGCGTCTGCGACCCACCGATCTCTGAGTCCACCATATTAGATATGGATTTAATCTGTCCGGGAGTCCGAAGGGGTCCGGATCATCCAGTCATACATTCGCGAAGACCTGTAGTGGGTGTAGTGGTAGACTCCCTCTGTGTATCATGTCTTGTGCTGACGTGAGAAGAACCAACAGACTCTGCCACTTCGTAGTAATAACGGAGAGCGCAGTGCTTGAGATACAAGGACTTGTATCTATATCCTACGATCTTGAAACCCTTGCCGTGTCCGTAAGGGAAATGAAGCGATGTCCAGCTCCGTGACTGCCATCGGTGTGAAGTCTATATAAAGTCGTCTGGCTTCCGACACCCACGCCTGTCCAACGTATATTACTGCAATTCGTTTGATGAATTGCTGCAATGATGACAGGGAAGGTCTCTTACCTCGTGAAGACAGCCAAATCACGTAGGTCCCGCCTAACTGCACTGTAATTGAGGCCTTCCTCTCTCGCTGACAGGTTGTTGTCACGTGTAACCCACTTCTTGACCTGTGAACTACAGCCGACCTCTGCGCAGGGCGTTGTCTCTCGTGGTCCAATCAAAATAAAGCATTTTGATTCCTTTGGCTTGCTGTGTTGTGACGTCACCGGTGTAGCAGGAAAAAGATCCTTGTAGAATCTAGTGCCGCCGTTAATATCTGATCACCTCTCGGTCTTGTCCGTAGCCTTCCGGAGTTACACGAGTGACCACCTGTATCAAGGGTTGAATGGTAAAAGCGCGAAATATTTCGCCGCGTAATACCGATGTAGGTAGGCTGTTTTCCTGGCTGCTGTGACTGTTACTTCAGTTCTGAAGATAATGTCGTCGCCCTTTATACAGATGATCAGCTGAAATCTGCACGTTGTAAGTGCTGCTTTTGTAGACTGCATACATCTATCTCAATGAAGCGTCGTAATTGTAGAATTAATGCTGAACTTTGTTGGAAATTCTACTCAGGGAATCGTTGACGAGTATGTAGTTACCTAGCCTTAGCAAGGCTGCTGTTGAACCATGCCAGTGAGAATATTTGCAGATCTGTACGGAAGTGAAGATCTCTATAAGGTCATGAGTCTTCTAAAGTAGATATATCAATCTATGTGAATCCCGTCCTGGATTCAGTCTGAAGATCCGTGCCGGTTATGAATTCGGACAAGAGTACCCCTCTTGAACTTTATGACATGCCCTTCACTCTGTGTACCGACGAAGATCTTTCTCTTCTAGGGTGACGCTAGGTCCAGTCGTTAATAACCTTGAAGATCTGCGTAGCAATCTGCATGGTGGTCGGCGTGGTGTGACTGTATGGCGCCTTGCGTGTAGGTAATCATCTCGTAGTCCGGGATTGCCTTCCTGGCAATATATTCCGAAATGGTGATTCCCGTGATGATCTGCGAGGCGTATTTGATGCCCTTGATGTAGGTAGTCGGCCTGAAGATCCTTTATTAGGTTCATCATCTGTTGACGGTCTCTGAGGATAGCGCCGTCCTTCGCGCAAGTTGTAGACGACATGTAGCGTTCTGTTAAGAAGCGAAGTACTGCAACGTCTCTGCGTTGTAGATGGCCTGTGCGAATGCCTTCGCGCAGGCTCGGTGACGACATGTAGCGTTCTGTTAAGAAGCTAAGTACTGCGACGTCTCTGCGTTGTAGATGGCCTGTGCGAATGCCTTCGCGCAGGCTCGGTGACGGCATGTAGCGTTCTGTTGAGAATCTAAGTACTGCGTTGTCTCTGTGTTGTAGATGGCCTGCACGAATGCCTTCGCGCAGGCTCGGTGAAGGCATGTAGCGTTCTGTTGAGAATCTAAGTACTGCGTTGTCTCTGTGTTGTAGATGGCCTGCACGAATGCCTTCGCGCAGGCTTGTTGACGGCATGTAGAGTTCAGTTGAGGGACTGAGTACTGCGATGTCTCTGCTTCGTTGGGGATCTGCGTGGAGACCTGCGTGACGACCTGCGTGCGGCGTGGAGATCGGAGTGGCGAGTGGCCCGGGGAGCTGCGTCTGTAGGGTGACCTGCGTGGAGATAAGCGACTGTGGGTTCGCGAATGTCTCGGCGCATCCCTCGACAATCTGCGTGATGCGGAAGATGTCTTGGATACTGTATCTGAAGTCCTTCGCGAATGCCTTCGCGAACGCTGATTATCTGATTCCGCATCTGGGGAATGGCGACTGGTCCTTCGTGAACGCCTTCGCGAAACGCTGGTCGTCCGATTCTGTATCCAGGGATGGGCGATTCCTCCTTCGCGAATGCTTATCGTCCGAATCCGTAGCAGGTGATGACCGAGTCGTCCTTCGCGAATGCTGATCGTCCATGTCCGCTGCAGGGGATGTTTGAGTCGACCTTCGCGCAGGCTGGTCCTGCAGTGTAGATCTGCTGCCAGATGTCACGATGACGGAGGGTCCCTCAGAGACGACGTCTGCGTTGGAGCCTTCGCGAAGGCTCGGGACCTCTTTGTCCAGGCCGTAACGCTGCTCCATCATCTCCATGATATGTTGGGAGAACTGCTGCATAACGTCCCCTGGGTTGAAGGTCTGCGGTGGTAGCAGCGCTGCCCTTTCTACGGTGATAGCGACTAGGCCCACAGGACGCTCATCTGTTGTCAGTGTAGATACCTCGGGTTGAGTGGAGATCTGCGCTGAAGTCACCGTAGCTGAGACTGGTCTTTTCTTGGGATGAACCTCTGGGATGATGATCGGTTGATCAACGTAGAGTCCCTGTTCCGTCATCGGGACAATCTCAGCAGAGAAAGTCCTTGTAGTCTGCGCAGACGTCCCCGTAGAGTTGGTCGTCATCTGAGGGGTGTGAAGCCTTCTCTGGGTAGAGTATGGCTTCCCTTTCATCGTCCGCGATGATTGTAGAGCTGCCCTCTCTGCGTTGATAGCGATATGGTTCAGGGATCGCTCATCTGCCGACCTCGGACTGCGTGCTGTATCTCTGGGATGATCAGCAGCGGCTCATCATGAAGTCATCTCACTGCCATCGGGACGATGTCTGTGAGGCTTCATTCTGCGTAGAGGATGGCTTCTTCTTCTACGTCTGCGTTGAGGGGTTGTACGCTGTAGAAGCCAACATAGTAAGTCGTCTGGCAGCAGTAGACAGCTCGTGAGGGACTCAGCCAGTTTATCCATGACTTGTAAAGTCACCTGGATTTGTCGGTAGTACGTCTAAGTACAGAGAAAAAATATTTATTAATTTGAATTTCTATCAAATGCTGATAAATATTACAGCTGTAGCTGGAAGTACATGTTGTTGTGCAGCTAGGGCACAATCAATGCGGGTTTGCAGCAGCGAATCTAAACCTACAACGAAAATAGGTTTTCATGAAATGTAAACAACTGAACAAACACGGACAATTCCGTGAATAAACAGTGCTAAATACGATTAAATATCAAACCATATTGTTGAAGAATACTAACTAAACCTCTATTAAAGTAGAATAGAGGAGAATAACTTAAGTAATTAAAGGATATAGTGCCGTATAGGAGACACAGGCGCTCTCACAACCTGCCCACAGGGCGAAGAAGGAGAGAGTGAAGCATGGGAGTACGGTGGCGCCGCTTTCCCGCCAAAACGGTCAGACAGATAACTCTTGGTGAGTGGTGATTTTACGTCTGTTTTTATAGAAGGGAGCTTCAATAGGAGATACAAGTGTTCCACTGGTGTTCGCAAGAGGAAGGAGACAAGCAAATAAGCATGAGTCAGGATAAGGAAAAATAATGTAACTTACTGGTGTAGAATCTCAGCACAAGCAATAAGTTCTCTGTAACAAAGACGCAGGTACACAACATTCCTCAGAGTGTGCAGGAACTGAGTGTAGAACCCAAGGTCTCCACGGCAACCATTCTTCCCTTTGTACGCCTAATAGTTGGAAATGAAAAGTGATTACACATAAATTACAAACAAAAAATTTCCAAAACAGCTGGTAGATAAAAAATTACCATTATTTATTACAACTCCTTGAATCATATGATCTAACTGTTAATTAATTTCACATATCATGTGCACTGCAATCAAAATCATTAGCTCTGCCTTAGACAACTGACACCCCCAAAAACAGATACAGTGAATAGGTTTTACATATTTCACTAGTAAAACACACTGATCATCTAGCAACATCGAAAAACAAAAGGTGCTTCCAAACTGACATATTTCAGAACTATTGCCATATCCCTTTGTTTGCAAACACAAGCTACTTACATAGTAGACATCCAGAAGAGTTTCATACCACTCCGGACTGTCTGTGAAAGCCATGGTGCGGTCAGTCTGGACAGCCACATTGTAAGCATGGTCAAGCCTCCCTGACTTCAGGTACAAGTGTAGCAGCTTCACTCGTAGACTTACATCGTCTGGGCGTTGTGTCTGCAACAACAAACAGTGCTCTTTGAAACAACATTATTCAAGGTGAGGTTAGGTGAAATTGGGTTTAACGTCGTACTTGAGAATATTTCGCTCATATGACGACGTGCATGCGTGTGTATGTGTAGGTGCGGCTGCTTGTACTAGCCCAGACGGAAGCTGGTTTTATAGTACTAACCCACTGAGATACCATGCCGCAGTGAAGCATAAATACCCCACTCAGACACATTATACTGACTCCGAGCCGACCAGTCCTTGATGTACCCATTAATGCCGAGCGCCAGGCAGGGACCAACAAGTACCATATTTTAACTTCTTTTGGTATGACGCGGTCGGGGATCCAACCCGCGACCTTCCGCTTTAACCACTACACCACGGAGGCGGTCAGTCCATTATTTAAGGATGATCATCAACATTTAACCTTATTTACATTTAACCTTTTACCTTTCTTAGTTTATCCGAACATACTTTTTCCCCAAAACACTGCAAAATAGCACATAAAATACTTTTAGGGGCCTCCTAAATTTATTATCATCATTCGCTTGAGTTTGTTTATTTGATTGCCTTGTTGCCACCTCAATAACAACATCAACACATTGTTCAGAACTAAATCTCACATCACAAGTCTCTCAATTCAGACAGTGAAATACTGAGGGTCAACTGGTAGTTACAATATATTATTATATTCTTAAGGGTGAAATACTGTAAATATTGGTGAAAATACAAATGGTATTTTGACTGAGTAGAATATCACTTTTGGGCCTGGAACTCAAGGGCTAGACTGTTGTTGGGTTCTGTAATAAAATGCAGACTTACTCGATGTCTAGGTCATTTATAAACAATGATCAAAATATAATAAATAGAATATTTTGTTAATGTTGTCCAATAACTGGTAGTTACAATATAAACACAAGTCAACTTAGCTTCATTCCCACAATGTCAGTTCAGTTGGTATTCTCTACATTTATTTTCCTACAATGTCAGTTCAGTTGGAATTCTCATGTAGAGAATACCAACTGAACTGACATTGTAGGAATGAAGCTAATACTACTATTGACACATGTAACTCATACAAAGATGATGGACAGGCTTTGATGCTGGGTACTATTTGAAGGTGACACTATCATTTACATGATTGTATAGAGGCTCTTACCAATTCTGTTATGATGAGCTTTTCTAGTTCCTTGAAGTTTTCATCACCGCTGTTCTGGGCTATCATCTCCTGCAGAAGAATATAGCATTGCAACTAAGGGCAATAGTTGTGTCTACATGTGATTCCTATGAATAAATCATAAAAACAAACAAAATATATGGTGACCCAATTACGTTTGCTCATGTTTTTTCATTTGCTTGTTGTTCAACCCAACATTCAAGCTATATAAGGGTGTGAAATACACAATGCAATTTTAGAAAGTGGTCAAATGTAACATATGTTATATTTGGGATTACACTTTCTCAGTAAAGTACAGATTCTAGTACTTTTGGGGGGTTGAGTCCAATCCGGGATTCGAACACCACACCCAATCGCCAGCACACAAAGTCAAACGCCTAGACCGCTCAGCCACCGCGGCTTCCAGCCTGAGCGGTCTAGGCGGCTGACATTGTGTGCTGGCGATTAGGCGTCTGACTTTGTGTGCTGGCGATTGGGTGTGGTGTTCGAATCCCGGATGGGGCTCAACCCCCCAAAAAGTACTACAATCCGTACTTTACTGAGAAAGTGTAATCCCAAATATTACATATGTTATATAATAGGGTGGCCTGTAAAATATCGGAGTCTGAATCAGACAATCCAAAAACTCTGGCACAGTGAGTAACGATCCATCCCATCAGGGGTACAATGACAACGATCCATCCCAGATGTACAATGACAACGATCAGTCCCATCAGGGGTACAATGACAATGATCCATCCCAGATGTACAATGACAACGATCCGTCCCATCAGGGGTACAATGACAACGATCCATCCCATCAGGGGTACAATGACAACGATCCATCCCAGATGTACAATGACAACGATCCGTCCCATCAGTGGTACAATGGCAACGATCCATCCCATCAGGGGTACAATAACAACGATCCATCCCAGATGTACAATGACAACGATCCGTCCCATCAGGGGTACAATGACAACGGTCCATCCCATCAGGGGTACAATGACAACGATCAGTCCCATCAGGGGTACAATGACAATGATCTATCCCATCAGGGGTACAATGACAACGATCCATCCCAGATGTACAATGACAACGATCAGTCCCATCAGGGGTACAATGACAACGCTCCATCCCATCAGGGGTACAATGACAACGATCCATCCCAGATGTACAATGACAACGATCCGTCCCATCAGGGGTACAATGACAACGATCCATCCCATCAGGGGTACAATAACAACGATCAGTCCCGTCAGGGGTACAATGACAATGATCAGTCCCATCAGGGGTACAATGACAACGATCCATCCCATCAGGGGTACAATGACAACGATCCATCCCAGATGTACAATGACAACGATCCGTCCCATCAGGGGTACAATGACAACGATCCATCCCATCAGGGTACAAGGGTACAATGACAACGATCCGTCCATCAGGGTACAATGACAACGATCCATCCCAGATGTACAATGACAACGATCAGTCCCATCAGGGTACAATGACAACGATCCATCCCATCAGGGTACAATGACAACGATCCATCCCATCGTACAATGACAACGATCAGTCCGTCAGGGGTACAATGACAATGATCAGTTCCATCAGGGGTACAATGACAACGATCCATCCCATCAGGGGTACAATGACAACGATCCATCCCAGATGTACAATGACAACGATCCGTCCCATCAGGGGTACAATGACAACGATCCATCCCATCAGGGGTACAATGACAACGATCCATCCCAGATGTACAATGACAACGATCCGTCCCATCAGGGGTACAATGACAACGATCCATCCCATCAGGGTACAATGACAACGATCCATCCCAGATGTACAATGACAACATCCGTCCCATCAGGGTACAATGACAACGATCCATCCCATCAGGGTACAATGACAACGATCAGTCCCATCAGGGTACAATGACAATGATCCATCCCATCAGGGTACAATGACAACGATCCATCCCAGATGTACAATGACAACGACGATCCGTCCATCAGGGTATAATGACAACGATCCATCCCCAGATCCGGGTACAATGACAACGATCCATCCCAGATGTACAATGACAACGATCCGTCCCATCAGGGTACAATGACAATGATCCATCCCATCAGGGTACAATGACAACGATCCATCCCAGATGTACAATGACAACGATCCGTCCCATCAGGGGTACAATGACAACGATCCATCCCATCAGGGGTACAATGACAACGATCCGTCCCATCAGGGGTACAATGACAACGATCCATCCCATCAGGGGTACAATGACAACGATCCATCCCATCAGGGGTACAATGACAACGATCCATCCCAGATGTACAATGACAACGATCCGTCCCATCAGGGGTACAATGACAACGATCCATCCCATCAGGGGTACAATGACAACGATCAGTCCCGTCAGGGGTACAATGACAATGATCAGTCCCATCAGGGGTACAATGACAACGATCCATCCCATCAGGGGTACAATGACAACGATCCATCCCAGATGTACAATGACAACGATCCGTCCCATCAGGGGTACAATGACAACGATCCATCCCAGATGTACAATGACAACGATCCGTCCCATCAGGGGTACAATGACAACGATCCATCCCAGATGTACAATGACAACGATCCGTCCCATCAGGGGTACAATGACAACGATCCGTCCCATCAGGGGTACAATGACAACGATCAGTCCCGTCAGGGGTACAATGACAATGATCAGTCCCATCAGGGGTACAATGACAACGATCCATCCCATCAGGGGTACAATGACAACGATCCATCCCAGATGTACAATGACAACGATCCGTCCCATCAGGGGTACAATGACAACGATCCATCCCATCAGGGGTACAATGACAACGATCCATCCCAGATGTACAATGACAACGATCCATCCCATCAGGGGTACAATGACAACGATCCATCCCATCAGGGGTACAATAACAACGATCCATCCCAGATGTACAATGACAACGATCCGTCCCATCAGGGGTACAATGACAACGATCAATCCCATCAGGGGTACAATGACAACGATCAGTCCCATCAGGGGTACAATGACAACGATCCATCCCATCAGGGGTACAATGACAACGATCCATCCCAGATGTACAATGACAACGATCCGTCCCATCAGGGGTACAATAACAACGATCCATCCCAGATGTACAATGACAACGATCAGTCCCATCAGGGGTACAATGACAATGATCCATCCCATCAGGGGTACAATGACAACGATCCATCCCAGATGTACAATGACAACGATCCGTCCCATCAGGGGTACAATGACAACGATCCATCCCATCAGGGGTACAATAACAACGATCCGTCCCATCAGGGGTACAATGACAACGATCCATCCCATCAGGGGTACAATGACAACGCTCCATCCCATCAGGGGTACAATGACAACGCTCCATCCCATCAGGGGTACAATGACAACGCTCCATCCCATCAGGGGTACAATGACAACGCTCCATCCCATCAGGGGTACAATGACAACGATCCATCCCATCAGGGGTACAATGACAACGATCCATCCCATCAGGGGTACATTGACACACAGTAAACCAATCCACCACTCCACCTTTTGCAACTTACCACCAGATATTTGCTTGGGTGAGTGAGTGAGAGAGTGAGTTTAGTTTTACGCCACACTCAGCAATATGGCGGCGGTCTGTCTGACTGACTGAGTTTGGTTTTACGCCGCTTTTAGCAATATTCCAGCAATATCACGGCGGGGGACACCACAAATGGGCTTCACTCATTGTACTCATGTGGGGATTCGAACCCGGGTCTTCGGCGTGACGAGCCAACGCTTTAACCACTAGACTACCCCACCGCCCTAACGCGGCGGCGGGTGTCTGAAAATAATCAAGTCAGGACCAGACAATCCAGTGATCAACACCATGAGCACCGATTTGCACAATTGGGAACCAATGACATGTGTCAACCAAAAATCAGCGAGCCTGACCACCCGATCTCGTTAGTTGCTTCTTACGACAAGCATGGGGTACTGAAGATCAATATTCTAACCCAGACCTTCACGGGTGCTAATTGCTTGGGTGGTCATCCCAGTGACACATAACAAATAGGTTTGGTTGTGTAAGAAATGTTTAACAACTACTTGCCTTGTTGCTTTACGTTATTGGCATAAGATGATAGTCATATCATAAGGATAATATTAGCTTACCAAAATCCCGAAACAATTAAATACACGACTCAGCTGTCAAGTGGTAGCAAAAATCGCTGAGAGTGGCTATTTGTCCCAACTCACCCTCAGTCTGAAGATAACATCATTTCCGGGGCAGGTTTGCTCTGCCTTCTCCAGCCAGAACTATAGCAAACAGAAACATGAAATAACACATGTTAACTCACTCACCAAGCAGGTTTACCTAGTTTTTTCTCATACATTTGGAACATATGAGAAATTTTCGAAACAATATCCACAACTTTGCAGAGATCCTACAATGTTTTAAAATGCATCATTTTCCAGGACAATCACTGTCTTTGAAATTGTCATGACGTAATTGTACAAATATATTATTGGAGAAAGAGGAAAGCCCGTGTTCAGCAATGAGAATGTCCCAGTGCTGTCTGTATCTAGTGAAGTCATCCTTCATATGGTAACGTGATCTGGATACCCTGTGGCATGTAACAGCAAGGTTAACTGGCTAATGACAGGAACTATTTGAAACATACAGGGATGAGAATGGGTACGAGTGAAAACAAGGAAAATGAGCCGGGGATCTTGGGGGCCGCAGCTTTTGACAATTAACAAGAATGACCCCAGCGCGATCAAATCCATGGAATTCCACAGAAAGTTCTCATCCCTGAACATTGCCTGTCTTTACATCCGTTGTATTGAGAGGGATATTTCCTGCAAGCTGCCTGTAGAAAACTCACCCGAGTTCGCTCTGGATCCATTGCTACCTGTGTACACAGCTCACAAACTGTAACAGAACAAAACACTGCTGATTCATCTTTAATAATTACTCACTAAGTAATATAAATACTATATCCATTCAACAAAACAAAATAAAATATAATGTCCAGATAGTTACCAAATTTAGACTGAAATATTGCTGTACTGATTGTTATTGGTTTGCGCCTCCAACCCCTTAATCAGGCAGAATTTGTCTCTCAGGTGAAATTTCTCTTTATAATATACACTTGAATTATGCAAAATGAAATTTCAGCCAATGATACTTGGTATCTTTGTATTTTGGCAATGACCAATGAACATAGCTGTAGCAAATTAGGAGCCATGTGACCATGCAGTTAATTAAGAAAACGAGGTGTTCTATAAATCTCTAATTTAAACACAGTTTGTGTTTTTACTGATCAAAAATGTTAATAAACCGATACACTTTCAATTCAAAACAATTTTACACGTAATAAATCACACTTGTACTAGTTCAGTGTATAATTTCGAATTGCAGAATCAGAAAATTCATTCCAATTTGTTAGCACCCATTAGCCGTTCCTGGAATTTAGCGAAACTGCCCACTGGTTTCCTAGAATCGGTTCGAGAGGTGTGTTCAGTAACAGTACCGGAGTGCTGAGTGTACATGTTATACCGTCTTATTAGTAATCCAGTGTTGCATTCAGGAATTTGGGATTAATGGGGAAATCCCCCTTAACTCTTACAAAAGAGGAGGACCGGACACCAAGCAGAGGGGATCAAATATTGACTAAAGATTGGTATTTATCCTTACAACAGAAACGTGAGCCTTGTTGATGCTTCAGGGCTCGAAAAATTTAAAAGTCTGCACTCGCCCTGCAGGGCGAGATATATGAAATTTCCACTCGTCCTACCAAAATTGTACTTGCCCTATGCAACATAATGAAAGTAAATTAAAATTATTTTATTTCAAAATGTTTGCTAGGAATAGAACTACAATAAACATTATTTACTTTGTCTGCTAATTCGCTCACCATTTAAGATAGCTGAACTTCAAAGAAAAAGAAAAATGTTACTTCCCTTGGCTTTACAGACGATACACAGTTCAGATTTGAAATATCTGAGAAAAACTAGCGGATTACAAATCAACGTAGTGGATATTGTATACCCAACAAGTGTTTGCCACTGATATGGCAATGTTCCCCGCCGCTAAAGAATGGAATATCTATATTTACTACTTTTTATTTTTGGGTCGCCTTTAAAAAGCGGTCAAAGTATCGTGGTGACCTTCAAGATAAGGTCAAGGTCACCCAAAAAAACTGGTGTGTGTGTAATACCCAAATGTAAACTGTCAACAAATTTGAAGACATTGGGTATAACAGTCCATGAGATTTCGCGTTAACAAGAGTTAACAGTGTGAAAAGTGTCGTGGTGACCTTGAAGATAAGGTCAAGGTCACCCAAAATCAACTAGTGTCTGGGTAATCCCCCAATGTATGCTGTCACCAAATTTGAAGACATTGGGTACAACATTTCATGAGATATCACATTAACAACAGTTTCAAAAGTGGTCAAAGTGTTGTGGTGACCTTGAAAATAAGGTCAGGGTCACCCAAATCGACTGGTGTCTGCATAATCTCCCAATGTAGGCTGTCACCAAATTTGAAGACATTGGTTACAACAGTTCATCAGATATCGCGTTAACAAGAATCGGGACGTACGGAACACCGCTGAATACATAGTCCCCCGTTCCGCGTTGAGGCGGGGAACAACAAAGGATGAAATAGTGAACTATATTACCTGGTTGAAAATATCAATGACACCTGGCAAGTGCGTTTAATAAATGACAGGATTTTTAAAACATTAGATTAAATTGAAATTTCCACCTCATCCGTTTAACTCTTTCAACATCAATCGACCAGAGGCATTTTCTACCATGACACCGAGTTCCCAGAGACCCTGAGATCTTAGAGGAAGCCTGTGTTTACCAAGGAAAATATCAGCTTGTAAAACATTACTGCGACTACATATTATACACCATTTGAAAGGTCTAATACTTCTGTTAATAAATATGAAATATAGTTTTTATCATATTATTCAAATAATACAACTACAACGTAAATAAGTTAATATTTAATGAAAATGCAATCTTACTTTCCAGATAAACCACGATGCGGCGATTTTTTTCCATATGTAACATGTCATACTATCCCCTTACCTTTTCTTTTATATATTCATTTTTACGTAATCGGAAAATTATTACAAGAAGACAAAGTCATCAATATCCCCAGCAATGGCAAAATACTCTTCATGATTATGTCTGCGAGTTATGATTATGTCAAATATTTAGGTGTGTATATAGAAAAGTGGAAGGAGAGTATTGAAAGTTCTGCTCCAGAAAATAGCACTATCACCAATTTCAGTCTATGTCAAACTTGTTGCCATGTAAATGCCAAAAATATTTTATTCAGAAATCCAAAACTACCAAAAGGCACCAGTACACCACCAGATCTATCTATGTGCCAAGTTTGGTGAAGAAATAGTGAACGGTTTTAGAGTTCAGCTCCGGAAAAGAGCACTACCACTAATTTCATTCTAAGTCGAACTTGTTGCCATGGAAACGCCAAAAAAGTTTTATTCAGAATTCCAAAACTACCAAAAGGCACCAGTACTCCACCAGATCTATCTATGTGCCAAGTTAGGTGAAGAAATATTGAACGGTTTTAGAGTTCTGTACCGGAAAAGACAAATGTGCACAGACGGACGCACACACGCACGGAGTCCATTTTAATACCCCCCGCAAAACGCGTTGCGGGGAATAATAAAAAGATTTCTGAAATAATATGTATGGTTGTCTATTTCCCGATTTCAGTGGCTTTCCACTCGGTAACGTGATACAACAGCGTGAAATACCTCCGTTTTGGAAGCTTCGTACGGATAACATGTGAGGCAATTCATTTGATGGCAGGCATCGCTCGAAAGCTCTGAACATCCAACAAATATCACTGCACCCTTGCCAAGAGTATTTTCGCAGTTGTAAGAAGCGATTTTATTGGATAAAGATTGGTTTCTAATGACGCTTTTCTGCCACAGTCTGCTATGAGGATCGTGATTGGACAAAATTATGCATGTGACCTAAGGCAGCCAATCATATTGCAGCAATGGATAGTATCCTCGTAAACGAAAACTTTTAGATTCAGACGAAATTTTGGGTAAAAGCATGCTATTCTGAACGTGTTACGCAAAGAATCACCACCTATACGTATATAATGGAACTTCGTGGACGTATCGTGCTAGGCTATAACCATTGACAAAAATGCTTCATGCATTTTTAGCATTAAACATCATCATCCTCGACTAGTGCTACCGAGTCTGACTCGGCAAGTAAACGCCCCGTCGATATGAACGTAGGCGAAGCTGTGAGAAGTTCCCTGGACACGGTCTACACACAACCACCATTCCCCCCAGTGTATATGCAAAGCCAAGGTCAGTACCAACAAAACCTTTACCACCAATCTCAGCAAACTCAACACAATCCCGACACGGCAGCCATTTTAGCAGAGTTGGAGCAGATGGATGCCAAACTCGCTAAGCTCGATGCTATTGAACATGATGTGAGTTCTATTAAGGCAAATATGGCTAGGCTTGAGTTGAAAGTTCAGGAGATCGATGGGATTAAAACACGTATAACTGAAGTCGAAGCAAGCACACGATTCATCAGTGATGGTTTCGATAGATGGAACGCAGATAAAGCAGTTTTAGAAGCGGATCTACAATCACTGAGGGGTAAGGTGGATGCATGTGCACCCGACATATCGCGCCTAAAGGAAGACCACCTCGCTCTGAGAGAGTACACAGTTGATCTCAGGTGTAGGTCCATGCGGGACAACCTTATATTTACTGGTATCCGCGAAACAGAACCCCAGCCTACCCTGGAGCATTGCGAGAATGTGCTGAAGGGATTCATTAAGGAGCACCTCCAAGTAGACTGTGATATCATGAAGTTCAAACGTGTTCACAGGATCGGAGCTAAACAACAACATGGAGGAACAATGAGACCGCGCGCCCTCATCGCAAAGTTTATATACACATGAGACAGAGACACGGTAAAGGGAGCAGCTCGTCGCCTAAAAGGTAAACCCTACAGTGTCATGGAGCAGTTTCCAGATGAGGTCGCCCAATACCGAAGGGAGGTGCTCATGCCCCTGCTGAGAGATGCCAGGAGACAAGGTAAACAGGCCTACATGGTCATAGATAAACTATATGTAGACAGGAAACTACAAGAGGTATCCACCCCACCTCCTTACAGACGCCCAACTGTAACATCCACCCGAAGGATCCCCTAGGACAGGCACGGTGGTCAAAACCTGCATACTGATCAGTGCGTAGCTGAAGACAGGTCTCCAACGGACATAGACACATACAAAAACAACCCAACTTACAACTCTGACAACAATGTACCTGATTCATATGTAAGAATTCAAATATAACTCGTTCGTTTCAAGCGGATAACCATCCCATGTCACCAGTACATGTTGATAAGGATATAACCAATGACTTCCTAGTAACGCACCCATCTTCTATAATTTTATCGAATGAAAGCCCAAAAAGGCCATTTGCACAATGTGACATTACAAATATGTACAAAGGACCAGTCATGACAATTGACAACAATGCAAGTGACATTAATACTTCAGAGAATACCATAACATATGTTGCATATAAACCCCCTAGTCCATCTCATATTATAACCTCCTCTGTGACATCAAATGTGTGCATTCATAATGCTGATATAGACCTAGTTGAACCAAATTTGGAGACAAGCCGAAGCACAAACATATCTGCTGATACTTTCAGCAATACCAGCAATAACTCTTCTCATAAGAATATCACAAAAAATGATGCAAGTTATGAAAGGTGTTACATGTATATCAATCCAATTCCTGATGATGAGAAAATTTATGCTGTTATCGACAACTTGTCTGAAGTAGATAAAGCAGTAGAAGTAACTGTAAATGGTCATGATGGGGATGAAGATGAAGATGCTGTTGTTAATAGCAATGCTCTTGATAATGAAGTTGATGTTAATAAAGCTGAGAAGGTTGTTGATGATGATGATGATGATGATGATGATGATGATGATGATGATTGTAACAGTGTAATACATTTTTTTAACCTGAATGTGTGTGGTCTTAGAAAAAGACTTGAATATAATGAATTTGTTAGCCTCATAGAAGACCATGATATCATAGGTTTTCAAGAAACTAAAACAGATTGTTTTGATGACATAAAAATAGACGGTTATGAAATATATATACAGCACAGAGCGAATGCAGCTAGAAAGTCTGGTGGAATTGGAGTTGCCATAAAACTTGAATATGAAAAATATGTCACAATATTAAAAAATGATTACAGATATATATTATGGATACAAATAGATAAAAATATGTTTCATATAGACCAAGATATGTATATTGGCATAGTATACCTACCACCCGAAGGTTCAAAATATGTAAATAATGATGCTTTTAATGAAATAGAACAGTCACTTTTGTACTACCTATCTCTTAGTGATTATGCTACCCTAATGGGTGACTTCAATGCACGAACTAATAATATGAAGGACTTCCTATCATTAGACAAACATATTGTCGATGAGTTCGATATGGACCTAGATGAAATGAACACTGAAATAAACCCTGAATTTATCCTTGATGATCTAAACCTTTCTCGTGATAGAATTTCTCAAGACGATGATAAAGGCAACAATTTTGGATTTAAACTGATCGAACTATGTAAAAATCTAAAGACTTCGAACTATTTGACTTCTCACCTCTATATTCTGATGTCCATTGCCCTGTCCACTTTACAATAAAAACCGCCACGTGCAGCAGTACTTCACAGTCCGTTAGTAATCCGGTACAAGAGCAAATCCTCCAAACTAGTAAGCCAAACCATTATGATATTGAAAAATCTGCTACGTTCTGTCAAAACTTGAAAATTGAAAAGCTATCAGTCATTCAAAGACGCACAGAGTTAGCGTGTGAGTCAGGGGTTGACCCAGATACGGTAGATGACATCGCTTCTGACATAGCGCACGTGCTAGTTGATGCTGCACGTGAAACATTCGGTGTAAGGAAGACTCATGCTAAACTTCCCAAATCGAAAGCTGGTAGAATCAACAAGCCTTGGTTCAACACTGAATGTAGAAATATGCGTAAAAAATTTCATAAATCTAAAAATGACTTTCGAAAATTTAAAACTACGTTACACAGACAGAAGTTTTGTGAAACGTCCCGTGCTTATAAAAAATGTATGGATAAATGTATTAAAATATTTTCTAAAGAGACAACTAAACAGTTTCGTAACAAAAAAAAGCATTCAGCGAAAGAATACTGGAAAATACTAAATAAGCGGGAGTGTAAAAAAACAAACCAGTCACCAAGCATTGGTGACTTTTATGAATATTTTAAAAAGGTAAATGAAACGAAATGTGAGGATGAAGTCATTGAGAATGACGATAGCGATAACTTTGCATTCGATACAAATATTCTCAACGATACCATTACAAAGTGATGAAATTGCCTCTGCCATAAAGAACCTAAAAAGAAATAAGGCATCTGGAATAGATTTGGTAGAAAATAATTTTATAATTGACGCTTCAGAAAAGATAATCCCACTTCTGACTACTTTTTTCAACCTGATACTAACTTCCGGAATTGTTCCTGGTTGTTGGCTTAAAGGCACAATTAAACCTGTTTATAAAAAGAAAGGTGACCCCATGGACCCAAACTCCTATAGACCCATTACCATATTAAGTTGTTTTGGAAAACTATTCACTAGTATTCTTAATATAAGACTTTCACATTTCGTGGAGATAAACAATATTTTATCCCCGTCCCAGTCAGGTTTTCGAAAAGGTTTCTCTGCTTGCGACAACCTATTTGTAATACATGTGTTATTTGAAATTCTTAAACTTTCCAAACGAAAACTATATTGTGTTTTCATTGATTACACAAAAGCTTTTGACACTGTATGGCGAGCTGGTTTATGGCATAAATTATTCAAATATGGTATAAGTGGGAAAATTTTGTCCCTCATTAAAAATATGTATCATAATATAAAATCTACCATTATGTTAGATAACCATATTTCATCTTACTTTCCATGTAACACAGGAGTGAGACAAGGTGAAAACCTCTCCCCTTTATTATTCTTACTTTTCATAAATGATGTGGAATCGTTTCTTTATAGCAAAGGTTGTCTTGGAATTAACTTACAACAAGTAGATGAAAATAGTATAACAAACATGATAAGGCCCATACTCCTCTTATATGCAGACGATGCTGTCCTCATAAGTGAAACCCCAAATGATCTACAACTGTCCCTAAATGCTTTCCATGACTATTGTACCCAGTGGAAGTTGAAAGTTAATCTGTCTAAAACCAAAATAGTTGTCTTTGGAAGTGGGCCCTCTGAACATCCAAAGAATAAATTATGTTTTACTTATGGGGACAAGCGCATTGAAATTGCTGATAGTTATACTTATCTTGGTATCAAGCTTCATCGAAATGGAAGGTTTGTAACAGCAATTAAAAGTTTAGTGGAAAATTCAACTAAAGCAATGTTTTCGCTGTTGAAAAAAGCCCGCAATTTGAATTTACCTCTAGATTGTCTGATATCAGCCTTCGATACTATGATAGTCCCTATACTAATATATGATTCAGAAATATGGGGTTTTGAATGTCTATCGACAATAGAGAAAACTCACTTAAAATTTCTAAAATATGCTTGTGGTCTTCGAAACTCAACCCCCCAGTATCATGCTTTATGGGGAATTAGGAAGATATCCGCTATATATTAAAATATATAAAAGAATAATATCATACTGGCATAAACTAGCTACAAACACTCTTGAAACGAAATTATCGACCCTTTTATTCAATTTCATTATACCTTCTTCTTCAAACACTTTACCTAAATTGAAATGGTTTAAATTTGTCAAACGGATCTTAGATGATTGCGGACTCTCAGAAATGTATGATTACCCGTTCCTATGTTCATCAGAATTTTTGGTTTCAAAAGTAGAAACAGTACTCAAAGATCAATATTTACAACCACGGCGATGTGAACTAGCGTCTAGTCCGAAAGGAAAATTTTACCAAAATGTTAAAGACAATCTATGCTTTGAAAACTACCTCTTCCTTCCCAAATCTATACATAATCCAATTCTTAGATTTAAGTTATCAAACCACAATTTACCGATAGAAACAGTGTCAAGATCACATGTGGTTGAGCTGTATATACGTTGGATGTTTCTTATAGTGTGGTTGAACTGTATGTGTCGGTTGAGTGAGTGTACGTGCAGTTGGGCTGTGTGCGAAGTGATATTGCACGTGAAAAGCAGGCAGTTTCTGCGACTTAGTCATAAAAGTGGACGGTTTGATGTGACGGGTGCAGTCGTGATATGATAGAGCGGAGCGACGGTGTGAAAGCTGAGCCAGGAAAATTATCATGGCGTGAGTAAATTTTGCATTTAATTATGGAAATTGTTAGATTGTATTTTTATGTCCATAATGTTGAATTGAATAGCACAGTGTCGGTCATAGGTTGATATTTAAACATCACTCAGGCGAAATGTAAACATGGCAATTGTTGGTCACTGTAGTGGGTATGTATAGGCATAATCACTTGTCTGTGTTGAATAACACGTGTATGTTATTCTAAGTGTAATTATGCTGACATTGCTCTGTGTATTATCATTCTGAGTATTTAATACTCTGTATTGTGTTGAATGATTGTGTATTGAGTATATTACACTCGAGTAGTAAGTGTGTATTATCATTCGAATTGTGAATTGAATGATTAGTGTACATTGAGTATGTGACGCTCAAGACGTAAACAAGTGTGTGTAACAAGTACTTTGTCTTTGTGTAGTGTCGGGGCCGTATTGGCTTGACGGCCTGTGTGCTGGCTAGTTGAGTGTGGCGGGTCAACACCAAGTATGCTGACCAGCGAAGTGATGCCTCTCACCAGTGTTGTGACCGGACGTTGTCCAGTGCCAAGTATGGAGGGCAGGGTAGCCTCAAGGTATTGCCGGTTGAGTGTGGCGGGTCAACTCCAAGTATGCTGACCAGCTAAGCGATGCCTCTCACCAGTGCCTCTCACCAGTGTTGTGACCGGACGTTGTCCAGTGACAAGTATGGAGGGCAGGGTAGCCTCAGGGTATCGTCAGACAGGGTGTGACCGTGTTCGTGAGGACGTGAACTGTACATACCATTAATCTGTGCAACCTCCTGTATAGGAGCCGATCGTCAAATAGATATGGACTGGAATATTACATTTTTGTAAATGTTTCATTTGTATGCCTATATTTGATTTGTGTATTGTGTATAGGAGTATGAGTGTATTGGGTACCGCTGGTGTAATGGAGTACTGAGTGTGTATTTGAGTGATGTACTGAAGGTGTATTTGAGTGATATATGACTGATATGTTTGGATGAATGTATTTGAGGTGAGAAAGGGGTGTGCAAGCTGAATATTTGAACTTTTCTTGATTTTCCATTTCATTTTGTTTTGAAATAAATTATATTTATTTCAACACCACCTTTGGTTTATCTCGCATTGTGACATTTTGGTGGCAGCGGTGGGATTTTTTGTCACATGTGAGATATGTAGGTTCATTTAGTCATTTCCAAATTACTTTTCGTATGAGTGTGGTACGCTCGTATATTGGGTGTCGTGCGCCTGGTTTCCTTCACATTTTTCATTGCTTGGTACTAGTGGCTGTAGGGTGCTGAGGTATAACGGGTCCCTTTGTTCAAACCTTACCTTGTATTAGATAGTATACATTTTTACCTGTAGATACTTTGCTTAGTTTCACTATGGATTTAGTGGGCATATGTAAATTGGGCAAGGAGTTAGGTTATACAGGGGAGAATTTACAGCAGTTTGTAAGGGAACAGACAGATTTAGAGAGGGAGAGGGAGAAGGATAGATTAGAACGGGATGACCGGGAAAGGGTTCGGGAGATGAAGAAACTAGAGATAGAGAAACTTAGATTGGAGAATGAGGACAAGGAAAAGGAAAGGGTTATGAAGTTAGAGAGCATGAAGTTAGACTTAGAGGAGAAGAAGCTGCAGTTAGAGGGGGGAGAAGGGTACTGTAGGTGAAGGTATAAAGCAGGAAGGTAAGCCACCATTTGTTACTTATGTGCCTAAGATGCCACCTTTTGATGATCAGAGAGATAACATCGATGCTTATTTACAAAGGTTTGAGCGTGTAGCCAAGTCACAGGCATGGCCAGAGGTTCGGTGGGCAACCTTTCTCAGCACCTTATTGAAGGGTAAGGCACTTGACGTTTACTCTCGATTAGACCCCGACAAGGTGGAGGTCTACAAGGAGGTAAAGCAAGCATTGCTGAAGCGGTATGAGATGACTGAGGAAGGGTTCCGACAGAAGTTCAGGACAGCTCGGATAGAGATGGGTGAGACTTTTACTCAGTTCTTAGTTAGAGTTGGGAATTATTTTGATAGGTGGGTAGATCTTAGTGGCAGTGCTAGGACTTGGGAGGGAATTAGAGATTTGTTGTTGAGGGAGCAGCTCTTGCATGGTGTTAGTACAGGCCTTTGTATTTTCTTGAAGGAGAGGAAGCCAGAGTCTGTTGGGGAAATGGCTAGGTTAGCAGAACATTTTGTGGAGGCTAGGGAAGGTGTTACGGGTAGATCTGTTCATCCAGTTAGTCAGGGTGGTGATAGGTTCAAGAAGGGCTCAGATAGTCAGGTGAAGAAGTCAGTACAGAGTGAGAAGAGGGATTCCAGAACGTTTGTGCCGATGCATGAGCGGAAATGTTATGGCTGTGGTGATTTGGGACATATGGCATCTTCTTGTTCTAAGTGGAAGTCCAAACTTAAGGGCAATACAGGTGCTGGTAGTGTTGTCATTGAGAGTGTCAGTGATGTGTCCGGTGAGCCAGTTGTAGAAGTAGGAGAGAAGAGTGAGATAGATTCTCAAGGTGTGGAAGGAAGTGATACTAGTGTTACAGATCATTCAGGTGAGGATGACGCTCTAGTGACGTCAGGTACAACGTCAGGTACGATGTGTGATATGTGTGGGACTATGCCAGTGCGTGTTGGTAAACTGTGTGGCCATTCAGTGAATGTCTTGCGTGATTCTGGCTGTAATGGAGTTGTTGTCAAGAGATCTCTTGTGGATGAGGATTGCTTTGTGGAAGGTGAGCTTCATAACTGTACCATGGGTGATGGTAGGGTTTGTACTGTACCAGTAGCATGGGTTCCTATAGATTCACCATTTTACAAGGGCACAGTTAAGGCAGCATGTTTGGAGACTCCTTTGTTTGATGTTATGTTAGGGAATATTCCAGGTGCAAGGGCTCCTGAGGATCCATTACCTGAAGAGGAAGTAGTAGAGGTTGTTGAAGCTGTTGGTGCTGTAGAGACTAGGCGTCAGAGGAAGGTTAGGGAGCAAGGTATGAAACCAATGAAAACATTTCAGTCTGTTGGCATTTCCTTGAGTAGGCTAGAGTTTATTCAGAAACAGAAGGAGGATTCTGGGTTAGACAAAGTCCGGAAGTTGGTGCAAGATGGTAGACAGAAGATGACGGAGAAGGGTGTGTCACGATATTTCAGTGAGAATGAGATGTTGTATCGTGAGTATGTGAGTCATGATGGTTTGGCTGTTGTTCAGGCTGTTGTTCCTACAGAGTTGAGGTCAGAGGTTATGAAAGTGTGTCATGAATCTTTGATGGGTGGTCACATGGGTGTGAAGAAAACGCTGGACAGGGTTATTTCACAATTTTATTGGCCAGGTGTGCAAGGTGATGTTAGGAGGCACTGTTTGTCTTGTGATGTTTGTCAGCGTACGATTCCAAAGGGGAAGGTTGGCAAGGTTCCTTTAGGTCAGATGCCATTAATTTCTACACCTTTCGAAAGGATAGCCGTAGACTTGATTGGTCCTTTATATCCAGTAACTGATAGAGGCAATCGGTACATCCTAACAGTTGTTGACTATGCGACTAGGTATCCTGAAGCTGTAGCTCTTCCGAGGATAGAAACTGAGTATGTTGCAGAGGCTCTTTTGGAGATATTTAGTCGGGTAGGTGTCCCCAAGGAGATGTTGTCTGATATGGGTGCTCAATTTACGTCATCAGTCATGAAGGAGGTTAGTAGATTGTTGTCCCTCAAGCAGTTAACCACCACTCCATACCATCCTATGTGTAATGGGTTAGTTGAGAGGTTTAATGGCACTCTGAAGTTGATGTTAAAGCGGCTAAGTGCTGAAAAACCAACTGATTGGGATCGTTATTTATCAGCTTTGCTTTTGCTTACAGGGAAGTACCTCAGGAAAGTCTAGGATTTTTCTCCATTCGAGTTGTTGTATGGCAGGAAAGTGAGAGGGCCTGTTCAGGTGTTGAGGGAATTGTGGACAAAAGATATTCCAGATCCAGAGACTAGGACAACCTATGAGTATGTGTTGGACTTACAGAATAGGTTAGAGGAGACAATTGAGGTAGCTCATCAATCTTTGGTTAAGGCATCAGGCAGGTACAGGAAGCATTTCAATCGCAAGGTGAAGGTACGCCAGATGAAAGCGGGTGATAAGGTGTTAATTCTGTTACCTACCAATCACAACAAGTTATTGTTACAATGGAAAGGTCCTTTTGTGATAGAGGAGAGTTTTGGTTCTGACAATTATCGCGTTAGAGTTGGGGATAAGTTGAAGACTTATCATGCTAACTTACTCAAGAAGTATATTGACAGGGAATCTAGTAGCTGTAGTACAGTGGTCAGTGATGTGAGTGTGAGTTTACCACAGTATGTTTGTACAGGCATTGTTGATGTGGGAGATGACAATGTGGAGTCAGATGTAGAAGGATTTGCCTGAGATTGTTTCTCCACCTTTGACGGCTAAGGAAACTTATCTTGATGTGAACATTTCTCAAGATTTGTCGGATGTGCAGAAGACAGACGTTAGGAGTTGTTGGCAGAATTTTCAGATGTTTTGACAGATTTGCCGGGGAGGACCAACTGTATGGAATATAAGGTCAGGTTGACTTCTTCAGATCCAGTTAGGTCACGTCCTTATCCAATACCTCATCATATGAGAGAGACTGTTGCAGCAGAGATACAGACTATGTTGGACTTAGGTGTTATTGAACCTTCAGATTCACCTTATGCTTCTCCAATTGTGCTAGTGAAGAAACCAGATGGTAGTTACAGATTTTGTTCAGATTACAGAGCCATTAATCGTATCACGGTTTTTGATTCAGAACCAGTCACTTTGGCAGAAAGTCTCTTTGCAAGGCTTAGTAAGTGTCAGTATCTGTCTAAGTTTGATATCAGTAAAGCTTATTGGCAGATTCCGATGGAGGAGGAAAGTAAGGCATATACAGCGTTTATCACTCCAGATGGGCTATATCAGTGGACAGTTATGCCGTTTGGTATGGTTAATGCTTCAGCAGTCTTCACAAGGTTAATGAGGAAAGTCCTTAGAGGGGTAGATCATGTAGACAGTTACATTGATGATGTGATTGAATGAACTGATAGATGGGCAGATCACATGGTAAGTCTGAGAGCTATTTTCAGTCGGTTACGTCAGTACAATATCACTGCCAGACCCTCAAAAGTGATGATTGGGTACCATACTATACCATTCCTGGGACATATTGTCGGTCAAGGTAATATTTCTCCTGACAGTAAGAAGTTAGCAGCAATCTTGGAATTGTCACGACCAACCACAAAGAAACAGGTGAGATCTTTGATTGGTTTAACTGGTTACTACAGGCGGTTTATTCCAAACTTTGCAGCCATTGCAGTTCCACTGACAGATTTGACAAAGAAGGGTAAGCCTAATGTTGTTGTTTGGACTGATAGTCAGGAACAGGCATTCCAGACGTTGAAGAAGCTCATGGCAAGTGCACCAATTCTAAAGTTGCCGGATTTGGAAAAGACATTTCTGTTGCGGACAGATGCATCAGATGTTGGCATTGGAGCAGTGCTATTACAAGAACATGAGGGTGAGAAGTTTCCCATTATGTATGTCAGTCGGAAGTTGCTGGACCGAGAGAAGGCATATTCTACCATTGAGAAAGAGTGTTTGGCTATTGTGTGGGGTGTACAGAAATTGAGCCGGTTTTGTATGGGAGGGAATTTCTGTTAGAGACAGATCACCAGCCTCTAGTGTGGATGACCAAGGCTAAGTTGGCAAACGGGCGAGTTATGAGGTGGGCCTTAGCTTTGCAGCCGTACAGATTCTGTATCAGAGCGGTGAAGGGTGTGGAGAATGTCGGGGCCGATCTCATGAGCCGGTGTCCACCGTGAGTTTATTTTCCTGTATTCAAAACTCCAATGTGATCTGTCCTAGTGTATATAATTATTTTGCAAATAATTATCAAGGATGGGAGGTGTGTCAAGATCACATGTGGTTGAGCTGTATATACGTTGGATGTTTCTTATAGTGTGGTTGAACTGTATGTGTCGGTTGAGTGAGTGTACGTGCAGTTGGGCTGTGTGCGAAGTGATATTGCACGTGAAAAGCAGGCAGTTTCTGCGACTTAGTCATAAAAGTGGACGGTTTGATGTGACGGGTGCAATCGTGATATGATAGAGCGGAGCGACGGTGTGAAAGCTGAGCCAGGAAAATTATCATGGCGTGAGTAAATTTTGCATTTAATTATGGAAATTGTTAGATTGTATTTTTATGTCCATAATGTTGAATTGAATAGCACAGTGTCGGTCATAGGTTGATATTTAAACATCACTCAGGCGAAATGTAAACATGGCAATTGTTGGTCACTGTAGTGAGTATGTATAGGCATAATCACTTGTCTGTGTTGAATAACACGTGTATGTTATTCTAAGTGTAATTATGCTGACATTGCTCTGTGTATTATCATTCTTAGTATTTAATACTCTGTATTGTGTTGAATGATTGTGTATTGAGTATATTACACTCGAGTAGTAAGTGTGTATAATCATTCGAATTGTGAATTGAATGATTAGTGTACATTGAGTATGTGACGCTCAAGACGTAAACAAGTGTGTGTAACAAGTACTTTGTCTTTGTGTAGTGTCGGGGCCGTATTGGCTTGACGGCCTGTGTGCTGGCTAGTTGAGTGTGGCGGGTCAACACCAAGTATGCTGACCAGCGAAGTGATGCCTCTCACCAGTGTTGTGACCGGACGTTGTCCAGTGCCAAGTATGGAGGGCAGGGTAGCCTCAAGGTATTGCCGGTTGAGTGTGGCGGGTCAACTCCAAGTATGCTGACCAGCTAAGCGATGCCTCTCACCAGTGCCTCTCACCAGTGTTGTGACCGGACGTTGTCCAGTGACAAGTATGGAGGGCAGGGTAGCCTCAGGGTATCGTCAGACAGGGTGTGACCGTGTTCGTGAGGACGTGAACTGTACATACCATTAATCTGTGCAACCTCCTGTATAGGAGCCGATCGTCAAATAGATATGGACTGGAATATTACATTTTTGTAAATGTTTCATTTGTATGCCTATATTTGATTTGTGTATTGTGTATAGGAGTATGAGTGTATTGGGTACCGCTGGTGTAATGGAGTACTGAGTGTGTATTTGAGTGATGTACTGAAGGTGTATTTGAGTGATATATGACTGAGATGTTTGGATGAATGTATTTGAGGTGAGAAAGGGGTGTGCAAGCTGAATATTTTAACTTTTCTTGATTTTCCATTTCATTTTGTTTTGAAATAAATTATATTTATTTCAACACCACCTTTGGTTTATCTCGCATTGTGACAACAGGACGCTGGTACAACACTCTTAGAGAAAATAGACTCTGTAAACTTTGCGACTCTCCGTCTGTTGGGGACGAATTCCATTACCTTTTTAAATGCGAAGCTCTTCTCCAACAGCAGATAATGTATATTCCAAATTATTACTACGAATGGCCTAATCTGTTCAAACTGAAACGACTATTTTCAATAAAGAAACCAAAGCATTTGAAAAACCTAGCTAAATTTTTAAATGCCTTGTCAAATGCCCTGAAATTGTAAACGAATTGTGATAATAATACTCTATCTAACTACTCTATTATCCGCCATCTTGATTGTATACTTATGTTAAATTGTATATCTTTATATTCTCATGTACCACCGTGGGTGGGTTTTTAGAGAATAAAATGTTCTGTTCTGTAGACAACTTTTATGAGTACTGTTATTGATTTTATTCTTCGGTTTATTAAATTTGTTTAATTATTATCTCGAAACATCGTTACTTTGATTACGGTAATAACAAGTAGGGAATTCCCAATTTTCAAGCTGATCCGACAACATTCATGTTGTGACGATTTTTCTCATTGGTCAGTTTATTAATTATAGCCAGTCAGGATATTCGGAGCACTTAGGTTACAAAACCACGCGATATGTTGAAAAAGGATACCAAACGAACATCAAGACTTAAACTTTGCGGTTAGTTTTCGGAGAATTTGAAAATACTGCTAATCGGGAATTATACTATGTTAAACTTATTGTTTTGAAAAATAGTTGGGTCAGAAAACGTACTCGTCCTGTAGGCAAATTATGTTTTTCACTTGCCTGAAACAAATTTTTACTCGTCAATACGAGCGGACGAGTGGAATTTTCGAGCCCTGTGCTTACTATCCACAATTTCGGTAGGTTATTTTCACGTCGTGCAATTGTCAAACTTTCTGGATACCATATATTACTGTAGATAAGCAGTATCTTTGAGGTCCAGTTTTGGTGTTGGCTTATCTACGGGTTACACTTTCGTGAAACTTTTTTTCAGGGGTAAGAAAATGACATTACATATCACTTTGCATGAACGAACAAGAGAAGATGACTTTGTTAGTAAAGACAGTAAATATTGAGTTCCAATCCTTAGGGTTAGGGTATGGCAACCTTTCAGATCCTTAGGGAGCTGACACATCTCATATAGCAAAGATAACCTGACGGTCATTTTCAAATACAAAACGCTAAATTATATGCATTTTTTTCTCGTATATCAGGATGGCTGAGCAGCTGTCAGTAAAGTTTACACACGTATTTTACTGAGTGGAATTGCGCACCCTAACAGTTGTGATTGGCAAGGCAAGACGTCCCCGTTGTTTTGGTTGTGACTTTAATCCGGGAGTTTATGTTAGGTACAGGAACAAGGCGAACGCGTGGAGGACATCAGAACTGTTTCGTGATTGGTTGCTAGCATTTGACAGACAGATGCATGTACAGGTATGTTCGCACATGTTATTGACTTGAATACTTTATTTGACAAGATGTTTACAAGATGTATGTTTATGTTTATTTGTTGATGATTACCTCTGAGGTCTATTAAGTTCGTTTCTTTGTATGTCTTTTTACATATCTTCCGTGGTTCAGATATCCGGAAATTCGTTTAACCGGACAATTTCAAGAAAACCATAAGCGCCCGGATAAACGGGTCACGACTGTAGTAACAATATATAGGACCTTGTTTCCTCCGTCCATCACTAGTACTTCACAACAATCACACATTACTAGGTAAGTTCAAATATGAACGAGCAGACGTCACTAAGGCGACATAATCCCCTGCCGCAAATTATCAAATCAAACTAAAAAAGTAATGAAAGTGAAGGTCGGTTAGTTTAAAATGAAGTTAAATGTCAACAAAAACATGAGTCAACCTCTCTTGATATCTTGCTCTGTAGCTGTTCAAACACACAAACATATTCAAGACTCACTTTGACCATGACATGAATGTCGTGGTGTATGAAATATGCAAAGATAATGATAATGAAATTGCTTATCAAAAAACATTCAAGAGAAGTCTTGAAAGTCTATTAAAAAATCCAGTGAACCGTTCTTGACATATCTTGCTGACAATCTTAACATGCAGGTTAACAAACACATGCTGAAATCTTCGAAGTGTCACCGTGACCTTGAAAAATCATGTGACGGTCACCAAAATTAACTGGGCCCTGTGCCGTCCCCAGATGAAGCTTGGTGTCAAATATGAAGTCAATCCAGAGAATGGTTCCTGAGGTATCTCGCTGACAAGGGCAAGACTTTAAACACCCCTTGTGACCTTGAAATAAAGGTCAAGGTCACCAAACCTGACTGGGACCCAGGTGCCAAATATGAACAGAATCTAGTCAACGGTTCGGACGGACAGAGTCGAATACTATATCCCTCACAAGTAAATGAAATATCAAAACGTTTCTCACTCAGGGAATGAGGGAGTTTAGTTTGACGCCGCACTCAGTAATATTCGTTTCTCACTCAAAAGGTAAAATACGGGGTGCCTATTCTCGAAAGTGTACTAGCTAAGACAGATCCTAACTAGTTAGGACAGGAGTTAGGATACCGTTAGGATAAGACCCATTCTCGAAACGATCCTATCCCTGTCCTAATTTGAGCTACCGATCCTAGCTAGGATAGCGAGCTCTTCAGTAGGTGAGATAGAAAAACATTCACTGAGTTGCGGATTCACCTAAATATTACCCATGATTCATTCCATAAAAACCCAACTACATTCTCGTTTACAAGATAAATGGTAAGACTAGAAATCGAAGTAAAAAGCTTGAAAGCGGTGAAATTCAGCTTTTGGTGGACTTCGTAGATCTAGAAGAAATTATAATTAATTATAGTTATAAACAGTTGAGCTTGACATTTCACGGCAATGTGACAGAAAAGAGCAATGTTGTGATTAAATGGCCGAGAATAGGTAAGAATTGAACAAATCTCTTTTGAAGATCTAAAGAATATGTGCATTGCAACAAGTGTGTTTATTCTTTACCAATAAATTGATAATATAAACTAAAAAAACTCTTCTTAACTCATCCAAACTGTGTGCTGTTGTAAATTCAAATGTAATTTAGGCGAGTTATTTTGTTTGACAACGTCAAAATTGGTGAACAAACAAGAACCACACCATGTTGACTTCCACTAAGATAGACTTAGGACAAGTCAGAACCTATCCTATTATTTGTCCTAAGTTAGGATATCCTAGCGCTATGATACTTTTCGGGAATAAGGTAGGACACCTATCCTAGACCTTAGGATCAAAGTTAGGATATCCTAGGGCTAGGATCCTTTCGAGAATAGGGCCCAGTATCTTTGAAATTGAACAACACAGCAATACTGGTGGTCTAACACATATAGCACTGGATCAGCAGACAAGTCAGCTAGACCATAAACTGACTTGGTCTTGCCTGTTGGAATCCCCACCAAAGCTAACACCTAAAACTTAATAAATCCGATAAAAGTTTGAAAATTAACTCACTTTTGATGATCAAATCTTTCTGAGTGCCATCAAGCTCCAGGGCCCTGAAAATATACAGTGGTGAGATGCACTCATGCTGACTAAATCAGTGTTGAAAAGTTAATACTGCTGTCATTTGCTAAGTGGGACATAGTGGTGTAATGAAAAGTATTATAAGAAACCCAAGTTATGCAATATGTATGGGTAAAGTGACAAGAACTGGCGACTCGTAAATATCATCTGACATTAAAAGAATAGAATGTCCATAACTAAGAAGACTGTAATGAAACAAAACGGATGCTACATGGCACTACCTCTTGTAACATTCCAAAGCCTTTTCCTTTTCATTTGTCTTAAGGAAGATGTGTCCCATGAGCTTGTGTGCCTGAGGCACCGTCTCCCTCACACTCAGGAATGATGACAGGTACCTGGAGGGGAGAAGCGGCAATTCGTTGTTAAAGGTCACATGCAACCAAAAAATCAAACATAATTAAAACACAATTATCACTTCTTCATGACATATAATATGCATTGCTGATTATGAAAAAACAAATAAACAAAATTATAAGCGTATAATCGCAAATCAAAAGTGCAATATTTTGTACTTGGGTTTACCTCCCTCGAAACGAAGCAGCCGGGATACCGAACCCAGTCAGAGCGGGTGGGTGTGCACTCAAGTGTAACGGCTGGTTCATTAGCAGATGCCTCCTTCACGGCTCATTGTGTGTGTATATATAGAGATGTTGGGTTTTGTAAATACTAGTACATGCTCATTTTTTGTGTATAACATTTTGCAATCAACAGACATCATAACATGTCATTTGTTCAAGTATCACACCTGCCTGTCTGTGTACTTACATAATGTGACAGAGACCGAACTCGGGCCATAAATCAATGCGTTTTGTTTATGGTGTATAGCCTGATTGGTGTTAAGTTCAAATTGCATGTGGTCAGTGATCGCAGTTGTGTATTGAATATTGTCATTAGCAGACAGGCAGGCAGACACACAGGTGTCAATAAAACAAGACATTGAGTTTTGTCTGTGACAGCGACATATCTATATCACAGTTAGAAATTCTGTCAACGCTAAATAATGACATTGCTTTTAAGTATCGAACTGAGAAAGTGACTCGGTAAGAAGAACGTGTGGTGAAATAGACAAATGAAATTATATAAACAGTTTATTTACTGTCATAACATATAAAAAGCTCGCGCCTGTGAGATATCAACAAAACATTATGAAAATAGCTCACACCAAAGCCTTCACCGAGTATTCACCAGACAGCCCGCTTCAAAGGTGCGCGAACCTATTTCACTGCGCACGTGCTATGAGCGCAGCCCAGCTGTTGAAACCCGTATTCCCCAGAAAAATCTGGGGAAAATTAGTGAAACGTTTGAACTCCGATTTCGCGCGTTTTTTTTCATCGCGTTATTTTTCAACTTTATAAGTTGAATTTGCATTTTTGACGCTTTGTTTCGGTAAGTCCATACCGAAAGGTATCAGAATCTGCAAAGTTGTGTTTTACGTTGCATGTGACCTTTAACAATACAGACACAACTGACCACATGCTGATCATCATCCATAATAGAATATCCAAGCAACAGTGCAGGCTAAACAAATCGATAGTTGGATAATGTTGATGGGAAGAACTTTTAAAGATTATCAAAATGAAAATTGTGTCATTAATAATATCTTAAGTTAACTACTGTGACAAAAGCAATGTTAACATTTACCAAAACGAACTTGTGCCAAAGACAGCACGCAATCTGCCCATTAAATGTTTTTACAGACAAATACACTCTTTGCTTTGTTATTTTGTATATTTATCGTATATCATTGACATACATCATTAGTCCTACAATGAAAATATTAACATGAAGACATGCAATCAATAACTCAGTCAGTCTGACCACATCATTCATTGATTGACCCCTTTCTACATACCTGTAGCTGGGGACTTAGATGGAACCCTCAACTCTCAAACCACCAGTGCAATGTGGACACTAGGGGTGAAACGGTAAATTCTGTATATCGTGGTATTAGTAGAACCACAGTATTTGTGAAGTGAGGTGAAATTGGGTTTAACGTCGTGCTTGAGAATATTTCGCTCATATGGCGATGTGCATGTGTGTGTATGTGCGGCTGCTTATACTAGCCCAGACTTGAGCTGGTATTATAGTGCTAGCCCACTGAGATACCATGCCGCAGTGAAGCAGGAATACCCCACCTAGACACATTATACTGACTCCGAGCCGACCAGTCCTTGTTGTACCCATTAATGCCGAGCACCAGGCAGGGACCAACAAGTACCATGTCTTAACGTCTTTTGGTATGACGCGGTCGGGGATCGAACCCGCAACCTTCCGCTCTCTGGACGGACGCTCTAACCACTACACCACGGAGACAGTCGCAGTATGTAGAACTGCAGTATATTACAGTATATCAAACCGAAACGGTCCAGACCGAAGGCCTTGTACCGCAATACGTACTGTACCGCTTCACCCCTAGTGGCCATATATTACACTGAGGCCTAAAAAAAAAAGCTTGTGGTTCCGATTTCCCGATCGACCCTAAATATTCCCACCGAGCCTAACAATTTTACTCACGACATAATAAATTCAATTTATTTTCTGACACATGAGTAATGTAAAAATATTTTGCAAAACAAAAAAATAAAATAAAATAACCTACCTACCCTAGTTCTGAAATGTAGGAAATCGGAACCATAACATTTATTTTTTATAGCCTGACATATCTAAATACAACAAATGAAAATGATCAATGATAACTTGCTCATAACTATAGGCCTTTCATTTCATATGTACCTTTTAGCAACCTCATATTCAGACACAGAAAAATACAGCCTTGCTATCTGGTAGCCTCTTGAGTTTTTCTGTCAACAAAAATACATAGATCAAATCATTATCAATTAACTTCTTATAGTCTGTTTGCAGTGAAAACGTACCGATGAATTTCACTTTAAACAAAAAAGTAAATCAAATAAAGTGAAATTAAGATTGCGAATCCTCATAATTTTACCTTGCCAACTGAACATTTAAATCTCAGAATTTTATTCAACTGAGGATAAAAGTTGTTTAACAAACGATCATAGTTTCAAATCGCTATTATTAGTTTGTATTACAAGGGGGAATGTACATTAAATGAAACACCGAGAGCAAGTTGGGTTGGCCTGAGTTAACACTGATCACGTACTGCACAAGCATTTGTTTCACTGTTCCAACTACTGCGCTTACCCCCTTGTAATACAAACCAATAATAGTGATTTGAAACTATGATCGTTTGTTAAACAAGTTTCATTCTGAGATGAATAAAAGTCTGAGATTTAAATGTTCAATTGGCAAGGTAAATTTTTTAGGATTATTGTTTATTTCAAATTTTCCATAGCGTATTATACGCAAATATGCAGCTTATCTGGAGCTCTGCAAGATATGACTAGAACTAAGTAGAAGCAAATACCACAGGTTTATATTTTTTAAGGGAATGTCTACTCACGCTCATACACAATGTACTGGTAAATTTTAAATATTGGATGATTGCTTGTGTTTAAGATAAAGTTGTCATTCATAAGTTAATGGGATATATTGTGTTCATGCAATTAGCAAAGGAACAACGAAGGTTTCTTAAAACCCACAAAATAGTGTTATCGTGCTAAAATTAAGCAAATATATATAAAATATAATTGATTAATTTAGCTTTATTGTAAATATTTGGTTTGCGATCGTATAGATATAATATTAAATTCTTTTGGGTACAAACATATGCTCCCTCAATACATTTGGTTTATTATACGCAGTGATCGCTTTAGGCAAACATGTCACTGCACGGAAAATCTATGCCTGCACTGCGGTGCAATAAAATGTGAAAAGTCAGTGGGGCTATTGTGCACAGGTAACTCTTCCCTCCGGTCATAGCTGTCAATACGATGGACATAGGCAGTTAAAACAAAGATGGTTTATGTTTGGCATGCGAGCTGGTCATCTTGTATGGAAACTGTGTGCGTGGCACGAGATGACTGTGTTCCGGGTTAAGGGGTATATATGGAGGGCAGGTGTAGGTCCTAACCATCACTTGCACTCCAGAAATAAACGGATCACGTCACAATTCCGTGCTCACGGTTTCCTTCTCTATTCAAGGTAAGCAGCTCACTAATTCTTATTGATGTATACATGTGTTTGGTTATATGCAATACGGGTGTATTATTGTAATTAGTTATTTTATTATAATGTAACATAAGCGTTACTCTGACCAATGTGTACAAGGTGTATTTCCAGACTTGTATGCAATGTTTAGGTCAATTACGTTAAACTATATTGTAAACTGCAATATAGAATTGCTATGGCAAATAGTATTTCACAAAAGTAATCATTGTATCGCCTTTGCGACTGGTATGTTAAGACATGACCTTGTCTCCCTTCATTACAAGCGACGCATCTAAATGATTACCACCCCTTACAATATGTAATGTGTCAGATTTGTAGAGTTCATATTGTAATGTATATTGTGTAATGTGTTGTTTGATTTAATTATCAAGTCATTAATGGACAATGTTAAACTATAGGCTAGGTGCAGCGTATCACGCAAACTACCTTTTATATATGTAAACCTGGAGTTAATTGAGATATTTCGTGGAACATTGCTTTTAGTAGCCTCCGGCCACACTCACTCTCTATCCACCAGGAGCCCCTTTTGTTTACATTGTGTATCATTAACCTGTACTCATGTATAATTGTCTTTATGTCACATGTGTTTCATTGTATGAGTTTATTATGAATAAGAAAACATGTGACACCATACTTACTGTAAAATGTTGTTAAGCCATTACCGCAATAATTCTAATGTTTAAAAGTACTTACTGTGTATGAATATCTTACATTATCAAACTTCCGTTTCATTTATTTGATACATTGCACGGTATATGAATTCTTATAAATATTATGTTATTATACAATCTTATTGATTGTTCTGTAATGCATCACTTGCACTCCAGAAATAAACGGATCACGTCACAATTCTGTGCTCACGGTTTCCTTCTCTATTCAAGGTTCCCCAACAACACAATTCCCCATCTTAAAGTGAGGTCTCTACTTCTCAACAAAGAGGAGGCCTCACAAAATTATCAGCTAGACGAAGTCGTGTATTAAGACCAGTAACCACACGATTTCAATAGGATATATCTAAAATTGGAAGGAATCTGCAATTTCTACAAGCCCCCCAAACACTTTTTAGTGTGGAATCATCCCACCGATTAGATACATCAGGTGCAAGTCTTCAAAAATGTACAGTACATTGTATTGTATCTCCCTTTGTATTTACCTGTCCATATTCCCTTCCTTTCACCAGATGTGATTGAAACCAGGCCATTCACTATCACGGAAACAGTTCCTTTCGTTCCCCCAACCCTAAACCTAACATAAATTTTGGACTTTTAGTCATTTTGTGAGTTCTCTAGTAATTGTTGTTTTTTTAATAATTTTAGTATATTTACAAATATCATTTGGGATGGGGGATCGGGAGGAACTCTTACCACGGCTAGAATGCACTTTACGGGGGCGCAATCCCGCAGCGTCTCCAGCGATGTCTTGCTATATCGCGTTAATTGCTCCTTTACAATCCTTAGGGTTTGGGTTTAGGGTTAGGTATGGCACCCTTTACTATCCTTAGGGTTAGGCACCCTTTACGATCCTTAGGGTTAGACACCCTTTACGATCCTTAGGGTTAGGGGTTACAATAATCTGAAATAGTGCACCTGGTAAAGTGCAGTACTCCTTTTACCACTATCACAAACGTTCAAAGTTCTTGAAAAATTAACCAATCCGAACTTATTAATTCCTCAGTATGTTCAATATAGTCCACAAAACTTCGCATTTTTGAAGCACCAGTCCTCTCAATTTTGTTGTTATTGTTCGTACTACTCCACTACATCATAATACTGTAATACTATGATAAATGAATAACGTGTTACATTTAGAGTAAATAATAAAGATTGAAAGTACAGTCAAATCCCGATGAGTCGAATGCCGGTGTCTCGAATATTATGCATAACACGAAGTATCTGTCGGTCCCGACCATTCCCTGCTATTGTTGTCATCATTTGATTTCCGGTTACACTATTCGTCTCATAAATACACACGATGACTCGAAATGGAAATTTGGTCCCATGAGATTCAAACAATAGTAATCTTGTATACATAAGCCGAAGTCAGTCAATGAGAAGTTAATTGGTGCTGCTAATAAGATTCAAGATGGCGGCATGTACATGTACGTATATCTATCGATTGCCGATAGATTTTGTTCATGGATTTTAAGAGGTAAATATATTTTGTGTTTGATTGTGCTAGTATTGAAATGTGTTCTCATTTGTATACTGTTTGTTTCCATTATCCATTATTATCCATTATCTATGTCACCTAATGTATTGTTGTGCTATATTTAGATATGATGTGCTGAATAAAGGAATTGTTCAATATTGAATCATCTTTTTTTTCTACCCTCATAGACATACCTATGTCTCGAATACATCGATAAGCCGAATCTTTTACTTGGTCCCCAGCGATTCGACTCATCGGGATTAGACTGTAGTTAAAGTAATGAAATGGAAAGTAGGCCTATTTGGTATCTCGAGACTTCTAAGAGCGTAGATATGTAAAACTTGATGACATAACTTATTCTCTTTCTCACCTCCTTTTCATTCTTGATTCTTCCCAGCACATTTGCAGCATGTCCATCGACGTCTTGCTTCGTTCGAAACATGGTCTCAGGCTTCTCACTTTCAACTATTTTCTTCAGAACATGTGAGTATGCGGCGCATTTAATTTTCCGCCATTTTTCTTGTGATCACTAACGGTTTTCCACGAATGAGGCCCTCAACCAACGTGTATGGCTTCACACTGTAGTGTATAGAGCGTCTGAAAGAGCGAAATCTCAACGATGACTAATTAAACACGAAACACATTTTCCTTTTATGTGTTTGGATATAAATAGATTACTAGCGCTGTGAATATTGACATTCGACTCGTACTTGTGTTTGAATTGGACAGCGTTCCGCTCGCACGTTGCGCACCGGTTTCCACCCTCGCACTGGACCTATTTACGACAGTTTATTACGGAACAGTGTGTGATGGAACTTGCTAATATCGGTTTCTATTAGACACAGTTATATATACTGGCTAGAATGCTCTACCGGGCGCAGCCCTCGCTGCTCCCTTTACGATCCTTAGGGTTAGGGTTTAGGGTTAGGGTATGGCACCCTTTACGATCCTTAGGGTTATATACTAACTAACTGTTCAGTGTTCACCTCTTAATATGTTTTATTACCGTAGCTGTTGGATGTTGTAAAGTGAATTGCGAACCACTTTACGGTAGTAGGTACTCGTGTAACCTCGGGAATTTCCGGTCGATATCGGACCCGAAGCACCAGCCCCAAATTACGAAAACTTTCCAGCGGACAGTTCAATGTCAAATCTGTTTTGATGCCGTTCATCTTGAGAGGATTCATGTTCCTAAATAGCACACGTCACAATTAGAGCAGCAATACAATCTTGTTGCGAAATATACACAAAGAAATGCTAAAGTATTAAATTACTTCTTCTTGCAAGTGACCAAGTAAAAACTGCTCAACTAGTTGTGGCGTTAATGGTGCGGTCCCAGTGCCGACCTCACGCTACACCAAATTGGGGGTCGAGTTGGTCGAGTTTCAGAACGAGTTAGGTCGAGTCAGGTCGAGTCAGATCGAATCAGGTCTACCAAGTTTTTGAAATGTTTTTGACATGTCAAAGATTTTCCACGACTTCCTCCTCGACCTTCGGTCCGAGATGGGGTCGAGAATAGGTCGAGGTAGGTCGAAAAAAGGTCGAGTTTAGGTCGACATTAGGTCGAGTTGGTCGAGTTGAAGGTCGAGCTGGCCTGACATGCCGATCTGTGTTCGTCTTAGAGTCGATCTGTACTCGGCCTCGACTCGACCTCGATTCGACCTTGAGTCGACCAACTCGAACTGGACTCGACTTGGACTCAACCTGGAGTCGACCGAGTCGACCTGAAGTCAACCTATCTCGACCTCAACACGACCTAATCGAGTCCGCGCCGACCACATAAATGGTCGCCATCTTCCCAGATGCTTCATAAAAGCCAAACGGCAGCCAGTGGTAGCACATCATCTCCACACCAACCTGCTGCCACCCAGAGGTCCACCCTGAGCACACCACCCTCTCCAACACGCCGCAAAGCAGCGAAACAGGCTGGTATCTTCCCCAGCTTTGACTCCAGTGCTGCAGCAGGTATATCTCTGTACCTGCCAAGCGGTCTCTTGGACCCTACACACACCTCAGAGGATCAGTCACATGTTCAGGACTCTCAGCAAGGACAGTGAAACTAAGAAGTAGAACTTGGTACTCATATATTGTCATGAGCACTTTATACTGATGTGAAAGGTTACCTTCAAAATATTTAAATGAGTTTCCAATACAAGATTTAAAAGCTTTTTTATCTGATATTTTTTTGTATTTCCCATCCATTGCTAAGTGTAACTGTAAATACATCTTGTACGATTGTAATAAAGTTTGTTTTGTTCATCATGTATATAGTTAGTTTTGATTGTGTTTTTTTTCGCATTTACCGATTGTAAATAGTGTATATAAAAAACAAACAAGAGTTCCTTTGTAAATGAAGTAGTCCTAAATAATAGAGTACACTTTAGTGGGGTAACGTTCCTCGTACCCCGGTTATCCCCATCAAGCAGCTGTGTGTAGGAGCGCCACTTGCCTGGGGTGAGTGAACAGTCCCCATTCCCCGGTCTATGAGGTTCATCTGACTGTTCCGGTTCCTCGTTCTCAGCATGTTGTGTAAAGTGACGCAGGCCTGGGATATCTGTTTAGGGAACCTTATAGCCAGAATCCCGGAGGTAATCTCCACCACTCGTCTGGCCCGAGACAGTCTGCAAAAGTCACAAATTTAACATTTTTAAGTCGAATGCATTCAAAATTCAAAACCTTTGAGATAACATTGCAAACACCCAAAGATACTAAGTTATAATTTGATTTAGGTATTTATGGAAAAGAATAATTACCTGCAGTTGAAGATCTGCTGATCGGGGTCCATCTGACGCATGGAAAAGGACTTCATCATCCAGGGCCGGAGTGGAAAGGCATCGTCTCCGATGATGAAGTATGGCACACCATACGGGGAATACAAGGTCATCGCCCTCCATCCGATCTCGTGAATGGTTGAAGACCATCAGCGTCTGATGCTGATCCCTTGGCCCCGACGTTGACCCACGGGAACTTGTAGTCGGCATCCGCGAGTTCCAGCAAGACAATAGAGAAGAAGTTCTTGTAGTGGTAGAAGAGGGACCCGCTTTTGGGGGGCTTCTTGAGGCGTATGTGCTTGCCATCAAACGCACCGGTGCAATATGGAAATTGCCACCTTTCCTTGAAAGCACGGGCTACAGTATTCCATCTACTCTGATCCCACTCATCTGACCAATACTCAGCTTTGAAGGCTTCAAGGATAGGATTGATGTGCTTACGGCTGAGGCTTTGGCTTTGGATGAGGGTTGGCATTCTCCAGGTCATCCACCAGTTCAAGCAGGTGCCAGGCTATCTGCACCCAAATGGTAAGCAGCCTTCGCTTCTCGGGGCTCGTCAGGTTTACGTCAAGGTTCCTGATGGTGATGGTACTACTATGCAGTCCTCTAATTGAATGGGTACGTGGTGAAAATGCACCCTGTAATTTATACAATTTGGAAACCAAGGGTCTACTCGGCAGAAAAATGGAATTTCCTTCGAGAACCAGTCGCTCCGGTTGAACACAGGTCGCGATGAAGTCGGGCCGGTCGACTTAGGACGAAATTAATTCGAAATTAAGTCGATATACAGGTCTAGCTGTTCGAGTATAGGTCTTCTCAACTTAGCCGACCTAAGTCGAGATAGGTCGACTGAAGTCGAACTAAAATCGAACAAAGGTCGTAATGAGGTCGTTTTGAGGTCGTTTTGAGGTCGAGATACCCCCCAGGTCGAGACCGGTCGAGAAGTTTGCGAGGTCGAGTCGGTCGAGCTCCCGAGGTCGCCACTGGGACCGCACCATATATTATATATTTTCAAGTTTATGTATTTTAATAACACAATTTTCTATTGACATAACAGATCAATGGAGGAGGATATTCTTGCGGAGGAGCGGGAGGTGGAAGATCCTCTATACACGTTGGTATCGGACGGCTCACAGAAATCAAAACCCAAGCTGGTAGACAGGAATGGATTCACCTACGTAATAAAGGTATTGTTACATCTTAATCCTATTGTATCAACCATACTATACCTGGATATTTCTATATTTAATGTTATTGTTTTTGACGTTATATTAACGTTATATTATTACATCTTTCAGGAGGTCACTCAGAATAAGATTTACTACAGATGTAGCAAACGTCCCTGTAAGGCAACTGTTGCCGAGACCAATTCAACAGGAGACAGAGTGCCAGGCAAACACAACCACAGCCACACAGCAGAGGCAGGCAAAATTGTTTCAGTTCAAGTAAGAGCTCAGGTGAGTAGTACTTTCTATTGATTGATTCCTAATTAGGATTAGTTAAATTGTCAATTGAACATCCTTAATTGTTAATTGGTAGATGTTAACGAATTGAATTGATTCTTAATTGGATCAATCAACCTTGTTGTTATAGGTGAAGAGGACTGCAACGCAAGACATGTTTAAGTCTGCCAGGTCAATAGCTGAGGATGTCACCAGCGATATGGTAGATCCAATACTGCCATCCGGGAGCAGAGACAACCCTGAATATTTAGCTCGTATCGCCAACAGGTGTAGAGAAAAACTTCGGCCAAAGAATCCGAAAGATTTGAAATTGGAATTTGAAAGTCATACGAAGATGCTGCACGTCCTACCCCGTCCACCCCAAGTCCGATGCATTATGATGGATTTCGAAGCTGCCACATGGACTGATTTGATCGACTCCTCCCCGATGTCAAGCTACGCGGCTGTGTTTTCCATCTTACACAAGCCATCTGGCGACATTGCCAGGAACACATTCATTCATTCGTATAAGCATCATATTCATATAGCCACATTTTTCAAAGTCATCTTCTGTTCCTATTATTGTCTTTAGAGCGTCGTCACAGAAGCTCTGTGACTCAACCAGTCAGTCCGCACCAATTATGAACTTGTGTAAATTATGAACGAATGAAATTGTGTGAATTATGAACGCTTGAACTTGTGTGAATTACGAACGAATGAACTTGTGTGAATTATGAATGAATGAACTTGTGTGAATTATGAACGAATGAACTTGTGTGAATTATGAACGAATGAACTTGTGTGAATTATGAACGAATGAACTTGTGTAAATTATGAACGAATGAACTTGTGTGGATTATGAATGAATGAACCTGTGTGAATTATGAACGAATGAACTTGTGTGAATTATGAAAGAATGAACTTGTGTGAATTATGAATGAATGAACTTGTGTAAATTATGAACGAATGAACTTGTGTGAATTATGAATGAATGAACTTGTGTGAATTATGAACGAATGAACTTGTGTAAATTATGAACGAATGAACTTGTTTGAATTATGAATGAATGAACTTGTGTGAATTATGAACGAATGAACTTGTGTGAATTACGAACGAATGAACTTGTGTGAATTATGAACGAATGAACTTGTGTGAATTATGAATGAATGAACTTGTCTAAATTATGAACGAATGAACTTGTGTGAATTATGAACTTGTGTGAATTATGAACGAATGAACTTGTTTGAATTATGAATGAATGAACCTGTGTGAATTACGAACGAATGAACTTGTGTGAATTATGAACGAATGAACTTGTGTGAATTATGAATGAATGAACTTGTGTAAATTATGAATGAATGAACTTGTGTGAATTATGAACTTGTGTGAATTATGAACGAATGAACTTGTTTGAATTATGAATGAATGAACTTGTGTGAATTATGAACGAATGAACTTGTGTGAATTACGAACGAATGAACTTGTGTAAATTATGAACGAATGAACTTGTGTGAATTATGAATGAATGAACTTGTGTAAATTATGAACGAATGAACTTGTGTGAATTATGAATGAATGAACTTGTTTGAATTATGAATGAATGAACTTGTGTGAATTATGAACGAATGAACTTGTGTGAATTATGAACGAATGAACTTGTGTGAATTATGAATGAATGAACTTGTGTAAATTATGAATGAATGAAATTGTGTGAATTATGAACGAATGAACTTGTGTGAATTATGAACGAATGAACTTGTGTGAATTATGAACGAATGAACTTGTGTGAATTATGAAAGAATGAACTTGTGTGAATTATGAACGAATGAACTTGTGTGAATTATGAATGAATGAACTTGTGTGAATTATGAATGAATGAACTTGTGTGAATTATGAATGAATGAACTTGTGTGAATTATGAACTTGTGTGAATTATGAACGAATGAACTTGTTTGAATTATGAATGAATGAAATTGTGTGAATTATGAACTTGTGTGAATTATGAATGAATGAACTTGTGTGAATTATGAACGAATGAACTTGTGTGAATTATGAAAGAATGAACTTGTGTGAATTATGAACGAATGAACTTGTGTGAATTATGAATGAATTAACCTGTGTGAATTATGAACGAACGAACTTGTGTGAATTATGAATGAATGAACTTGTGTAAATTATGAATGAATGAACTTGTGTGAATTATGAACGAATGAACTTGTGTGAATTATGAATGAATGAACCTGTGTGAATTATGAATGAATGAACTTGTGTGAATTATGAATGAATGAACCTGTGTGAATTATGAACGAATGAACTTGTGTGAATTATGAATGAATGAACTTGTGTGAATTATGAAAGAATGAACTTGTGTGAATTATGAACGAATGAACTTGTGTGAATTATGAACTTGTGTGAATTATGAACGAATGAACTTGTGTGAATTATGAATGAATGAACTTGTGTGAATTATGAACGAATAAAATTGTGTGAATTATGAACGAATGAACTCGTGTGAATTATGAACGAATGAACTTGTGTGAATTATGAACGAATGAACTTGTGTAAATTATGAATGAATGAACTTGTGTAAATTATGAATGAATGAACTTGTGTGAATTATGAATGAATGAACTTGTGTGAATTATGAACGAATGAACTTGTGTGAATTATGAATGAATGAACTTGTGTGAATTATGAACGAATGAAATTGAGTGAATTATGAATGAATGAACTTGTGTGAATTATTAACTTGTGTGAATTATGAACGAATGAACTTGTGTGAATTATGAACGAATGAACTTGTGTGAATTATGAACGAATGAACTTGTGTAAATTATGAACGAATGAACTTGTGTGAATTATGAATGAATGAACTTGTGTGAATTATGAACGAATGAACTTGTGTGAATTATGAACGAATGAACTTGTGTGAATTATGAATGAATGAACTTGTGTGAATTATGAATGAATTAACCTGTGTGAATTATGAACGAATGAACTTGTGTGAATTATGAATGAATGAACTTGTGTGAATTATGAACGAATGAACTTGTGTGAATTATGAACGAATGAACTTGTGTGAATTATGAAAGAATGCACTTGTGTGAATTATGAACGAATGAACTTGTGTAAATTATGAATGAACTTGTGTGAATTATGAATGAATGAACTTGTGTGAATTATGAACGAATGAACTTGTGTGAATTATGAATGAATGAACTTGTGTAAATTATGAACGAATGAACTTGTGTAAATTGCCATAATGTTATTTTTGTTAATTATGTGACCTTGTGTTGATTAGATATATGTATTGCCATTACATGAAAACTTGGCTACATGCTTTATTAATGTTATGCTGATATTATGCTACATGTGTCAATAAATAATGTAAAACCTTTCTAAACTAAATACCTGCCTGCCCCACCGCCCGGGACGGGATATTTTCAACATGGACTGCCAGATTCTCAAATCTACCTGCCCGACGATCGGGTTAAAATTTATACATGTATATGAAGATATTCATCATATTTCAGGATTATAAATCATTGTTAATTCACTCGTAAAAATAGAGTATATAGGTAAATTAGTATTTGTTGTGGGCAGCTAAATTTTGGTCAGGGCTGGCAATTTTTTTTATCTAACCAGCCCTGTGGTCAGGCTGAAGTTTTTGGGAGTTTCATACCCTGCTTTACCCCATTTGATAATGTTGCTATGAACGCCTAGATTAAACAGTTTACTCATCAAAAGGCGTGGTTGGATGGTTTTGAAGGCGGAAGAAAAATCAATAAAGAGGATTCTTACATAGTTGTTACAAGTCTCCAGATGAAAGTATTTTACAGGAGGGTTAATGTTGCGTCCTTCGTCCCACGCCCTGGTCTATATGCAAATTGTAAAGGATCTAGCAAATGACTTACATCAAGTAACACTTTTTTATATGAAATACACAATGCCATTTTAGAAAGTAGTCAAATGTGACATATGTTATATTTGGGATTACACTTTCTTAGTAAAGTACAGATTCTAGTACTTTTTGGGTTGGGTTCTGAAATGGCATTGTGTATTTCATAGCTTCCGCCGTGGGAGCCGTGCCAATTAACACTTATCAGAGGGGTACACAAAGTCGCAGTCTAGACTACCAGTTGTCCGACTTCCTTTTTTTGTGGAAGACGCGATGGCCGAGCGGTCTAGGCGTCTGACTTTGTCTGCTGACGATTAGGTGCCTGACTCTGAGGGTGTGGGTTCGAATCCCGGATGGGACTCAACCCAAAAAGTACTAGAATCTGTACTTTACTAAGAAAGTGTAGTCCCAAATATAACATAGGTTAACAAAATGTATATAACCCTTTCTAAACACTTCATCGCTATCAATGTCCAAGCAACTGGGCGATAGTCATTATATACGGCGGGATTATTCCGTTTCGGAACAGGAATGATATTGGAAGTTTTCCAGAGAGTGGGGATTACAGTTGAACTAACTGACCATTGAAACATCTTCTGAAATAAGACACATAGTTGCTCTCCACATTCTTTCAAAACAATACCAGGTAAGTTATCAGGGCCGCAAGATTTGCCTACTTTGAGTTGTTTAAATGACAACAGAACATCACTTCTTGAAATTACTAAGTCATCAGATGAGGGTAAAGATGAATACATGTTATCAATATCGTTGGTAAAATCATGATAGTCAAATCTGGCATAAAACAATTCATTAGCTAAAACAAGATTATCTTGAACATCAATACACTGCTGTTTGTTTGTTAATCCCAATTACAGACTTAAGTCCTTGCCAAGCATGTTTCAAATCCTTCGTGGTAAATTTTTTTTCAATTTTAACTATATATTCATATTTACATTTTGCCGTTTGACATAAAATATCCCTTTGTATTTCTTTAACTTTGTGAATATTACCTGAACAAAATGCTCGTTTCTTTTCATTCAATAAAGATTTTAACTCCTTTGTGACCTACGGTTTATTATTAAGGTAAACTTTGATTGTCCTAAGAGGAATAATATATTCATGCTAATAATGGTTGTCACCCCCTTCAACTTTTTTAATTGGAGAAGGTGTGTGGGAGGGAGTGTGAGGTGTGTGTGGGGTTGGGTGGGGAGGGGGTGACAACCATCATTGGCATGAGTATATTATCAACACAAAACTTAATGTAGTCTGTCACTGCGTTGGTTAGATCGTCCAGAGTATTACATGCTCCTTCAAAAATATCCCTATTAGTACATTCAAAACACCCTCTCAGCTGATCCAGTGACTCAGTGGTCCATGATTTAACCTGCTTGATAACAGGTTTATCCGACTTCAGCTTCTGCTTTTAGGTTGGCACAAGACGGGTAGCGTTATGATCTGATGTTCCTGATAGGCGGTTTAACGTAGGATTTGTAAGCGTCACGAATATTGCCGTAACAAAGATCCAATGTCTGGTCTCGCCCGGATGGACACGTTGCATGTTGAAAATAGTGTGGAAGTGCATATTTTAAAGAACATTTATTAAAATCACCCATAATGATGATGGAATGTGTTCTTTGGCTGGAAATGTGTCCACCATTTGAGACTAAACTAGCGCCAAGGCCAATTCGTGTTGAGAAATCAGAGAAGCATCTTAAGCAGGTCACTGACAATCTGAAAGTTGTGAAATCTATTGCCCGAGACAATAGTCAATGTGTAGACAAATAGCATCAAGAACTACAATCATCAGCGAGTGAGTACGACGCCTTTAGCACTCTTCCTGTAATATCACGTTGGGAACACGAGGAATCATCTTCATACAATGTACAAATGCTCGGAATCGAACCCGATATTATTGGAATATTGCTAAAACGGTGTAAAACCAAACTCACTCACCCATTCCCTTTAGTGTATTTTAGTGGTCTATGTTATCAGCGGTTTTAGGATTATCGCCCTTTGAAACTACTCGTACATTTCCGGTACATGTCGGCAATAGCCGTATGAACGCCAGACAAAATGGCGAACAAATTACCATGGGGCCTAAAAGGGAGCCGTTTGGCCCCTGGTTCTGCAAAGGTATGAGTATTAACAGAATTTCACGATATCTTAATGGAAGTTTACAGTTTGTTCTTTCAAAGTGATAATGTTTAAACTGCAGTTATACCTCAGTTTTTACGTGTCAAGAGATAACATGATATGCCCCACACTGGGTCACGTTGTTTACCGACACTGAACGTTGTGACCCAGTGTTATATTTAGGTTGTGTTCAGCCGAACATTGGTACCAAACTGGACGTAGTTTTATAATACATTTGAATCAAGTTTTATATATATTGCAATTAATTCAGTTACAACAAGCGCAGTTTACAAACATTAAGCTGTATTCAAATCCAATGGCCATGCCGGATTAGACTGCTGGACGATAATCCAATTGCATTTGATAAAAATATAACTACATCCGAAACATACAATGAGCATGTTACTACACTCATGAGGTGTGTATTAGCTGTGTAACCAAAGCTATGTACAGTTCAGCGTTCAATATCTGACATCAGCCCTGACATCGTCTGGTCACTAATACATAACTACAGTTCCAGAGGCCCAGATAAGCTGCGTATCCGGGTAAAATACGCAAAGAAAATTTCCAATTACGCATTGAATAATAATTGTTGCATACCAATTACGCATTTAAACTGTTAGATACGCAAAGAGTTTAAAACTAATGCGTACGGAATATGTTTATAAAAATCGCTTGCGTAATGAAAAAGACATCCTTTGCTATTAAGTTGCTCCGTTAGTATAGGACAAGTGTTGTACTGACAGTATAGAATGAGTGATTTTTTATGAAATCATTTCCCTTATATTTATGTTGGGTTTGACTAAGTATGACATAAGGCAGAACATACCTGCTTAGTAACTTACTCAATGACATAATACTTAGGTGAGTAAAATGACTGAAATACGCTCATATTTGAAAGCAGTGGGTAACGGAAAATGAAATACCCACTCAACATTCATAATACCCACTCCGAAAAAATACAGTGGGTACAGTACCCACATCAGCAAAATCTTATCTGGAGCCCTGAGTTCATTCCTGTCTATGGGGAAAATGTGGTGTAACAATTTCCTTGATTCATATTTCACGATTTGTACTCATAAGAGAAGTTGTGAATGTAGGGGTAAACTTGTACAGTCATCATCAGGCTTTATCAGAGCTTTATAAAGGCATGAAACAAAGCTATGTATCAGAGACTAGTGGATATAACTTTTTAAGGATAGTAAAAGCTGAGTATTATGCATCACTTTGATTCTGCAGCTAGTCTTCGATTACGTGACAGATATGGGCAGAAAAGTAGCGATTATGGGTGACTATTGAGGGGGAAACAACTATTGCGATAGCAATAGTCTATTTTGACAAATTATTGAAATACTGTTGCAATAGTTTTTTTCTCCTTTAATTGAAGTCATGTCCCGCATGAATGTATAGTTTATATGAAATATAAACAGGTTAAAGTAGTTCCAGTCTCGTTAAATAACCCAGATCAAGTAAACAGTTAAAATATAAACTTATTGTTACCGTATATTGCCGTAGATAAGCCACTCCCCAAACTTGACCCTTAAAATCAGTGTCAAAATGGTATGTTTCGTACATAAGCCGATTATTGTGCATGTTTGAACTTCATCGCAGGGAAATGTGTGCACAGCTGATTGCTATCTCAAATACACACGGTAATCTTAATCCCTGCAAATAATACAATGCCCAGCAAAAACACCTTAGAACTTAAAAGGAAAATAATCATGTCTAGTGATGTTTAATTGCAAGTTTGACGTCTTTAGTGACAAAGTCATCTTCTGTTGTTTGTTTGCGCGAAGTGATACGATGTTGTTTTCTTAGCCCTGGAAAAAAGTTTGATGAAAGCATAACCCATAGATAAGCCAACCCCCTTCTACAGACTGCTTTTTTTGGTCCTCAAAATTCAGTTTATCTACGGTAATATACGGTATTCACAAGTTCAAACTCTGAGTCATATGCCATTTCGCCGCCATTTTCGTTTGAGAGATAACAGGGGAGGATAACTCTAAATCAAAGCAAACGAATATGGTACTTCATGTATTTTGCGCAGCGCATTTATCAACGGTAGTCAATTAGTAAACTATCGATAGTCACACATACTATTGATGCATCGATAGTTTTTCGTTTCCACCACCGATTAATTGCTATCGGAGACTCAACAATTGCAATCCATCAATAGTTTGATGCATCGTTACAGTATTAGTAGCGATATGACCATGAGACAGAGTATGAGTCAGACATGCAAATATATGTGTGGCATAGAGGACCGAATACAACATAAAACAAAGTCGTAGAACTAACAAATTCAATAATTAATAAGAGCATGTGACAACCTACCTCAACACATGCATGAATCAGGAGCATGTGCATCATCAATATAGTCAGGTTCGTTTTGATTCATATCTTTTGAGGGGCAGTGGGGTAGCCTTGTGGTTAAACTTAAAGCGTTAACTTGTCACACCAAAGGCCTGGGTTCAAGTCCCACATAGGTACAATGTATGAAGCCCATTTCTGGTGTCCCCCGCCATGATGTTGCTGGAATACTGCTAATGTGGTTTAAAACCATACTCACTCACTCATCTTTTGACTACTGTCATCTGAGTTACTGCAGATAATTGTGCCTTGGTTTCAATCCACATCTGCCCAAACCAATGCTTTTAGGTGAGTCAGAACCTTATGCGTGCTTATGTCCTTCACCCAGAAGTTAATATGGTCGAAAACCTGTGTATCTTTATGCTTCCCCCAACAGAAAGTTGACACTCTTAGTCACTCACATCAAGACATGTATCTTCATTCATATGGTCCTATTTTATTTTTCAGACCATCTCCGAAAGCAAGTTGAAAGCTTTCGAGGTGGGAACTATGAACCTTGGAAAGCAATCCTTGTCAAAAAAGGAATTAGATGAAATGAGGAAAAAGGTGATGACATTGTTCAAAATATTGTATAATTGTGTTGATTTTGTGCATTGTTCTAGATTATGTTTTTCTTTATGTTCTTCACATTAGAAATCTTTATGATTACTTGCATATCATGTCATAATTCAATAGTGTAGTTTGATGCTTATGATGTAGATTATGGTCCAGATACAATTGTTTAAGAAACCGCCACCATATAGCTGGAACATTGCTGAGTGCGACTTTAAACAACAAACGAAGAAACAAATTCTTTATAATGTCTGAATGAGAAATTTATGGTTTTGCTATTTGGTATGTCATAATTAGTTTGATATTGACATAACAGAGAAAGCACTATGTAACTCAGAATATCAGCAACATGTGTCACTGGCCGGAATAGTAATGTGTTTGTGATTTGTTGACAAAGGTGAAAGTGAGATGAGTTCAACAGTTTTGTGAAAAATCAAAACCAGTAGAGAAACACTTCATGTTAAACATTTTACTGTAACTGCTTGCAGCAAGATGCAGAAGCTACAGCACAGGTATATGAGGAGTTTGTTGCTTCATTTGATGAAGCACATAAACAAGCCGGCACCAAGATGTGGGTCAAGGGAGAAACTGTCAACGTTGACAGACCTTTCAGTGGACCTCCGAGAACTCCAAGACACAACTCGGGTAAATATATTCACCAGACATTTATGCTAATTACATATCACCATGATCATTATGTGCTTGGAGAAATCATCAGTGTTGTTCGAAATTAAGCATGAAAGTCAAGGGGTCCTTCTCATTTGCCTAAATGATGACATGTAAAGATGAAAGGGATCCCTAAATTCAAAAGTACTGAATACTATAGGACTGCAGGACATTGCATTATTTCGAACACTGATAAGTAAAAGACACAGACATATTGTAACATGGACAACTAGTTTCCAAACACACATCTGATTACTACTTCATTCTACCCATGACGATCCAGGTTAGAATTGGTCTTCAGCAACCTATGTTTGTCGTAGGAGGAGACTAACAGGATGAGGTGGTCAGGCTCGATGTCCTTGTTAATACATGTCATCATATCCCAATTGCATAGATCATGCTTTTGATCACTGGATGTCTTGTCCAAACTCTGTATTCACAGACCATCACCATATAGCTGGAATACTGCTCAGTGCATGTTAAACAAACACACAAGTTCATTCCCCTTTCCCTGATTTGACATTAATTCCTATCCCTAAAGGAACTGTACACAACATATAATTTAGTTATGGTGCCTAGCACTGCATACTCTATGTACGACAAAGTTTAATGTATTTTTAGTACATTGGATGATGAGTCATTTATCTACTACTGTTGAACTAAATCCAAGCTTGATCATTAACAGGCTGCCATTATGATGGTTGCATTGCTGGAATATATTTGCAGCATTCCTTCCTTGAAGAGTAACATGATTTGTGAACTGTTTCTTGAACTTTGCTTATACTTTGCATTTTCCAGGAGAGAGTAGACCTGACAAGAGCCGGCTGTACAAGCCAACATCCAAGCTAGCAGAGCTCGCTGCCACATTCCAGTCTATGAAGGAAACCAAGAAAGAAGATGATAAGCCGGTAACTTGTAATCTCTCAGCTGAACTGTGTACATGTTTAAACACTTAATAAACAGATTGCATCCCAAATACTGACACTGGATTTGCACCAGGAACCAGCTGATAAATGATATTCACTAAAAGCATCAGCATTCTGTTGATTAACATGATTTAATGTTGTTGGATTTTATTAACCCATCAGTCTTTGCAAAACTGTCTCTCAAATGTGTTTTTGTCTTAGTGTATCAGACCAAATAAAAGTGTAAAGTTCAGACTTCCTAATAGTTGCAGTGACATGCTGAAATTATGTGTTATGATTTGAAGTGCATTTTCCCAGGGAGTGTTTATATATTATGATAAATACCTTGAATCCTTTCACCATCAGACTCTTGTTTCCTCACTGGCTAGATCTCACTTATGCGTTAAATTTGCACACTGTTTCTTTTTCTCATGAAATTAACCTGATTGAATGGTTATTTAGTGAGCCATGCCATTCAATAAGGGTTCAGACCAAGTCATACTAATGAATGGAGTATTGATCATAATACAGTGGAGATGGAACATGTACAGTACACTGGATCATCAAGAACTGTGGCAGATACACAAGCAGTTCCTGTGGCACATCTCTACATCCCAGTCAACTGAAGGTTGGACTGGCCTAGAATACTTGTTCGCCCCTAGGGTTTGGGTTTAAGGGATGGAAGTATTGAATCTGTTGGCCCCCAGGGTTAGTGTTAGGGGCGAACATATTCTTTAGGGGGTTCCCTCCCTTGAAGGTACAGTTTGTCTGGAATTTAGGCAGAAGTTTTCTGTGTGCTTTCGGTTTGTTATCAACATGATCATGGGTGTTTCTTTTACAGAATTCTAACAAAAAGAAAAGGGGAGATGAGAAGAAAAAAAGCAATCTTGAACTCTTCAAAGAAGAATTGAAACAGTAAGTGTATGAAATAAATTACATTGATTATTAATTATTTTTGTTTATTAAATCCATGCAAAAGTCATGCTCAAAGTTAGTTATCTGATATTTATCATTCTGTTTCATAGAGATCGTCCTTGGGGTACATATATATGCATTTTCTGTGGCTGAAAATGTCATGTGACAGTTGTATCAATGTTTTAATAAAATATTGTACAATAAATAAAAAGCCTTTTTTATCTATTATACACCCCACCACCACGTGGAGTTACCTCCCTGCCACACGTGCGTGGTCAACCAGGTAAGCACCCAGGCCCGTATCATCATTCCTTCTGCTGTCACGCATCGTGTTCACACGTGCCTTGACCGTGCTGACCAATTCTAAGATGACTGAGTCTTCAACTTCTGTATGTATGGTCTTTATTGTTTTTTCAGAACGCTCTTTTGACTTTGCAGTTAGTTATTTCTCATTTATGTGACTTTTGTATTAAAATTTTACGCTCGCTTTCCCGTCGGCCTTGAGGTACCTGTCAATCCGTTGCCACTGGTGCTTGAAAAGGATTCCCGGTGTTCCGGTTCCTGCACCCACTTTGCCTGTGAGAGCGGAGGAGCCAGTTTTGCCTGTGCTACCTCCTACCGGGGTCCTGGCGTGCTGTCGGTGTCCGGGGCGGATAGTGTCTCGGGGTCTTCCCTTCCCTTGTCGTCTGTGGCTCAGCCTTCCACCGGTCGGGGTTCAGGTCCTCTCTTCGGGAGGATCCGGATTCTTGCTCGGGTTCGGGAGCAGAGTCGATGGATGTGGGGGAGGTTGAGGAGTCCGACGGCGCTTCCTGCTTCTCATCAGCTTTGCATGAGGTGAGCCCCAAGCTGCGGTGCCGACATGCCACCAGGAGTCATCTGAGTTCCGCCTGCCGGGTGAGGCGTTTGCTCCTCGGCAGCCTTCACTGACGCAGCTCCGCATTCTTCCATCGCTGATCCAGGACGTAGTGGATCTGTTGCAGGGCTCCAGATAATTTTCAACATCAGGAGTACGTACTCCTTATATTTCCAACAGAGGAGTACTGGAAAACCTCAAGAGTACTAGTTGGAATTACAGGAGTATCAGTAATCTTGTGTTTCGTTTCATATATGCACCACAACATTGCTACTCTTATGTAAACAGGTCAATAAACAATGAAACAATACTTTTAAAAACAAGAAGACAAAGTCATCAATATCCCCCCGCAATGGCTAAATACTCTTCAAGAATATGTCTACGAGTTATGATTATGTCAAATGTTTTGGCGTGTATATAGCTACGTGGAAGGAGAGTTCTGAAAGGATTCAATGTTCTGCTCCAGAAATGAGCACTACCACCAAATTCAGTGTAAGCCAACGTTGTTGCCATGAAAACGCAAACAATATTTTATTCAGAAATCCAAAACTACCAAAAGGCACCAGTAAACCACCAGATCTATCTATCTGCCAAGTTTGGTGAAGACGTATTGGACGGTTTTAGAGTTATGCTCCAGAAATGACAAATGTGCACGTAGTCCATTTTAATATTAAAACAAACAAAAAAAACACCACACACGTACATGTCGGCCGTTACCGCTGTGGAAGCGAGGCCCGCCAGAGTTCACCGGCATAAGGCGCACTCCGGTGCCGTCATGTCCGGTTCAGGCTTTGCTGGACAAGTCCACAATCGAGGGCATTCCACCAGGGGAGGAACAGGCGGGGTTCTATTCAGCGTACTTCCTCGTGTACCGAAGAAAGACGGTGGGTTCCGTCCCTTTCTGAACCTGAAGGGGTTGAATCGCATGATAGAGGTTCCATCCTTCAAGTGGAGACACCTCGGTCGGTGATCTCCTCTGTGCAGCCCGGCGATTGGCACTTATCGATCGATCTAAAGGATGCGTATCTTCATGTACCTATTCATCCCACGTTCAAGCAGTACCTCAGGTTCTCTTATGACCGGATGTATTATCAATTCAGGATGCTCATCTTTGGCATATCCACTGCCCCCAGGGTGTTCGCCAAGCTCATGTAAGTGCCGGCTTCTCTCCGCGCGGTCGCAAGGAAGGCATTGTCACTCTTACCTGGAGGACTGGTTGCTGCGTGCACTAACTCAGCCAGGGAATCTAGATTCTACTCACAGGGTGATAAACATTTTAGTTCGACGGGGCTGGATCATAAACCTCAAGAAATCCGACCTGGTACCCACCCAGGACTTGGTTTTTCTTTGGGCGCGGGCGTGGACTTGGCTTCGTCTGCGGGGTCATATGGCGGCGACCGTCTCTGTCATGTGGAGGGCGCGGTTTAGGATGCGCCCTATACAGCAAGCTTTGATGTGTCTGTGGGCTCACTCAGAGGATCTGGAGAAGTGTCTCACAGTTCCCGGGTGGTTGTCTCCTCACCTTCAGTGGTGGACCGATGTCGGGAATCTCTCCAAAGGAGTCCCTTTGGACATCCTGACGCCAGTTCTTACAGTTCAAATGGATGCATCCCTCTCAGGCTGGGGGTGTGTTCTGGGCAGCCTGTCGGTGTCCAGACGCTGGTCCGAAGCCGAAGTCCGTCTTCACATCAACGTGTTGGAACTGAGAGCTGTACGGTTGGTTTTCGAGCGCTTCCGGGAGCATGTTCAGGGCCAGGTTGTTCGTCTTCAGTTAGACAACAGCACAGCCGTGACGTACATCCTGAAGCAAGGTGACACAGTGTCCCCACCGCTCCTTCGGGAGGCATGGGAATTTTTCCTCTGGTGCGACCAGTGCGACTTTCAGAACTCCTGCAAGCACACTTTCTCGCTGGCTTGTGTAGGTCATTTGTGCTGCTTATCAGGCTAAGGGCAAGCCTCCCCCCTGAGGGGTTGAAGGATCACTCGGTCAGGGCAGTGGCCACTTCAAAGGCTTTTGCAGCGGCACTGCCCATTGACGAGATTTGCTCCGCCGCTATTCGGAGCTGGCCTAGCACTTTTTTACGGCACTCTCAGCTTGATACACCTTCCCATGATCGAGCATGCTTTGGTAGATCTGTTCCCTCCAGTGGACAGTGTCCTGCCACCCTGACCGAGTGAGTCTTGGTTATTTGGTTTTATGACACTGAGATCAATTGTTGTGTTAATGGACATATCCGCTGTTGTATTCTACGACAACTTTCAATTTCTCTGATTAATTATTCGGTTGTGAGTTGTGGTTTTCCCCTTATGGTGTTCTCTAGAGATTTCATTAAGTGGACGGGGTTTTAATTACACACTATGTGATGTGTTTTTTTTTATTGCTTAACATGTTGAGGTCGGTCCTCAGTACGTTTCCTCCCTGTTGGGTCACCTCCCATAATGCCTCTCGCAGAAGCTTTGGGACACATGACAGGTGAGTGTTATGGCGTAAGTAACTTTTCGTTTACGTGATCACTATTTCTTTGTACTGTGACAGAATTCTCTCCTTGCTAGCCTCCGGTCTTTGCATATATGTACCCCAAGGACGATCTCTATGAAAAACACTTAGATAAACCTGTAGAAGTTTCCAGTTCTTTGAAGAGAATCGTCCTTGGGGTAGGGCCGCCCACCTCCCCATTTCTGTTCACTGATTTGTTGGCCACGCATGCGTGGCAGGGAGGTAACTCCACGTGGTGGGGGCCATATAATAGATAAAAAAGGCTTTTTATTCATTGTACAATATTTTATTAAAACATTGATACAACTGTCACATGACATTTTCAATTTTCAGCCACAAAAAAAATTCATATATGTACCCCAAGGACGATTCTCTTCAAAGAATTGGAAACCTCTACAGGTTTGTCTAAATTGATTGATTTTTAAGTAATGATTAGCAATCCATTGAACCATGCTGCCCTGATATAAATATTCATCTTGCCCTCACAACTTACAGGATTCAAGAGGAAAGACAAGAGCGACACAAGCTAAAGAAAGTGTTGAGAGATTCAGGAGTTGATCTTCAAGACAGTGACACCAAGATTTCCCCTTTTCTTGATCCCATGGACATAGGACCTGCTTCACTACGTGGGCCAGGTAGGGTGACTTCATCTGAGTGTGTGCACCTAAGTTCTTTCTACTCTTGACCCATTAAGTTCCGTGTCAGAACTGGTCTTCAGTAACCCATGCATGTCATAAGAGCAGTGTGAGAAATTGTTTGAAAGTTTTGTTAGCCAGTCAGGCTAGCTATGCCTGAAAGTTACTAGCTCACAAAATAATTCACCAGCCTGAAATTTGAATGTGGACAGAGGGTTCATCATTAAGCTGCTGTTATGATGAACATGTTTATCGGGCCATAATCTTGCATGATTTAAAAGTGTATTATAACATAACAAGTCAGAGAGAGTGATATAGTTACAAAATGACCCCATGATAATTCACCAGCCAGTTGGGCCAGTAACTGTGGATATTTACTGGCCCGACTGGAATTTTACTAGCCACAGGCTAGTGGGCCAGCGGCTAATTTGCACACTGCATAAGAGGACACTAATGGGGTCGGGGGGTCAGACCCGCCCTCTTGGTTGACGTGTCATCTGCTGATCACTGGATAGTCTGGTCCAAACTCGGTTATTTAAAGACCATCGTCATGTAGCTGGAATATTGCTGAGTGCGGTGTAAAACCAAACTCACTCACTCTTTCTACTCTCGCAATTCCGGGTTAGAATAGATCGCCAACTTATCCTGGTCTTTTGAAGTGATCAAGTGGGCGAAATGGTCACTGACAGGTCAGGCTCAAGATTTGGTTGATTTTGAATCCTTCTACCCTGGACATTGTAGATTTTTGCTCACAATGTTAAGACAATCTAGATTGTCGCCTATCAAACTCGATTCACCACCCTGCAATGTACTTTAAGCTATTCATTTCACTACTTTTTTTAAAGTGGCAAATTAATTCTAGTGAAAAACTGGCAGACAGGCTAAGAATAAACTACCTCACTTCTATGTATTTCATGATTGGCTGACCAAGTCAGGTTTTTTTCATTTGTTTGCATACATATCATAAGGCCAGGCCTGCTCACTTTGCATTAATCTGTGATGCATGATTATACATTGTACTTCTTAATCTGTATATGTTTATGCCTCCATAACCATTATTACCCTACATGGCACAATGAGTGAAGTCTTATTAGCTGAGTAGAATGTTGCTAAAACCTGTGTGATTCAATAACTATTTGTTCATTTGATATTGCTAAATGTTGCTAAACTCCACTTTCAAAGCAGAGTGTTACTGGTTATTCTGATTTGTTTTTATCTGAAATGAATATTCCGTTTATTGGAAATTTGTACCAGTAGTTCATGCAGATTGTTTCATGATCTATTTCTGGTATTTCTTACTTGTATCTGTATGATTATATTTAATCATTGACTCAGGAGACCGAGCAGGGGGAATTGGATCGTTCGACCCAGGAGATGAGAATACAACCAACATATATGTAGGCAACATATGTCCAAAGGTGAGAAAATATTGATTGTTATCTAGAGTGCTGTTGTCAGAATTGATAATCGTCTAAAACTTTCTAGACATACAAACTTGGTACAGATACCAATTACAGTTTCTTCAGTAAACAATTAGCTGTGCATGGTTACCTCCCTTGGATGTGACAGAAACTGTAGATAGAGGTTCTAATCCTGGTTTGTCATGATTGTTCCAAGGTTCCTTTGCACCTATCCCTCCATGATTTTGTTTTTTAACCATTTTTTTCGTAGTAGTCCACTTTAGCTTTACTTGTACATAAATGGGGATAGAACTGAAATACTGTTGAAAGCTGCATTTAACTAAACTGACTCACTCTTTGGTCAGATCAGATTTAGATTATAGGCAGGGCAAGTCTAATTATGCTTTTTAATGAATTGCATTGCATTGAATTTATTCATTCATTTTGTTCACTGTTTCATGTAGCTAATTAATTTACAGTAAGATTCTTTAATATTTGAAACAAGATGGAGAATTCTTTTACATTTGCTAATGAAAAGCCTTGGTGGTGAAAATTTGACCTCAGATGACAGAGCAACAGCTTTGTGAAACATTTGGGAAGTATGGTCCTCTAGCAAGCATCAAGATCATGTGGCCTCGCACAGAAGAAGAGCGTTCCCGTGGAAGAAACTGTGGATTTGTTGCCTTCATGAACAGGAAGGATGGAGAGCGAGCAATGAACTCTCTACGAGGTGGGTAGGAGATTTCCAAGGATTTCCCTGGCTCATTTCTCCTCTGTTTGCATTATTTGTTTGTTGAGATCCTGTTGCCGCAAATTGTTGGGGGGCGAGGAATTTTTTACATTCACTTCTTTTGAAATGAAAGTTCAAACAAATTTTTTCCTTGTTGTAATAAACGGTTCACTATTGGGGTTTTCATCAGTTTGGGGGGTTTTCATCACTTGAAATATTGTGATCTATTCCACTTTGATTTTCACTATTGCTTTACAAGTGTATACATTTTGAGAGCACAGCAAGCCTTGCCACTTTAGACCCAGAAGGAGCTGAGATTGTGGAGATAAGACAAAGAAAGAAAGAAAGTTACTTTGGATAAATCGTTTTATTCAGACTAAAAATTACATTACCCTGAATATGTTACCAAAATGGCACTAAATGATATTTGACTCAAAAAATTGTCAAATTAGGCCTGTATTGATACAGAATGCCCAGATGGAACTTGGATCCCAAAACTTTATTTTTGAATTGGATTTAGATCCATCACAATCTGTAAATATAAACTGGAAGTCACATCCGTCATTAATTTTTGGAATACATCGTATAGGACATTGTTCAACATGTCCAATTAAATTAAAAGATTAGTTAAGAGAAAAAAATGTTTAAGACATCCCATTTGAAAGAATGTCCTTTTTGAAAATTTACAGAAACAGATTCATGACTTTTTTCAGGGTATCATTTTTAAAACTGTTCATACTGTGATTTGGTAGGCACGCATGTATAATAATGAGAATGAGGCATCTTACCTTTTCTGAAATGTAGTGGCCACCAGCATTGCTCATGTTGCCTTCTTACTATTTTCATAGAGCACTTGGTACAAGTTTGTTTTGTGTAGGGTTCATTTCAACTCATTTTATTCACTATTGTGTCACATTTTTGTCCTTTTTGCCTTTAAAATGTTTGTTTGTTAAATACAGCGTATGATATCTGTAAATTTAATAAATACCCTGGACCTGTTTGATGTCATAGTTAAATTTCGGAAGTGATGTCAATACCTCGCCTCTACCTCTAACTAAGCACAAAATTTGATTGTGTTTAGTATCCTGCTGTCTGAATCAAATATATCAAATCAAGGCTTGTTGATTGGTTGCAGTTGTGTTGTTGTGCCCTGGATTGGATTTTTGGTTAGGATAGGCCCCCAGCAATGTATGCAGGTCATGGGGTGTCCACTTATATCTGGTAGTCAGGCTGTGGCTTGGCTGATAGTATTTCTTTGTACCACAACAGTGTGGATAGTTGCTTACAATATTGATCACTGGATTGTCTAGTCCAGACTTGATTATTTACAGACTGCCGTCATATAGCTGGAATATTGCAGAGTACAGCAATATACAACAGAGCAAACTTTTTTTTATTTGTTATGAAGTCATGCTTTCAGTTACAAAATATTAAAACAGTTGTCACTTGCTTTGTGTATCAGTTGTAAATGATAGGTCTGTTTTGAGAGTATTTTCATAAGCATGCTTATTTAAGTATGACCAACTTGATACCATTGTCATATTGAATTTGATTATTCTGATATAAATATGACATGATACAAACAGGACCGGCTTGCCATGATTATTGAGCTAAAGTAGTAATACTTTCATGTTTTTGTGAGTTGAAAAATGTATCTGATAACTGTTTACCTTGAATACATCCTTTTACAGAAAACTTGTTCTTATTTCTTGTTGTCAATGCGATTTCTTCACTCTTTGCCTTTGGAATATTTGAACACAGGAAGAGAAGTGATGGGCTTTGAAATGAAGCTAGGGTGGGGTAAGGCGGTGCCCATTCCGCCCCACCCCATTTATATACCCCCAGCTCTGGTTGAGATGACCCAGCCACCCCCACCCTCAGGACTTCCATTTAATGCTCAACCACTGAAGAAGGCAAGACTGGAGAAGTTGTATGGAAATATTCCACCACCAAAAGATGGAGAAGATGAACAATCCAAGGAGGAGAAAGAAAAGGTAATGATATTTGACAGTGATGTTTATGTACATTTGTTGAAATTGATTAGGTGATAAATTTCACAGATTGTTATTGTGAAGTGTTATTGTAAATCTCAAACTATAACTTTTAGGAAAATTTGTATCAATATTACTTCATGAATATTAAAGATCAATTCTTGTTTAAGACTTCAAAAAAGATACTGAAAAACACCAACAAATTCTCCTACTTACCAAGTATCTAAGCTAAACATTAATTTAATTTTATCAATGTAACATATTAGTGTAAATTGTTTATATACCTGTTGTTGGTATAAATATCCCATCTCATGTTGTTTTCAACTGCCATTTCTCCAGACTTTAGCCAACGCTGTTGTCAAAGTGGTTATCCCCACAGAAAGGTATATTTTTAGACTCTTTTTCGATCATTTGTCTAAAGAGCTTCATCATCTGATATGGAGAAATATATTTTGGAGATCCTTGTCAATCATATTTTAGTCTCAAATTATTTCCTGAAATGTTGAAGTACATGTTTTTTCTGAATAAGAGTATATATTTTTTAAATTTCAAAAACATATCATGCATGATGAAGACAAAAGGACAGAAAAATGTTTAGTTGAGATTGTAATGTGAGCAAAAGGTAGGACGGGATTGATGAAGAGGAGGATGAAGAAAGATGCTGGTGATGAAGATTCCAGGACATGGATGTGTACCTGTGAACTGTTAAAAACTGTAACTCTTGTGAATTCCAAGTGTGTTCTGGGACAGTATTCACACATAAGTGAATGTCATAAGGATTGTTTCTCAGCTTCTGTTCAACTGTGAACAGGCATGAGATGTTCCGTTTGAGAATATTTGACTCTCATTCCCAATGTTGTTCCAATGTTCCATGGACTCACTGTATACATTGATGCCATCTGTTGCAATGGACATTCTCATGTTGATGTGTAAATTTCTTATCCATGTTTAAATATTTATCAACTCCAGTAATCTGAACTGGATTTGAAAGGTTTTAGGTTATATTTGAAATGGAATAGAAAGAGGTAATATATAGACACTAAAGGAACCAGTTTTTTTTGTGTGTTTTTTTGTTGTTGTTTTTTTGGGGGGGTGGGGTGGGGTGAAAATGTGATTTTTTGCATACGTTTTATTTTTGGGAATATTCAGCTGACCATATTCATCTCATCTCCTTTTTAATGTAGTGATTTGTAAGTAATTATAATCAGCACTATTAGAAATTTGGACACATGTAAATATACTGGGATTGATTTTGAGCTTATTAACATAAAAAAGAAAACAGATCAGAAAGAAAAGAAATATTAAGAATTTCTTATTGTTTCCAGTTATAGATATGAAAACATATTTGATATATCAAGTTGCATAAGAAGTCAGTCAGGTTATCATTTCACAAGTAATCTCTCAGTGATATAAGCCATGGTAGCCATTTTGTTTGTAGCAGTTGTAGGATTTGGGTATAAACTGTAACATGTTTAACATCAAATACAAGTTGGGGATATTTTCTAACAACAAGCATGGCAAGTAGATGTTTTGGTGTTTGGCTGTAGATTCTGGTGTCTTACCGATAATGTGAGTTTGTAGTGTTTGTTAACTTTCCTTCTTAGACAGTCATGAGGTAATGTGATACACAGTTTGCGCCCATTACTTTGCCTAATTTGTTAGCACCATAGCTTGTGGGTTTTACCAAAGTTGTAAACACCTTGGACATGCACCACTTAGGGCTGTCCTTATGCTTTGAGCTTACATGCTGTGAGATAACTGGAATACTGTTCAAAGCGGCATTGAACCCAACTCATGTACATACTGACTACAGTGATCTATCTAATTATGGTTCCCCAGCAGCTTGTTGTAATAGGCGACTGAGAGGTCAGACTGATTTGGTTTTTGTACCCTGATGTATTTTTGTGATTACATTGATTGTAGGTTTGTCTGGTCCAGACTTTATCATGTACAGACCACCATCAAATAGCTGGAATATTGCTGACAGTGACACTAAACAACCAGCAATACATGATCTAATATGGATTGCTTGCCCCAATAACATCTCTCAAGTATGTATTGTTCACCATGGGAATAGCTCTAGCCAATGCACCAAGTAGCATTTGATATGAGCCAGATAATATGATGACCTGGTTGATAGTGTGACAACTTACACAAATATTGTGGATGGATGCTCATGCTTTGAACCATTGGTTTGCTTGGACCCACCTTGACTATTTGTAGGAAGCCTGTATATGGCTGAAAGATTGCTGACTCTCAGACTGGGGTGTAAAACAACATTCATTCACTCAATGATTGATATTTCCCTGTATCTGCATCATCAGTACCTCATGGGTTTGTATATACTACATCCCTCCATTACCTGTGATTGCACATGGCACAATGCAGTGTAATAGTGATGCATGTGTATGTAGGAGAGTTTAAAATATCATATGCACTCAATGGCTGTCAAGTTTATTTACAATACTGAATCACAGGTCCCCGTCTTATGGGCAATTTGTAACAGTTTCTTGTGTTTCATGTTTCGGAATTGAAGGCACGTCATGATTATCTCCAGATGTTTCTGTTTTGCACTAACATGTCATTAATTCAAGTGACACTGGCAGCTGACTGTCCTATAGTACAACCATGATACATTTATAGGATCAGGGTGCAACATGGTTTTGTTTGTTGCAACCAGGTTTTTATGTTAACATGCACAGAGTGCAAGTGAAGTTCCTTAAATCAAGCCAGGTTTACTCAGGTAATGTAATGAGATTGGTTATGATACGAGGAAGTCAAATGATTACATCTCTGCACATGAACTTTGTGTGAACCCTATTTACTGAACACATACCTAACACTGAAGCAAGTTGCAAGACAGTTGCAGATATTACTTGAGGAATGTTGCCATTTGTTTGAGTAATGTAAGCATACACTGGTATTCCTCGCTTGGTCCTGGCCACGACTTAATTCATTGGTGAGAAGTAGCGGGTACAGTGCTGAGTGACACTTATTGTCAGGTGATGGAGGTATGTAGTGTATTCAGGAACAGGAAGTACTGATGAAGCCCACAGTTCTGATCACGTGCTTGATAACATGTCAACAAGCACAGAGATCTTGCTATCAGGTTTCTTTTAACTTGATTACAAAGTATTAAGATTTTTTCATGATTTGTGAATGGGGAGTATGCCAGTTGTGATATGAAACACATTGTACCTGTAACAGCTTACATCATGAATCACAGCCTGACTTTTGTTTAGAGTTCTCTTTTATGTTTGAGGTTCAGTTGTTTGTGAGATTTTTTTCTTGATTTTTGTTCTCACATCCTGATCAAGATGTAAATGCTACCTTTGTATCATATTGTGAAGTTGTTGACCAGTTTCAAATTCAAGCAGAACTTTTATTCTGGGTTATGTTGGCTTATGTCAAACTGACTTCATGCCAACAACAAAAATTGACAGTATTCTCTTGAAGCAGTGTAATAATGTAGCAATTTGGCCAAACTGTCCCTATTCAATTTTTATTAAGTGTCACCGAATGTCGGTTTTAAATGTTACACCATTTTCAAATTATATTTTAATGTGTTAATGACAGTTAACATCCTACCAAAACTTAACTATTTATGACTTTTAATGTCCTACGAAAACCTAACTGAGACTTGTTCACCCCTGGTCTTCGGCTAGTTATTTTTTGCTGATTGCATATATATGGTGTAGTTTGGTCCCCAAGGGGACTTAACTCCCTTGTCCTGGCATTGTCTAGCTTCTTCTTACAGAAATCTCCTGTCTCTTATTCATCGATTGGTCGAGTTTGTTGTTCGAGAAGGACCCATGTTTGAAGCAATGATTATGAATAGGGAAATAAATAACCCTATGTTCAGGTGAGTGATTGATTGCTAATTCATGAAGAATTTTTTCTTCTTTTAGCTGTTTTTCAGTGTCAGTATTTACCTGTGTTAGGGATGTGTCAACAGTATGCACATCATATCCAAATGGAATGATATTGTTTGTTAATTCTTGAATCTATAAATAACAGATTACTGTTTGTTTAATTTTGAATCTATAAATGACAGAATAATGATAGTAATAGGACAGAATTCGGCGTTCTTTAACTTCTTGTTCAGTTCTTTAACTGTTGATAATACCTTGCATGATTACGTATGGCCTGTAGTAGGTTTCAAGGTGTAATCCATTTATGATAAAGCATACGACTTTATAGATGACCTCTTCTAGTTTATTGCAAGCTCTATGCAAATAAACAGAAAACAGTTGTTATCTATAAAGTCGCATGCTTTATTGTTGACTCAACAACTTCTAGAATGACCATCAAACAATTACAATCCGTTTATTGAAATAATTATGAAAATATTTCAGTCATGCGATTTCAAACACTTTCAACAGGAAATCTTCCATACTCTCATGAGAAAAATTCAGACCAAATTAATAATATTGTGGAAGCTTCACTCAGTTAGTATGTTAGGTTTTTGTTGTCCCCCGCCGCATGCGGAACGGGGGACTATGTATTCAGCGGCATCCGTACGTACGTCCCGATTCTTGTTAACGCGATATCTCATGAACTGTTGTAGCCAATGTCCTCAAATTTGGTGACAGCCTACATTGGAGGATTACCCAGACATAAGTCGATTTTGGTGACCGTAACCTTATTTTCAAGGTCACCACTACACTTTGACCACTTTTCAAACTCTTGTTAATGCGAAATCTCATGGACTGTCTGCGTAATCCCCCAATGTAGGCTGTCACCAAATGTGAAGACATTGGGGGATTACGCAGACACCAGTTAATTTGGGTGAACTTGACCTTATTTTCAATGTCACCATGACACTTTGACCACTTTTGAAACTCTTGTTAACGCGAAATCTCATGGACTGTTGTACCCAATGTCTTCACATTTGGTGACAGCCTACATTGGGGGATTACGCAGACACCAGTTGATTTGGGTGACCTTGACCTTATTTTCAAGGTCACCACGACACTTTGACAACTTTTGAAACTCTTGTTAACGAGGTATCTCATAAAACATTGCACCCAGTGTCTTCAATTATGTCGACAGCCTACATTGGGTGATTATGCAGACACCAGTCATTTCAGGCATTTTGTATGTGACCCAAAAATATAAAGTAGTAACTGTGTTATAAATATTCCATTCTTTAGCTGCGGAGGACATTGCCATATCAGTGGCAAACACTTGTTGTTATGTGTAAGCTATGTTCTAATGTTAGTATGTGAAGCCCATTTCTGGTGTCCGCCGCCGTGATATTTTAAACTCACTCACTCTTATGTTAGTACAGCAGAAAAGTCCAGTTGACAATGAAAATCAGTCAGTCTTTATTTAGGTTATGGAGGAGAGGTGGGGTAGCTCAGTTGTTAAAAGGTTTGCCGGTCATGAAGAAGGCCCAGGTTCCATTCCACACATTGGTACAGTGTGTGAAGCAGATTTCTGGTGTCATCAGACCATGATTATTAGGTTATAATACTGTGTAATAAAAGCAACAGGATCTTAGTCCTAGAGCAAACAAACCTTATGACAGGACTCTGTGTCAAGCATGGCTTATGTAATCATGTAAATAACAATATGTAAATAAAATACATAACCATCTACAGCACAAGATTTACATAAATTCTGTATTATAGATTTTGATCATTTGAATTCAGTGTCAGATACAGACCATGTGAAGTAAGTTAACACATTCACAGAGCAAATATTAACAGTTGGAATAAAGATAACAAAAATCTTCAATGTATTGGCGAAAGATTTAGTGTCAACTCGTATTGGTTTGCAATGATCTTATAATATAGATAAAATGTTTGAAGTTGAATGAGATGGTAATTATATAAAATGATACATTTGACACAAACCCTTACAAGAGGTAAGCCACTAAGTTATTTTATTTTGTGACAAAAGATATATACTTCCTGTGTTGACAATCTGAGTTTATAAAATGTTTGTGAGTACATATCTTTATCGGATGTGGTTTTCCAAGATCGACATGAGGGGGTTAACTGACATAAATCATCTCTGCTGTGTTTCCTTAGAACTACCTTAGGACAGTCAAACAATGTCAGGTTTAACCAGTGACTGTTGATTATCTAAGGAACTATAGCCTGGCATACAGTGGGGGCAGCAGTCTTGCAAGGGTAGTAATGTACCTTATAGAAATTACTTGGGAAATTGCAACATGCTGATTACACAGTGTATGAACTGCCAAGAAAATCTTCATTGCAGCATAGATATAATTGTAATATGTTTCAAACCAAACCAAATTATTATTTCAAACATAATATATCGCTCTTCAATGTTTGGTCGCTAAGTGAATGCATAATTTGTTCTGTGTAAGATCAGAGGCTTGGGTAGCCCAGAATTTTAAAGCGCCACAATTCACTGTGCAGAGTTGCTCCCTTGGACATGCCAAAACCGTATGATTGTGGGTTCTTATCATGTTTAACTGCGCTGATGATGTTGAGGTTGTCGGCACAATACACTCTGTCAATGGTTTCACCAAAATGGTAACACCTAGACCTTGGTCACCTCAGACTGTCCTCCCACAGCAAGCTGACACCAGTATTGTTTACACAGCCCAGGTCACTCACTCTGAGATCAGAGGGCCTTCTTAGCAGTCAGTGGTTGATGTAGGCAATAATATAACTACAGTGTAGTTGAGGTGATTGTGTCTTACCATACAGTCTGCGATTATAGTGATTTCGGCATAATGGAGAATACACATTGTTTCAATGAATTGAAGCAAAAACAAAAGTTCCATGTCTATTCAAGAATGAAATCTTCAAGTAACATCTTTAAGAACAACCCTTTGCTGAATGTCTCTTTCTAGAAAGCATAAAAAATTGTTAGGCAACAATAAATAGATTATTAGATTTTCATCTCTAATGTATTTTTATAAAGTAAGAAGCAACATGTTACTGAATGTAACTCTCTGAAGCATAATTTTTTGGTGACTTCTTTGAGTGGCATTTTTGAACTTGGGAAGTACAATATAGAACAAACTTTATGGATAACAACTTCTTTTATTTCGTGAGTCCGACGTTTCGATGCATATGATATTCTTGTACTGGTGTCCAGCTGCTTGACAACGGTACTAGGATCTATATCGAAAAGCTGCACTCACAAATAAAAGTGGTTGTTATCCATAAAGTTTGTTCTATATAAAGTGTTTGGGGGACTATGTATTGGATTCCTTTCACCAAATAGAGATAGGCTGGCATTAGTCTGGACTACTACATGCTGCCATTCCCCATAAGCATACACATCAGTATATAAGGTCACTAATCTTCAATGCAACAATAGGGGCAGCAGGGTAGCCAAGTGGTTAAAGCGTTCGCTCGTCATGCTGAAGACCTAGGTTCGATTCCCCACATGGGTACAATGTGTGAAGCCCATTTCTGGTGTACCCCCATGATATTGCTGGAATATTGCTAAAAGTGGCGTAAAACTAAACTCAATCACTCAATGCAACAATAAACCACATTTTCCTGACCTCCCTGGCGAACAATTAAGTGATATGATGCAGTGTATTTAGCAGTGAGGGGTGAAAAACTAATGATACACTGTGGCCGTATTGTTACCAGCAAGACCATGTGCAGAACAAAATGATAGGACTATTTTAAATGCTTATCCACAAGTTATGGTGGAAGTTAACCATGATATTCTGTAAGCCAAAGAAACAACTGCATATGACATGTTATCAAAGTCTTGCCTACAGTACAGTATGATAATATGTGCTCCTATTATCCACACAGATTTCATCTGTGGCACTAAGTTTTCATATATTTTTCTGTAGAAAATGTTATTTGCGTGTAGATTGTGATTAAGCTAATTTCTGTGTTTTTATATTAACTAGATCCCATAGAAGATAGACTTCCCTGTCTTGTGTGGTAACTCAGTACATGTAAACCATGGAAGAATCATGATTGATATTCTCTATGTTCACTCATGGCAGTTATGCATAGGTCATGAAATACAATCCTTGTTTTAACTATTTAAAGCAGTTCTTTATCTCAGTTTGGTAAGGAATTGCACACAGGTAAAGTAATGATGTTTATCTACAAGAGTTTAAATTTTGAACAACACTGTCATAGTAAACGTCTTTTTCACGTGAGGGTTTCTTCCCACTATACATGCCATTATAAAACTAGAATACTGTTTAAAGTGGCTTTTAACCCAATTGTCATTTATTCACTTGTATGATATGAATGTTTTCCCTATCTGTTGTCACAAAGTAAAACAGTTTGTGTACCACTGCAGGTTTCTGTTCGACAACCAAACACCAGCACACACATACTACCGATGGAAGCTTTTCTCAATTCTTCAGGTACAGCTTTCTGTTATTTGATGATATTCAAAGTTTGACCAAATGCCTGGGTTTAATTCTCCACAGGGGTACTGTGTGTGAAGCCCATAATTAAAGCGAATACCTTACTAAATTACATAATTGCCTTAATTCATGTTTTGGCAATCACACTATGAAAATTTAGATTTTCAACAGATGTCCCCTTAGCTGCCAACCTAATTGATAGTGGTGGGAAACTCTGTTCTCTGCAATAATTGTAACTGTGCATGTGCAAAGCGGGAACCATCATTACATCTTTCCTGTGTCCAGAGCAAGTCAAATGAAAATGTTATTTATTGATCGGGTGATCAGGTTAGATGACATTGTTGACTGAATGTCATCATAATGCAGGGGATATTTGTGTCACTATCATATTTTTGTTTGGTCCAGATTCAATTATTAACAGGCTACTTTCATAGCTTGAACAGTACTCAGTGTGGATTCCAACAAAGTAACAATGAAACTTAAACCAAATTTTGCATCATATTCATTACTGTTATTGTCTTCAGGGAGATTCGCCGTACACATGGCGAACAGAAGAGTTCCGTATGTTCAAGGGTGGGTCTTTGTGGCGACCTCCACCTTTGAACCCGTACACCCAGGGAATGCCAGAAGAGCTAGTGAGCAAGTCTGCCTATAGCCTTGATATTGACCCAAGCATTAAGAAGGGGCAGCTCACTGATAGGTATGTGTTGTCCATATTTTCACTGACAACCAGTAGAATCACACAACTGTTACATGTAGCTCACTGATAGGTTTGTGTTGGCCATATTTTCACTGACAACCAGTAGAATCACACAACTGTTACATGTAGCTCACTGATAGGTATGTGTTGTCCATATTTTCCCTGACAACCACTAGAATCACACAACTGTTACATGTAGCTCACTGATAGGTTTGTGTTGGCCATATTTTCACTGACAACCAGTAGAATCACACAACTGTTACATGTAGCTCACTGATAGGTATGTGTTGGCCATATTTTCACTGACAACCAGTAGAATCACACAACTGTTACATGTGTAGCTCACTGATAGGTATGTGTTGTCCATATTTTCCCTGACAACCACTAGAATCACACAACTGTTACATGTAGCTCACTGATAGGTATGTGTTGGCCATATTTTCACTGACAGCCAGTAGAATCACACAACTGTTACATGTAGCTCACTGATAGGTATGTGTTGGCCATATTTTCACTGACAACCAGTAGAATCACACAACTGTTACATGTAGCTCACTGATAGGTATGTGTTGGCCATATTTTCACTGACAACCAGTAGAATCACACAACTGTTACATGTAGCTCACTGATAGGTATGAGTTGGCAATATTTTCACTGACAACCAGTAGAATCACACAACTGTTGCATGTAGCTCACTGATAGGTATGTGTTGGCCATATTTTCACTGACAGCCAGTAGAATCACACAACTGTTACATGTAGCTCACTGATAGGTATGTGTTGGCCATATTTTCACTGACAACCAGTAGAATCACACAACTGTTACATGTAGCTCACTGATAGGTATGTGTTGGCCATATTTTCCCTGACAACCACTAGAATCACACAACTGTTACATGTAGCTCACTGATAGGTATGTGTTGGCCATATTTTCACTGACAGCCAGTAGAATCACACAACTGTTACATGTAGCTCACTGATAGGTATGTGTTGGCCATATTTTCACTGACAACCAGTAGAATCACACAACTGTTACATGTAGCTCACTGATAGGTATGTGTTGGCCATATTTTCACTGACAACCAGTAGAATCACACAACTGTTACATGTAGCTCACTGATAGGTATGAGTTGGCAATATTTTCACTGACAGCCACTAGAATCACGCAACTGTTACATGTAGCCATGTTTCGAGATTTCTCTTGATTCTTATCCTGCTGAACTGTTTTTGGATTAATAAAACATCTTCATATCGAAACTACAGAACAATTAGTTTGGATAAAAGTAATTCCTGAGGAAATACTACACTGTGGTATTGATTTGTTGGATGAATCCACACTTCTTGTTTTAATTTTTATTGTATATTATACCATACTACTAATATATATACATACATGCATACATGAACAAAAGAATTAAAAACAGTCTATATTAATCCACTTTGATAGGAAATATTTTTTAGTCTTTCCATGACACACAAAACTAATTCTCATAATATGAACTGTGTATTGAGTAGAATAACAAAATAGTTGTAGTAGTACATATATGTGAAAGAATGCAGTCCAGCTGGAACTTGTAAGGTTTTGACAAACTCAGCATTGCATCGTATATGTACTGATAAGACATAATCATTGGTCACAGAACATCTAGTTGCAGCGATGTTGGAGATGTTGTAACAGTGATGGTGTTTTAATGTTCCAGTCAGCGAGACAGGTTGGAGGACATGCTGCGAGAGTTGAGTCCGGAGCGACAGAAAATCGCAGATGCCATGGTGTGGTGTCTTGATCATGCAGAGTCGGCAGAGGAAGTAGTGGAGTGTATCGCCGAGTCTCTGTCCATCCTCCAGACTCCACTCCCCAAAAAAGTTTGTAACCTCAGACCAGTGCCTCTCAAACTCCGATGACTCGCAGATTATCTTTGCATATGTGCCGTACATGTATCAATACTAACTGTGGGCCACAGGGGGCACAGTCATATTAAAAGTACTGTTGGAAATAAAAAAGACAACTGTTTTTAGGCTGTCACTCTGTATACGTGTAACATGTACACAATTGCAAATAGCATATGTTGAAAAACCCACATCGGCCTATCTGGGCTTTAAGTGGGATTCATGATAGGATATCCAGAAAAGCATGTTTACTCGGGCAAAACTTAGAAAATGTATAAATAGCTGCTGGAAACAATAAATCAGACTATAGATGGCAATTAGGTCAGCCAGGTATGACGATGGACTGCTGACTCAGGAAATGCATGTGCTGCCTGCAGGCACAAGGGGTCATCTCAAAGATATTTTATGCTTTTTAATGTGTGTTGAAAATGTCTCATCTATTGATTAACATCTTACGTGTCTTTCTTTCATAAAGTTTATGTTCAGATATGTAAAAGAGTATGATATCCATAGAAAAGCTTAAAGGTCACATGCAACCAAAAAATCAAACATAATTAAAACACAATTATCACTTATTCATGACATATTATATACATTGCTGGTTATGAAAAAACATATAAACAAAATTATAAGCGTACAATCGCAAATCAAAAGTGCAATATTGTGTACTTCGGTTTACTTCCCAAGAAACGAAGCAGACGGGATACCGAACCTAGTCAGAGCGGGTGGGTGAGCACTCAAGTGTAACGGCTGGTTCATTTGCGTATGCCCTCACGGCTTATTGTGTGTGTATATGTAGAGATGTTGGGTTTTGTAAATACATGCTCATTTTTTGTGTAAAACATTTTGCAATCAACAGACATCATAACATGTCTTGTGTTCCACTATCACACCTGCCTGTCTGTGTAATTACATAATGTGACAGAGACCGAACTCGGGCCATAAATCAATGCATTTTGTTTATGGTGTATAGCCTGATTGGTGTTAAGTTCAAATTGCATGTGGTCAGTGATAGCAGCTGTGTACTGAATATTGTCATTAGCAGACAGGCAGGCAGACACACAGGTGTCAATAAAACAAGATATTGAGTTTTGTCTGTGACAATGACATATCTATATCACAGTTAGAAATTCTGTGGACGCTGAATAATGACATTGCTTTTAAGTATCGAACTGAGAAAGTGACTCGGTAAGAAGAACGTGTGGTGAAATTATATAAACAGTTAATTTACTGTCATAACATATAAAAAGCTCGCGCCTGTGAGATATCAACAAAACATTAGAAAAATAGCTCACACCAAAGCCTTCACCGAGTATTCACCGGACAACCCGCTTCCAAGCTGCGCGAACCTATTTCACTGCGCACGTGCTATGAGCGCAGCCCAGCTGTTGAAACCCGTTTTTCCCAGAAAAGTCGAGGGAAAATTAGTGAAACGTTTGAACTCTGATTTCGCACGTTTTTTTTCATCACGTTATTTTTCAACTTTATAAGTTGAATTTGCATTTTTGACGATTTGTTTTGGTAAGTCCATACCGAAAGGTATCAGAATCTGCAAAGTTGTGTTTTACGTTGCATGTGACCTTTAAATCAGCCATCGAATTAAATGTCTCCAAATATATAAGTTGCATGAAGATCAACAGGACTGGATATTTTTTGTAATTGTTATGACATGTCGTTTACCTCCCCAGTTTAATTCTCCTGAAGGATTATATTAGCTGATATGTCTATCCCCAATCCGACCCCAACTACCATCTGCAACACCCATCCTGGTTTTCCTTTTGAGATGACCCCTCCTACCTGTTTGTTTTATAGTGATAGTAAGACTCCATGGTAGCTACACCCTTAAAAAGTGTCCTTTGTAATACAATATCATCGCACACTAATTTGCATAAAGCCATAGTCTGCTCCAAATAAGTCGCTTTGGACATTGCTCATTTCTGCGCTAAGCTCTCTTCAGTAAAGTCTTTTATTTACGTTTCCTATCTCCTTACCACTGAGACTGTAGTTTGGCTGAACTTAGTTTAACAGTTATTTCATACTTTCACATATTAACCATATAAATTGTAGATATAAATGTGAAAAAAAAATGTTTTTTTCTATTGCCGAAAGTACTTTAGCTGCTGCAAGTCTGTTTACTGAGTTACATCCCGTAGACGTAGCAGCATCCTATGATCACAAAATCATGTCATATACCATGATTATGATTCTTTAATATACGTATTTCACTTCCTCCCAAATTAAGCATTGAGACCGGTTTTCCTGGTATTGGTACTTTGTGTTATAAATATAGTCTCCTTACACGTTTGTGTTGCCTTGACTATTTAGCTGCCTTTCAACTTACTGTGAACTAGCTAAAGAAGAAATATGCACATCACATTTAACAACACAATGTCACATCTCATTGTTTCATCTTAAATCATCACAGAAAAATATATCTTTCATCAAAAACACAGCGTATCTTTATCTCTCAACGTTTCAGATTGCACGTCTATTCCTTGTGTCGGACATCCTGTATAATTCCAGTGCTAAAGTGGCTAATGCCTCCTACTTCAGAAAGTAGTAAGTACACACATCAACAGGTCCTGGCAGAGTTGCTTCCCTTACCTGCCAGGATTTTGACGTTTGTTTGTGGAATCAGATATTTCATGGCAAATGATATGTTAAACCATGCAGGCAAAGGCCTTCATAATTGGAATTTGACCAAACATGATCTAAATGTTTGGATCTCCATTTGATTACTTCTGGGTCAAGGTCATTCAAAAAACTAGTTGCCTATCACTGCAATCTACTTTATAAGTAAATCAGTGTGGATCTGAAATAATTAAAGAGCTTGTTTGTATTAATGCTTTGCTCTTTGTAATGATTTAGCATTGGCCACTTACTTCCCAACGGTATTGTTAAAGTTCTATTGAAAGGATTTTCTTTCATATTGTTGGAAACAATGGTTGACCCTTCTGTGTAAGCTGCAGTTAAACGTGTTAGAAAGCCACTGGATATGGTTCACGCTCATGCTTCTGCCACTCCTTGCAGTTTTCAAGTCAAGCTTGAAGAAATATTCAAAGATGTACATGAAGCCTATGAAAACATTGATGGCAGATTAAAAGCAGAACAGTTCAAGGTACGTTGTTTTGTTTTTTGTGTGTGTATTACTTGTGACATGTAAAAAACTTTAACATTTAACCTTTAACATTCAGTCATTCTCTGTTAGCTATATTATTGGTCAAGGTGAAGATTCGGGGCCGTGGGGTAGCCTAGTGGTTAAAGCGTCCGCTCGTCACTCCGAACACCTGGATTCGATTCCCCACATGGGTACAATGTGTGAAGCTCATTTCTGGTGTCCCCTGCCGTGATATTGCTGGAACATTGCTAAAAGCGGCGTAAAACCGAAGTCACTCACTCACTCACAGTGAAGATTCAGAACTGGTCTGCAGCCATCAATGCTTGTTGTATAAGATGTCAAAATGAGGTGATGTGGTCAGGCTTGCTGACTTGGATGTTGCATGTCATCATATCCCAGTTGCATAGCTTGATTAGGGGTAAAGTTTGAGCAAACAATTCTCGCCACTGTGATTGTGAGCCATTGTACCCTGAAAGTAAAGTGTTGATGAAACAAATACTCTGAACTACAGCCATGCTGTGTTTTCAATGAAAACTACTAGGTTACCCGTAGATTAAACCACTCTGATGTGGATTGTACTTATTTTCATGTTTGAAACTGTGTAATCCTCTTTATGTTTGATTCCAGCAAAAAGTCATGTCATGTTTCCGCACTTGGGAAGACTGGGCCGTCTATCCAAACGACTATCTCATCAATCTGCAGAACGTCTTCCTTGGTCTCATTACACCCAAAGAAGAACCGGTTAGTAGAGAGACTGTATTGTTTCATTTGTTTACCAGTCTGCCAAACCATGAGTTTGGCAGTTAGAATTGGTCTTCAGCAACCCATGCTTGAGATAAGAGGCTACTAATGGGATCGAGCAGTCAGGGTCTCTGACTTGGCTGATGCATTTCATTGTATCCTAATTTGGTAGATCAGAGCTCATGTCACATGACATGGTCCAGACTTACATTTAATGACCGGCATTCAAATAGACAAATATTTCCAAGTGCAGCCTTAAACAACAAACATCAGATCTACATGCTATTACATTCACCTATGAGACCGCTTCCTTGGTGTAGTGGTTAGAGCGTCCGACCGGTGTGCGGAAGGTCGCGGGTTCGATCCCCGACCGCGTCATACCAAAAGACGTTGAAATATGGTACTTGTTGGTCCCTGCCTGGCGCTCAGCATTAATGGGTACAACAAGGACTGGTCGGCTCAGAGTCAGTATAATGTGTCTGAGTGGGGTATTCATGCTTCACTGCGGCATGGTATCTCAGTGGGCTAGCACTATAAAACCAGCTTCAGTCTGGGCTAGTACAAGCAACCGCACATACACATACACACGCATGCACGTCGTCATATGAGCGAAATATTCTCAAGCACGACGTTAAACCCAATTCCACCACCACCACATTCACCTATGATAACTTCCCTGGACATATTTGCCAACAAAGCTTTGATTCCGATACAAAATATGTCATCCTGCACATTAACCATCCAGTCCCAAAAAATAATGGTGTCCAGAGTCACTGATATGACAGAGATCGATGTAATGGAATCACGTCTAAAATGAAACATATGGGTCAGGTTTCAAGTGTTGCTATTGGGTTCAGGAGAATGATCCACAAAGCCTTGTTAATGCTTTAGTTATCATAACTTCCACATTGTTTGATGGTGGGGTAGCCCAGTGGTTAAAGCCCTCTCTCGTCACGCATAGACCTGGTTTCAATTCCCCACATGGGTACAATGTGTGAAGCCCATTTCTGGTGTCCCCTGCCTTGATATTGCTGGAATATTCCCAAAACGTGGCAACTCACTCCATATTGTTTGATGGTCTTGCGGAAGTTGGAGCACATATCTCACTTTGTAGAACAAGGGGGCAGGTAGTTAAGAATGATTATCGAGGTGTTGTCGTTATTACCATTGTTTGCATCCCATACGGTGATGTTGCATGTGTTCAACTACTTCCCTGAATCTGTTACAGGAGGTTGAGGAGAAGATAGAGAAGCCGATTGTGGACTACCTGGATGGAGCTCCCATTGACGATCTGGACGGTTTGCCACTGAAAGATATCGAGTACATTGAACGCAAAGTCATTGAGGATTTGGATGGGGCACCACTATCAGACGACTTAGATGGCATGCCATGTATGTTTGTCCACACATTGAAATCCAAAAAGACTTGCGTCTGAATGTGAAAAACCTAAGTCACACAGAAAGACATGGCTTAAAGAAACCATATGAACATATACACATGATGGGAACAAAGTATCGCAACACCTCTGATTTTTAACCCCCATATAGCTGTATATATACATATGATAGTTATCTTTGTTTGTATGAATATTTTGACCCTTCGGGGCATACATTACATTGAAGACAATCCAAGGCAAGCATCACATACAAGTACCCATCTTTTAAGTAAATGTGAAGTTCAGTTTTGTGCTGATGAGATGCTTGTCTGCAGGAATTTCTTCAATTTGATGTGGTCTATAGTCCCACAGTAGAAATAAACATCAGTGATGACAAGTTAAGGCCAGTATTGGTCTGAATTACTGCTTCAACACTCGGACAGAAATCATCAAATATTCAGTAAGAAATATCCACTGGTATGGATTAAACATGATATGCATGTAAAGTAGACGACAGTCAAGGATAACTGGACAGCTAGCTTTGAATAGGCCAAATAACCATGCTGTATTTGAGAGGTTTTCAGATTGTTTGAATCCAGACTGAAGGAGTGTGGAATAGATCATTTATTCCTAATTATGATGTTTAAGTTCTTATAATTCAATGTGGTGCGGTGGGGTAGCCTAACGGTTAAAGCTTTTTTGCTCGTCATGCCGAAGAGCCGGGTTCGATTCCCCACATGGGAACAATGTGGTTAGCCCATTTATGGTGTCCCCCCGCCGTGATATTCCAGGAATATTGCTAAAAGCAGCATAAAACTAAACTCACCCACTATAATTCAATATGGCTGACATTGGGACCACTATTATTCTGTTATGCATGTACATTACCAAAATAACAATTCCATAGCAGACTGTGTAACATGTGAGTGTAGTGGAAACTCTGAGATACATTTACATTTTCAGTGGACAAGCCTGAAAAGCCAGCCAAGCAAGAGACGTCTTCAACGGCCCGCTTTGCCCGCTCCAAGTGGGAGGAGGTTGATGAGACAGAGCTGGAAGCACAAGGTAAGAGTGATATTGAGTTCTAGTGTAGGGATATTTCATGTACGTAACATGCATTATCATATCATGGGTAGGTTTGTCAGCAGGATGAAAATGGTATCTGATTGGATCATTCATGCATTAATAAGATTAAACATAAGTGATCATGAAGGTATTGCTATCAATACCAATCTGGCAAAGCCCAGGTCTAACAAGTCAGAAATTACAACCACGGAGCTGTACAAGTTAGTAGGATAGTTGTTATGATTGTGAAAATAATACTCTACGATACTGAAAATTGGTGTCTAAAGATATGCAGACTAGGTCATTCGTAGGTGTTGCCGACTTTGGAGGTATTAACTGCAAAGAAATTTGGCAAGGATTGTCAAGGTACTAGTATAAGATCCCATACCTGTGTTTGTTTGCCTCTACTTCTTGAGGTCTTTCGGGGCCGGGGATAGCCTAGTGTTTAAAGTGTTCGCTCGTAACGCCGAAGACCCAGGTTCAATTCCCCACGTGGGTACAGTGTGTGAAGCCCATTTATGGTGTCCCCTGTTGTGATATTGTTGGAATATTGCTAAAAACGGCGTAAAACTAAACTCACTCTTTCACTGTTGGGGTCTTTCCCTAAATCATAAACAGCTGGCTGAAGTTTGTCTGAAACTTTGCTCTGTTTCATGTTGTAGCTGTGTGGGTCATGCATTTCAGTATTCTGTGCAAAACTTTATGACATGCCACACATAATATAACAAACCTGACTTTTCATTGATTGGAGTAGCTTCCCTTTATTAAATGGCAGTTTGGCCATGAAAATAGATCATTGACAAGGCTGGAAAATTGTCCCTTTATTTTTAATATGGTAGTTGCATCATTGTCTTAATGACAAGTTTCAGTTGGAACATTATTGCCAGTTGTAACTGTCATTTCTGATGTAATATATTCTAGTAAAACTTGTATGTTCAGATACTAATTTGTGACTGTTGACAGATTCTTATTTTGAAGATAGAATTTAAAATCGCTGTATCTGATTCACTATTTTGCTTTCGAGGGCTAAATACAATGTTTATTCCCCTGACCATCCCCAAACACAGTGGTGTAATAACCTTTATATACTAGGATTGGGCGATAACCTTATGGCAACTTGGTACTTTTCATCGGTGTTAGAAATAAGTGCCTCCATATAGATCCGTTATTGTGTCCCCAGGATCCAAAAAGTGACATGACATAGTTTCAGAATAGCCATGCAATGACAGATTTTCAAGTATTATGTTAAATTATTCATCCATATGAATATTTCACTTAACTTCAACATGAAACAGAAACTAAAAACCACTGAGTGTTAATATCAATTATTTGATCAAAAAGAAGGGCAGGGCATCAAATGACCGTGGCAGGACTGTGGCGGGTAGATGATGTGTTTGGGTCTCAGTTTCAAATTGGTATGGATCTTGCAGCCTGCAGTAAATTGACATGTGGAATTATTTGCCACAGTAAACTTCAAGCTTTCACATGAAGGCTGGAAAAGTGTAGTCAGGGCTTCCGGCTTTAAATGTCTATTGCTCTGATGGCACCTTGCTGTGTATTATATTTCAAACACTGCATTCCAGCCATGTCAACCTCCAAGTGGGACCTGCTGGACCAGCAGAGTGGGGAGGAGGAAGATGGGGGAGGACAGGACCAGATGGTGGGGGAAGACATTGATGGAGCGTAAGTGGGACCTGCTGACCTCACAGGATATTTGTAAAGTCTCTTCATGATAAAACATTGTCAGTTGAAACTTAGTCAACTTTGTTTCTTGGTTGACACTGCACTCAGTAATTTTCCAGCGGTTGTAAATAATCGAGTCTGGACCAGACAATCCAGTGAACAACAGCATGAACATTGATCTATGCAATTGGGATACGATGTCATGTGTTAACCAAGTCAGCGAGCCTGACCACCTGATCCTGTTAGTTGCCACTTACGACAAGCATGAGTTGCTGAAGATCAGTTCTAGCCCGGATCGTCATGGGTGCTGAGTCAACTAAATGTTTGAGTTTGACTGTGTTATCTATCCTGATGAAGTGACAATGATCATTCTGTCAACCACTGGCATGCCTGGCCCTGATTTGTTGTGTTTGATGAACTTTGATACATAAGGGGCGGTGGGGTAGCCTAGTCGTGAAGACGTTTGCTTGTCACACCATAGACCTGGGTTCCATTCCCCACATGGGCACAATGTGTGAAGCCCATTTCTGGTGTCCCTTGCTGTTATGTTGATGGATTATAATATAAAAGCAGTGTAAAACTAAACTCACTCACTCACTGATACACAAGTTGAAAGCAAATATCATTTTGAATGTGTTCCTGACAAGTAAAGCCTTCCCAAAATGATAGAACTGGAGGCTGAGGAGTTGTTATTGAAGAAATGAGGTAATGTCAGAACTTGACTGTTTCAGTCCTATGGAGTTTGAGGACAGAGGGCAGGACTCTGAATCAAGTGAGGACAGTGATGATGATAGCCAGGAGCAAACTACCCCATACAGGCAGGAGATGTCTGAAGAGGAGAGCCAAGCTGAGAGAAATAGAGGTAAGCAGGTCACTCTCACTGTCTGTCCAATTTACAGATTTAGTCCTTCAGCCTACTCACTGTGTGGCTAATTGCATAACTTAACTTACCATATGAGTGTAGTGCACACCTGAGTATTATGGGGGTCCACCTCTAGGGGATTCAGTATTTTAGAGACAACTTATTTTGTGCATTATGTGCAGACAAAAAAACTAAATAGTAAATGAACAATGATTGGGTTGGTTGGTTTGTCGTTTACTCAGCATTATTCCAGCTATATGGAGGCGGTCTGTAAATAATTGAGTCTGGACCAGACAATCCAGTGATCAAAATCATGAGCATCGATCTACGCAATTGGGATACAATTACTTGTCAACAAAGTCAGCCAGCCTGAACAATCATAAATGAACAATGAAGATAATTGAAATACCAAAAGATAACAGATAGTTGTCCCTCTTTTTTACTGTAGTATCTGTGTTTAACCCCTCTTGTTACTCTGGAAGGGGTAATGTCATCGGGGGGGCTTCATGTTTTCATGTTGTTGCAGGTTAAGGTGATGAAATATCAGGATGAGCTGGAAGCTGGACGAAGATCGCGAAAACCCAACTTAACCTTTGCAGAGCAGATAGCCCACTATCGCAAGAAACTCTTACAGAAGGTATGTAAATGACAGTCACATTGAAACAATACTTTTGGTCCTAGATTTATCCTCGATCTGTCTGCATCATACAACATTGATTTCGTTGGTGAAATACCCATAGTATCAAATTATACAATCTTATGGCACTTTTCTTAACACTTTTTCCAAATTGATTTATAGGCTTTTTATTCAAATTTCATTCTCAATCATTAGGTTTTGCGCAAAATGCTGATAGGAATAATTCCATTAATAGTGAATAGTTAATGTTACCAGTGTTGTATTAATGGAAAGGCAATATGCACCTGCCAAATAGGTGTGTTATTAAAAATCTCACTCTAATATGTTCTATACTTGTCACGTTGTGTAATTGGGTGTTATTGGTTTGGGATTGTTGCAGGAGACCAGTGAGTCCCCGGGAAGAATGTCACGTGAGAGGAAAAGACACAGGTCAAGGTCACCATATTCACCGTCACTACGTCTTGGCTATGACAGTCCAAAGCGATCAAAGAAGATGAAAAGGTTAGTCATCAGTCATACTGTAAGCGTAAGCATATAAGGCAGTACATTACACTTGTAAGTTGTCTGTTTTGCTTTGTCCTCATTTCTTCAGTACTGAGGTAGGGATGAAAGGCATTCTCAGGTGCTGATGTTCAGCAAATTGGTAACATTTCCAACTTGGAATATACAATGTTGAATGCTATGATGGAATATCTCAACTTGTATGAACAACCCAAATTGCCCTCTACATACAATTTGTAAAAAGGCTTAAATAAATCCTTGTGTTTATGTTCCTTTGATTTCTGGGATAGTTTGACTCCTTGTGTTAAATGTGGCAAGTTGAAATGGTTACAACACTAGGGCAGAGACGGGTCCAAATTTTCTACCTGGGTAACCCACCCCCTATTACCCTACCCTACCCTGATACCCGTTATGTTAATTCCTGATATCAAATTTGTAAGAAATGCCAATATATTCTTCAGCTGGAAGGCTAAAATTTCGAGTTTTTCAAAATCTTAACCATTTATTATATTCAAAACAGGTGACTGAAAATTATGTCTAAATCTTCAAACACAATACAACATTTAATCATGAAAAAATAACGTTTTACATTGTTTAATCTATTAGTCACATGATCACAACGGGTCCGGGTATTGAGTCCGGTCCAACCCATTACCCACTCATCCCGAGTATCCAGGTTACCCATCCCAGCCCTATACAACACCAATCAGAAGGCCATAGATGCAAGATGAACCTCTTGTGAGGAATTAGTCAAAATAGGAATGGAATTCTGAATCTTACTTACATTATTTCTAGCATTTACGTCCCAGTCTTCCAAGGTGCCTCAAATCACTGTGCAGAGTTACCTCCCTTAGACAAGCCAGGAACCTATTATTTGTGGGTTCCAGTCCCGATTCACGTTGATTATGTTTCTAGGTTTGTCAGTACCATACCCGATACGTAGTTGTCTGTGGTAGATGTCTGAGACCTGTTTCTCGTCAAGCTTTCCTCCAACATTAAGTTGACGCTCTTTGACATAACTTGAATATGTTTTTTAGTAGCATTAAGCCCGACTCACTCATTCACTTCATATTTATACTGATGCTTCCGATATACTACATGTACCATTCCTGTACTCACTGATTGTTTTCAACATGCACACTGTCTTCTCCAATAGCCCCAAGAGATCTCGACGGTCACGTTCACCAAAGTCAAGGTCACCCAGGAAGTCCCCATCAAGAAGTCCAAGTCGTCATCGGCACAAACACAAGAAGAACAAATACCGAGACTGATGTCTGTGCCTCGCTCAGTATAACTTGTATATATTGTAAAGACATTGTACAGTGACACGCTACACCAACAACTACAGTGATCTCTTCAACCTTCTGCATGTTTTAAGTCGGTGTTCTATGATGATTTGTTGAAAACTCTATGGTGTCAAGTCAAAGAGTTTCCTTTTGATTTACTGCATTTGTTTATAAGCTGCCTATTCACACAAACCAGTCAAGGAATATTAAATGCTGTAAAGATTAGACCTAATGCTTGACAAACTTAATAGAAGTATATTGGACTACCACATAGGGGGACAAAAGTGTTCCCCCTGTGAAAGAATCCATTTCCACTGAGTATTCGACTGTGCTCAGGTTTGATGCATTGAACATGGGGTTTATGAAGCTTTGCATCGATCAAAGCCTAACCTTTATCAACTGCAGGGATTATGCAGAGCCACTTGTTCAGGGGTCATGTGGTGATATTTCTAAAGTTTGTTCTGCAGTAATTCTAGTCACCTTTACACATATCATTTCATTTGTACAATTGACTCATAAAGGGATATGTATACTTGAATATACTACTAGGGAATTGAAATCTCAGTTATTGCATTTGTATTGTACAATTTCTTTGCAGATGTTAATAGAAGAATCAATTGAAAAGACCATGGTTGATAAAATTGTTTAGGTTTGGCATTCTTGCAACTCATTGTCAAACCTCTGTACAAGGTCGTCATTTTTACATTCTCTATAAGTCATCCATATCAATGGTAGCATGTGATGCATTCAGAGTTCACTGTAGTGATGCTGGGTTGTGTGAGATAAGGTATTATTATTATCCATTCATTGTTACCATTCATTCATCACTTCTCATCACATTTAAAATGCAAATACCAAATATACAACTCCAATGTTCCTGTGTAAGTCCTTTCAAGATTTCTCCTGTTCCGTACAAATCACACCATATCAAGCACTGTTTCTTGTTTGAATTGTTTGAAACTTCAGAAGTGTTAGAACACATACTGTCAGAGGAATTAATAGTTTCCAATGCTGAACAAGCTTTGGAGAAGCCTGATTTGCATAGGGAAATCTGCAAAGAGGAATTTGATATGTTCAAGGTTAAGCTATATCCTTCATTAAGGGTAATGCTCAACATGTCATGTGACAATTCTACTGTGTTAAACTTTTCAGTCAGTTGTGAATGTACCATGCATGTTAGAACAAGTCTTTTACAAAATGCTATATATTTTCCTTATTTAGTTTTATTAACAAAAGATTCTGTATTTCCAGCAGAAAGTTGTAGTTTCTACTATGATGAATCAGTCAAGATTTGAAGTCCTGTTGTTATCATATAAAGGTGGATTGAAATGATGAAACATTTGATTGTGTAATCAAGGAATATTTCTGTTCAGTGAGATTTTGGAAATTAAATTATTATATTTCTTCAAATTAAAAAGTGACCTTAACAAATAATGGTATGATATACAAATTTGCAAACAATGACTTCTCAGAAAATTGGAATGTGATCATCTTCGAGAATGTTTTATCACGAGGTGTATTGACCTTTATAATGTTTCCATCAGCTTTGAAATTTGCAGCTCCTCCAGTGCTCAATGATCAATCTTTTTCATAATTTATTCATTGATAGTGACGTACATTTTGTGTCAACTCGTTTTTAATGATGTTAATGCAAAATATGAAACATATGCACTGTTAACTCATGTTCTAAAGGATAGATATTGTTGAAGCAATTGCTGTGTGTTTGCAGGGCCAGCTGGTGAATCAGAGTAAGATGAATTAATGTTTATAACTGCACAATATTTGAATGTGATGTACATTTATTCTCCCATCAAGCAAGTCACATGATGTTACCATTGATGCCAATCATGAAATAAACATGAACAAGTTACTATTTCTCCTTTTTGAATTTGTGTGCACTGTGAACTGTTGACCGTTTTCTCAGATTCTCTGCTTACACATTTTATTTTTTTTGCTGAAACCCTGTTACAAAAATCAAATAATGGACCCTTCCCCAGGGTAGTGAAGGGCCTAATATCACTTATGTTTGATTGAGCAGAAAGGTGAGGTGTCAGGGTGTTTGTTATGCATGACTAAACAAACAAAAAAACACACACACACACACACACCTCATTCACACACAATCATACAACTGCACACATGAAAACAACATTCAGAGGCGCTGACAGTACTTTATCAGGCGATAAATTTACTTTTTGCATTACGTCACACTAGTGACTTAACTACGCCATTTTAGTCTGCCCTCTTGCAAGGACGTACATTCACATATTCATATTGATCGTATTCACATGTATATACGTCTTTGCCTCTTGTAATCAACCACATGGGCAAAATGTGTGAAGCCCATTTCCGGTGTCCCCCTCCGTGATATTGCTGGAATATTGCTAAAAGCGGCGTAAAATCAAACTCACTCACTCACTCACTCACTCTTGTAATCAAGCATACCGTTTGTAACCAACGTCATGATGCATGTCAGTTGTCATTGCCTAGTGCAGTCTCCTACTGTACAACTAACTCCGTAGCACCCCGGTTCTTCATTTGCAGTTACGTCACTAGGCTAACATTACTGGTGGAAACGTTAGGTTTAACAGCGAAACAGCCATGTTCGCAAACTAAGCCTGTGTCCACAGTCCCACAATGCGTCCGTGGCATGTCGTGTGGCTAGTCAGCTCATCTGGGTGTACTGATATAAACGTATATTGGAACTAGAAGTACAACATACATATTGTCCCATATTGTTTACGATTTTCTCAGATTTTTTAAACATGATAAAGGGAAGATATATTACCCAAATGTAAACTGTTTATCATTTGTTTTCTTCAAAGCATGTTGCTTAACGTAGGGGGCAGACACATCAGTAGAACAGCACGTCAATTAGCCCTGTTTGTTTGTTTTCATCGGAAAGTATTACATTTGGCATCTTAGAAAAGATATACATTTCGCTCTACCCCTATGTATAGTGTGATAAAGTACACTTTTGTGGACCCAAGTGCCCTTGTTCTCTAACTATAATAGTTCAGGCAAAAGAGTACTTTATTACACTATACATAGGGGTAGAGCGAACTCTTATTTCCTAAGCAAGTTGAGTAATTACTGGTACTTTCCTCAACTTATATTATAGACATAGGTTGTTTAAATTTGCAAAAGGTTTGCTTTGCTTACATATCATTACTCTCTGTCATCTTCACACACCCCAGGGGCGGTGGGGTGGCCTAGTGTCAAGCGTTGGCTCTTCACACACCCCAGGGGCGGTGGGGTGGCCTAGTGGTTAAAGCGTTGGCTCGTCACGCCGAAGACCCGGGTTCGAATCCCCACATGGGTACAATGTGTGAAACCCATTTCAGGTGTCCCCTGCCATGATGTTGCTGGAATATTGCTAAAAGCGGCGTAAAACTAAACTCAGGCATTCAGTCACACACCCCAGGTTATAGTTGATTGAGCATCACCTTTACAGAGCAATGGGTCAGTCCACACCTACATCATACCAAGAGATGTTAAAACATGGTACTTCATGTTACTCTGCCTTGCATGAAGTGGATGAAGCAAAGACTGGTTATCCTAGGCCGGTTTGTTTAAGTCTGTGGCATGGTATTCCCATGGGTTGCCACAACAGAACCTTCACAACTGATAGTAAATTCAATTCACCTTGACCTTTTGGTTAAAGAATCTTGTTAAAACATCGCATTCACCAATTTAAAGAAGAAAATTATTTCATTATTGACCTCTTTTGGTTTGAATATTTGGATCCGTTTATTAATTCAGCAGTTCCAGGAAGTAACCTGTGAACATCCGAGCTGGTCTTCAGTAACCCATGCCTAGGTCGTAAGAAGCGAATAACGGGATCAGGTTGTCAGGCTCGCTGGGCTGGTTGACACATGTCATTGCGTCCCAGTTATGTAGATCAATGCTCATGCTGTTGATCCCTGGATTGTCTGGCCCAGACTGGATTATTTACAGACTTCTACCATATAGAACATAGCAGTTGCAGTGATGTGGCAGATTGGGTTTTCCTCGCAACATGTTGTCAGTGACAAGGGCATCTGTTGACAATTCAAAGGGTTTGAGACTCTGGTTGCAGCACAAACACAAATTTGTGGCTGTGATGTAACAGAGGTGGTATTCTTAGAATAATAAACAATGGGTAACTATTGTTTTATTGCTGGTGTCCCCTGCTGAAATACTGCAGGAATATTGTTAAAAGTGTCATAAAATCAAACACACCCATTCACTCACAGGAGACATGTAAGTAGAAATGCTTATCAAACATTTGAGAGCTTTATGAGACACCATAGTTGAGATCATTTACTGAAAACTTGTGACAGGCAGTAACTTCCCTGGAAATAGCAGAGGTGATGAAAATGCAGTATAACTTGATGGATTGACAGACACTTAAAACGTCCTATTACCTTTCAACTACATACTGTGTGCGTAAACAAAAATCATAATTACTTTCCAGAAAGACCAAGATTAAATTTTTTTAACATGGCTGAATGGGTCAGATGAGCTAAATGTGAAGCAACATGTATGTCTGCACTGGCAACTAGAGCTACTAGGGCTGGCTATGTATAAGTTGATCACCCTTACAAGGTAGTTATTTAAATAAACTCTGCGAGGGCTTTGGCCCAAGCAGTGTTTATTTAAATAACTACCGTAGTGAGGGTGATTAAACGGCTTACACCACAAGGGCATACTTATTTAATACGTGTGTATTAGGCATGATGATGATTATCAAAATACCGGTAAGTACAATGTTATTGTTTTTAAATAGAAATAATTGCCCTAGGGCAGTTATTCAGTTATGCTAATAAAACACTTCCAAGAACAATGGACATAACTTTCCCTAGTGGTTTATTGATATATATTACAGAGATCAATAATTGTTAACTGAATACTAGTATTGATCGATTATTGATAAATATTGAAGTAACTGTGAGCCAAAAATCTAAACAAATCAAAAAGGCTTGGATTTCTAACAAAATGCCAGCCTGAACATAATTTAGCAGCCCATGAAAAAGACACACGTTTGTATATTGTCTTAGTAAATTAAAACTTTAGTTCATCACTATAGTTCTATATTATCAATGACAGTTTTCATTTCGATAATCATTAATACTTTTTCCATCAATATTTTCAAAATATCGCTGTAGTGACCACTTGAACTGTTCAAAACCAGTTCCCTTCAACAGAATATGTCATGCGAATAGTGAATTTATATGTTAAATAGATAAGTTCAAGATGTCATAAAGTCTTCTGCTTACTGATGCACCACCAGCATTCATTCTGGTAAATTGCTGATCACAGCAGTGTAAAACCACACCCATGATATAACCTAAATACTAATCAAAGTAGTGTTAAACCACAGCAATTATATAACCAAAATACTGATCAAAGTAGTGTTAAACCGCAGCAATTATATAACCAAAATACTGATCAGCGTAGTGTTAAACCACAGCCATGTTATAACCAAAATACTGATCAGCGTAGTGTTAAAACAGCCATTTTATAACCAAAATACTGATCAAAGGAGTGTTAAACCACAGCCATCATATAACCAAAATACTGATCAATGTAGTGTTAAACCACAGCCACTGTATAACCAAAATACTGATCAAAGTAGTGTTAAACCACAGCCATTATATAACCAAAATACTGATCAAAGTAGTGTTAAACCGCAGCCATTATATAACCAAAATACTGACCAGCGTAGTGTTAAACCACAGCCATGTTATAATAAAAATACTGATCAGTGTAGTGTTAAAACAGTCATGTTATAACCAAAATACTGATCAAAGGAGTGTTAAACCACAGCCATGTTATAACCAAAATACTGATCAGCGTAGTGTTAAAACAGCCATGTCATAACCAAAATACTGATCAAAGTTGTATTAAACCACAACCATTATATAACGGTAATACTACTGAAAGCAGTATTAAACCAATACACTGTAATGAATTAGAAATATTGTTGAAAAAGATCTTGAACAGTCTCATGCAGTTTCCTAATGGGAAGCTGGACTTGACACTCACAAGCTCCTACATTCAGGGTTGAGCCCTCTGTATCCACTAAGGCAGTGGTGACTGACTGACTGACTGAGTTTGGTTTTACGCCGCTTTTAGCAATATTCCAGCAACATCACGACGGGGGACACCAGAAATGGGCTTAACACATTGTGCCCATGTGGGGATTGTTGTCCTGCTGTGATATTGCAACGCTTTAACCATTACCCCACCGCCCCTAAGGCAGTGGTGAGGTAGCCCAGGCATTAAAGTGTTTGCTGGGCCAAGTTTACTTCCCCAAATGGGTAACTATGTCAATTTCTGTATCCGGGTTAGAATATTGATCTTCAGTAACCCATGCTTGTCGTAAGAGGCAACTAATGGGATCGGGTGGTCAGGCTCGCTGACTTGGTTGGCACATGTCATCAGTTCCCAATTGCGCAGATCGATGCTTATGTTGTTCATCACTAGATTGTCTGGTCCAGACTCGATTATTTACAAACCGACGCCATATCGCTGGAATATTGCTGAGTGCGGGGTAAAATAAAACTCTTAAATGAGTCATGCGTTCGAACATGTAAGACAGACAACATGATGTCAAATGATCATTTATTCTCTTTAATTACAGACATTGTGAATTGAGCTAACCCAAACGAGTATTCATTTCATGTTGTACAGACAATTGAATTTACATGATTTCAAAGACTGAACTCCCCCAATAAACCAGATCTGATATGATAAACATCCATGCCCTGTCTTGTTGGCAGGTTAATGAAAACGTACAAAAGACACATTATCCTCAAATATTAATGCTTACATTTCATCCAGCTTGTAAATATTGACTCTTATTATGCATGAGAGCTGAAACTAGCAACAACAGGTCAAGATAAAACAGGGATGATTTTAGTCACAACTTACAGTACAGTCCGTATAAAAATCAAGAAAAACAACTGAGCAATGTTGAGCCTTGTCTCTAATCACTGAATCAAATGTGCCTCAGCTTTAAGGAACGTCCGGTGTCTGGAATTCAACTATTTTGTATGTGTCTTATCTTGACCTGTTGAACTTTGTTATATCATTATGACTATTCAGACCCTTCAAAACTGTGGCCGCTTTAGGCGGTCATTACGTACATAACACAGATACGAGGACGGTAGATACTAGTGTTTTCTTCTACATAAGAGGCACATTAGCAGTAATTATATCACACATCCAATACTTGAAAATATATCACGAGAATTTGGCAGTGATGGTTGGGTAAACATAAGGTACAGGAGTATTATCACGTTATTGCACTGAAAGATGCTATCTATTAATATGGCTTGCAGTACTTCCAACAATTTTTTCATAATTTTATAAATTGTATGTAGTTTGGTACAAAAGCAAATTGAATGTAGTGCAAGCCAGTTTGAATCTACAAGTGACTAGACAGTACACTGTTTTCTTCTACTCAGTGCAAAACATCATATGTACGAAACACAGATGCCTGAATGTAAACAGCACCCATATGAAATCAGACTGGTGACCCTTTATTGCAAATTGAGGTCTCTTTTCTCTTTAACACACATACTTAGCCAAGAAAAATCCTGTTTGCATAGAAGCTAATGCTTTCAATACATAGGGGGTACTTTACGTTCCATCGTCTGACGGTATGTACAGGTTTTACAAGCACATGACGTCTGGAGCAATATCCCTGACGAGATCACAAATTAATTATAGAAGCTAAAAGAACTTTTACTTGTATTTATTTAAATCTATAGAGAAAAGGTTCAAGAGATTCATCTTTCATACAAACTTGGCATCTGCTTATTTTACTTCGTAAATTGCCTGCCTTGAGTGTGTCTGAGAGAGGCCTGCTAAACTGGTTATCTCTTTCTAAAGTAGCTAGCCAGAAACTTAATGACGTTGCATAGTAATTACATGTGCCTCTTCCATGGCACTCGATGAAAGGAGCGGCACGGAAGTCCTCCAGGCAGGAACCTGGGGAAGCCAAGGACTGACCAGAGCCAGAAGAACCAGCACCAGTGTTCTGAAACAGATGGGTGGAGAATGTTATGTTATCGTTATATCACGTTCTTGTGTCAGAATCTTGTGAACATGTTTATTGTTTAACAACACACTCAGAAGTATGCCAGCTATATGACAGCTGTCTGTAAATACTCAAATCTGCACCAGGCAACACCATCAATATATGCAATGACATAAATCAACCAACACACCGAGTCTGACAACCCAATCCTGTTAGTCGCCTCTTATGACAAGCTGGGTTGCTGAAGACAATTCTAACCCGGACCTTCAGCTGTTGTTGTTGTCTCTAAGATTAGTTCTGAGTGATATAGTCAGTGATCTTGACTGTTCATGGGCTAGTACCCCTGCTGCTAACATAAGGTTTGTCCCTGCCATCGTTAAAATATGGACTTGTTGGTCCCTGCCATGCATTAAGTACAACAAGGACTGGTCTCGAGTCAGTATAATGTGTCTGAGTGGGGTATTCATGCTTCAGCATGATCTCAGTGGGCTAGCACTATAAAACCAGCTTCAGTCTGGGCTAGTACAAGCAGCGGCACATACACATACACATGCATGCACGTCGTCATATGAGCGAAATATTCTCCAGCACGACGTTAAACCCAATTTCACCTCACCTCACCTAAGATAAGGTAACTTACAAGAATGAAACTATATCCGATCCAGAGAGACCTCCAGCCTCCAGGACACTCGGGCAGCACCATGGTTTGACTGTGGACGGCCATGATCTGAAACAGGTAATAAGCATAGTTTCACATACAGTGTGTTTGTTTGTGTACCTGGTGTTTGACGTCATACTCAGTAATATTACAGTTACATGGAAACAGTCTGCAAATAATCAAGTCTGGACCAGACAATTCAGTGAACATCAACATGAACAATGATCTACGCAATTGGGATACGATGACACGTGTCAAACAAGTCAGCCGGCCTGACCACCAAATCCTGTTAGTTGCCTCTTATGACAAGCATGGGTTGCTGAAGATCAGTTCTAACTCAGATCTTCACTAGGTATACCACGTTTGCAAACTCAAAGTGCCTGACAAACCTAGAATCATAATCAACATGAATCGGGACTGCATGCATGGGTAGTGCTGGTATTGGCATACAAACTGCGATACGTTACATCCCGATACTAAAATTTTAGTCACGACGATATATTGTCAAAGTATTGTGCACTGAAGCTGCGATACGATACGAATCCCGATACAAGGATGGCGATATGATATGTATCAAGATACTAAAATCTTGATTTCTAACACCAACTATATAACACCTTAAGATCAAGACAAAACCACTTTAAAGTATTTCGTCAAGTAGGTATTATTTCAGACTTGCCTCACATTAGGGTAGCCTAGTGGTTAAAGACTTAAGTCATCACATCAAAAGTGTGGGTTCAACGCACATGGGTACAATATGTGAAGCCCATTTCTGGTTTCCTCTCGCCACAATATTGCTGGAACATTGCTAAAAGTGGCATAAAACCTAACTCACTGACTCGCTCCTCACACAATACAGTGGCACCTTTGATATATCGTATTGACCTCGTAAGGATGGGAATGCCACAATAACTCGGTGCGCCTAGTTGCTGCAAGAGTTGTATGCTCCCCAGGGAGTTGAGATTGGCAATACGATCTGCCGTTGAGATTGACATCCAGTGAACGAGGGAAAAACAAAGCAAGCGCAAAGAGTCCTTTCGGAGACTTGCGCTATATAAATGCTATCCATTATTATTATTATTATATATGGCGCTAACTCAAACACTGTTATAAACAGCATTAAACCCCACACATTCACTCACTCACTAGCTCACTTCCCCTGATACAAACACAGTGACTTACAGGTGATGGTGCTTCACACACTGTACAGCGACTGATGTAGGGTCGGATCTGTTCCCCACTGACTGGATTCATCATGGGCGTCATGGGCTCGGGTGTGGCTAGCCAGTAGCTGTAGTCACTGCGGGAGGCCACGTTGCAGACATTGTTGATGTTGCAGAACATGAAAGGCATGGTGCTAAACCTGGGCAGACAGCTACCGGCAGTACCTGTTCAGAAACCAATCATACTGCAATCATGTGATCAAATTTGACTAATATAACAAGCACAGCCTTGTCATCTTAGCACTAAGACTACCATAACTCCCATGTTTACCATGGCTTATGACAGTCATACCACTAAGATAAATTTGTGGAAAAGGGTGCTGATAGCATCAGACACAACCAATACAAGTAGAATTCAACAGTCTACAAGGTTATGATGAAATGGAATTATTTCATAATGATTTAGTTTCAACTTCAAAGGTTATGTAAAGTTCATATGATCCAAATCTACTGGATCCAAAGTTGCAGCGTATGACACTGTAGATGTTATTGCTACACAAAAGAAATACTGTTTGACATTTTCCTGCCTGAAACAAAACTATATTGGGCGATCACCTAAACACTTTGTACTGTCTTCTTGAAAGTCTTTAAATCTCTATGGGTATATTTGTTTCAGACTTAATGAATGATTAAGAAAACTCAGCAGTCTTAGTCAGTTCTGACATATTCTACTCAAAAGTACTTAGAGAACACCCATTTTGTTCATTTGACTATAGTACTTTATACTTGATTTCCCTGAAATTCATTCATGCAATGCTTAATCAAAATTTTTAATAAAATTTATAACAAAGATTAAAAACACTGGTCCAGATATGAACACAATTTATAACAAGACATTAAACATCAAATTGTGTATATGATTCAAAATTTGTTGACATGTATTTTCTGGTGTTACAAGCTCGTGGTAACTATATTGCAATAAAAGCGTGAAAATTCATTATGGTGAGTTTAATGCACACCCACCTGTACATAGCTGTGGTTTTAGGCAACAAAGTGGGCACCGTACTCTAGATAATATGGTTAATCTGTAATGTCTGGCTGCTATTGCAACACATAGCCTTCCAGTTGTAGTTTTTTCAAACATATTCTAAGGTAGTATTTATGAGAGAATTAAAGACTATTGAAAAACATCATAATGGTGTGCATGTTTGTTAGTTTGTTGTTTAATGTCACACTCAGCAATATTCCAGCCATGTTTGTAAATAATCAAGTTTAGTGATCAACATCATGAATATCGTTCTACACAGTTGGGATACGATGACATGTGTCAACCAAGTCAGCGAGTCTGTTGTGCATGTAAACCATAAGCTGTGAGACACATCTGTCTGTCCCTTTGTCCAACATAGACTGGTAAGTGTAATTGTCTAGCCATCAACTCTAGTGCCCTTACCAAGATCCTGTCCATGTGCACGCCCATTGCCAACAACATACAGCAATGAATACCCAGTCCACAGATTGGCTGTTCCCACTGGACAGTTTGGAACGTTGGTGGTCTGACTGTGCCTGAAAATAAAACATAAGCATATGATAAAGACCTACAAAATAACATACAATGGTACGAAAACACAGGTGGAAACAGCCATCTTTAATCTGTGATTTGCTGCATAGTCTAACATAGGTTCAATACTGCTGGCAAACCAATCAGAATGCAACATTCGAAAATGTCACGGATTAATTGTGTTAGATTCAGTAAGAATGGAAATTAACCCATTAAAACGATTAATAACATTATTCTGAGAACAAAAAGAGTCTATTACAATGCACGGACCAAAGGAAATGTGCCATGAAAAATACAGGAAGTAAGAATATATTTAAGTTCCAAGACAGATGTTTAGCTGCACTGTGTTCATCCTTACCTTGTGAAGTAAATTCCAGGGCCTCCTCCATCTCCTCCGGGGCCTCCTATCTCACCCGGGAATCCTGGCAGACCTGGGAGACCAGGCATGCCATCGATACCAGGAATACCAGGCTGACCGGAGGGGCCTTGTTCACCAGCTGAACCGGGTGTCCCAGGGAACCCTTCCGTACCGCGAAGACCATTCAGACCAGGGAGACCATCATCACCTGGAACGACAGGTACAGTTAGTTTGGGACAAAAACTCACATCAATAGCCATTACTTCATTAAAACACTTCTTTGTAATAATTTTTCACCTGCTACCAGTTGTGCAAATTATGTAAAAGATGAGCTTGCATTACGTTCATCATATGTAGTAAAACTTAATATTAAAATATTATTATCATGTTTCTTGTACGTTGGCTTAAGGCCTTTTCACAAAATAAACTGATTGATTGATCGATGCAACAGCCTATACAATTTAAAGAAGAGCCCTTACAAATTATTACATGACCATATGCACTTCATCAAAGTTTGCTTACACAAGCCCCCCCCAAAAATATTCATTGTTTTGCTGTTAACCATTTTGTGCAGGTTGTATACATGTCACTTGGCTGAGTGTCAGTAGTTATAGAATCATGAAATGTTGATATTGCAATATGTAAGAAAGACCCCAAAAAATGAAGAAAAGACAAAAATAACCAAATACGTAATAGAAAGTATTTGCCATAATAAGTGTTGGGGCATGTATTAAAATCACAAACAAGTTGAATTGTTTTTAAAGATTGAGCGGTAGTTACTAAACTTAGCTCAAACACCGATGGAACTAAAAGGATTGTGATAATCGTTTTTATGTAGTCATACACTACAGGCTGCTGTTTGTCATCTACACAAGAAAATATAGACTTTCATACAAATGTTCAGTCTTAGTTGTGGAACACTTGCAGACTGGTCTAGAGTTTTACAGTGCTTAATACAGTGAATCTGGAAAACACAGTAAAGGGAAGGCAACTAACTTACCTTGAGCTCCTCTTGGACCTTCTAAACCTGGAAAGCCAGGTTCACCCCTTGTTCCATCATCTCCTCGCGGGCTAGGTGGCAGGCGAGTGATATCAGTGGGGCCAGGGTCACCTGGGTATCCCTTTAAACCTGCAAGATGGAAGAGTCATACATAATTTCAGTAATCCACAGAGCTCGATTTAAGCATTTAGAACATGCACAGGTGCAACCTGAAACTGCAAACTGTAACCTCACAATTATACCAACTTGCCCCCAGTGCATGTTAATATTTTGCTGTTCAAAGAACAAAACAGAATGATGAGGTCCCACCTTGGAGCAGTGACTCTGATGACTACACTGACAGTGACTCACTGTTACTGAGCAAGTCATTAAACGCAAGATAACATTATCGTATCTACAATAATTCTTTTATAATGATGTTCTACATCATCAATACCACAACACAAACACTAACGGGATCAGGTGGTCAGGCTCGCTGACTTGGTCGACACATGTCATTGTATCTCAAATGTATCACTGGATTGTCTGGTTCAGACTCAATTATTTACAGACCACCGCCATATAGCAGGAATATTGCTGAGTGTGGCATTAAACAATAAACCAACCAACCAAAACTCAAGCATTACATATACTGAGAGAAACAAATAAAGGATCTCAGCAAAATGCAGGCATTCCTTTATTATTTTCCAGTTTTCATCACCACTGCGCTATTCAATGGAACACTTGAATGTTCCAGTGATCCTTTATTTGTTTCTCTCAGTATATAATTATATATTGAGCAGCCGGTGCAACCTGTTTTTTTCCAGAGCAACAAGGTTATAATGTAAGGTTGCTCCTGGTGCAAGTAGCTGTCATTTCCTGTGTAAAGGCCCCAATCACTATTAGAAAATACTATACATAATATCAGAGGCATGTCCCGGACAATATATTTAACAAGCACATATCCTACATTAGGTGTTAAAAAAGGTGCACCTACCGGCAATACCAGGACCTCCAGGTCGGCCTCTCTCACCAGAGAAGCCAGGAACACCTCTCTCTCCCTTGCGACCAGGAAAACCATTTGCACCATCGTCACCACGCCGACCATCAACACCAGGGATACCAGGTTGACCATTCTCTCCCTGAAAGGACATCATCAAATTAATACTCCAGTTGAAGAAATGGCCAATGTCTGTCAAGTTCACAGAGCTGTAAGTTCATAAAATGCAAGAATATATACTCACATCTTCTCCAATCCTGCCTGGTTCTCCATCTCGACCATCAGTGCCTGGTAGACCTGGCAAGGCAGTTTCTCCCTTCATTCCCTTCAGACCAGGTAATCCTGGCTGGCCTGGTACTCCCCGTTCGCCAGGTAAACCTGTAGAATAGATTACAAACATATAATTACTCCATGTGATTTTGAGCCAGTGGTCAAGATCTGCAACAACTGACATGTGTATGCTTGTGTCCCAGTTGATGGTATGTTATTGTGTCCCAGTTGATTGTATGCCGCTGTGCCCTACCTGATGGTATGTTATTGTGCCCCAGTTGATGGTTTGAATTGTGCCCAAGTTGATGGTATGCCGATGTGCCCTACCTGATGGTACGTTATTGTGTCGTAACTGATGGTATGTTATTGTGCCCCAGATGATGGTATGTTATTGTGTCCTACCTGATGGTATGTTATTGTGCCCTACCTGAGTGTATGCCATTGTGCCCCAGTTGATGGTATGCCATTGTGCCCTACCTGATTGTATGCCATTGTGCCCTACCTGATAGTATGTTATTGTGTCCCAGTTGATGGTATGTTATTGTGCCCCAGTTGATGGTATGTTATTGTGCCCAAATTGATGGTATTTTATTGTGACCCAGCTGATGGTATGCCATTGTGCCCCACTTGATGGTATGTTATTGTGCCCCAGTTGATGGTATGTTATTGTGTCATACCTGATGGTATGTTATTGTGCCCCAGTTGATGGTATGTTATTGTGACCCAGTTGATGGTATGTCCTTATGCCCCAGTTGATGGTATGTTATTGTGCCCCAGTTGATGGTATGTTATTGTGTCCTACCTGACGGTATGTTATTGTGCCCCAGTTGATGGTATGCCATTGTGACCCAGCTGATGGTATGTCATTGTGCCCAAGTTGATGGTATGTTATTGTGACCAGCTGATGGTATGTCATTGTCCCCCAGTTGATGGTATGCCATTGTGTCCTACCTGATGGTATATTATTGTGACCCAGTTGATGGTATGTCATTGTGCCCCAGTTGATGGTATGCTAATGTACCCTACCTGATGGTATGCCATTGTGCCCCCACTGATGGTATGTTATTGTGCCCCAGTTAATGGCATGTCATTGTGCCCCAGTTGATGGTATGCTAATGTACCCTACCTGTTGGTATGCCATTGTGACCCAGCTGATGGTATGTTATTGTGCCCCAGTTGATGGTATGTTATTAAGCCCTACCTGATGACAAATGAATTATCTAACCTTTTGGGATCGTATAAATGACAGATCTTACCTGGAAGACCATCAAGTCCTGAATCTCCTGGCAAGCCCTTCAGTCCAGGTAGAGAAAAGGCAGACTCTCCCTTCTGGCCTGGAAATCCAGGTCGACCTGGAAAACCATCTTCTCCTGGCAAACCAGAAAGGCCAGGCAGAGCAGGGGTGCCTGGTATACCATCCACACCGGGGGGCCCAGGGCGACCTGAAAAATAACACAGATGCAGTATTATCAATAGATTTTTCTTCACCTAGTGTAGAATTATTGTTATCAAATGTTTTAACAGAATCCTGATCAGATGGCTTGTAAAAACTCAGAGTAGTTTTCTTTTGAGACATTATTGTCATCGGTTGTTGTCTGCTTTCAAACAGATCACGTTCATAAAGAGACTTCATGTCATGTGTACTGACACAAAATGTCTGCGCCCATGGTAAACATGTCAACATCGTAAACACAGGAAAGACATGGGTTTATGAGCATTCAAATATGTATGGTCTTATTCAATTTGGGAAAAAAATAATTGTTTGGGGGATTAAATGACTAAAGGTGAGTTATGTTTCCAAAAAGTTAAGCGTGCCATATTGGCACTGAGAAAAATGTTGATCCATGCCATTTTAATATTTACCATACTATGGCACAAGAAATATATGGGGTATTTTGAACACTGGAAAGTAATCCAGTATTTAAGGAAAAAAAATGTATATGCAGTGAGATATGAAGTAGAAAGCATAGGTTGCATGCCCAGACGGTAAGCCTGTGTTGAGGTATAACAGTATCAGCCTAACAGGAGACACATAGCTCACCTAGATCAGCCATATTTGTCTTCAATTAAACAATTAGTGTCTCATCAGTCTTTTATTATTCACTTCTGCATATCAGAAATGGAAGTAATGTATTTTAATTCTCAGTTCTCTGTCTCACCTGCTGGTGCTTCCTCTCCAGGCAGACCTGGCAGACCAGGACCTCCATCAAAACCTGCAACAAGATAATCACAGCTTTATAGTCACAAGTTGTATCTGTTTATGCATATGTACTCAAGAGTAGTGTGGATTAGTGGTGGTCCGATTAACTGCAATAATCGAAGATTGGTCGCAGTGCCTAGACGACCAAGCAATCAATTGTGTTTTCTTATAATCGAACACAACTTATTTTGGAACACTTGTTTGAATCAACAATATTTGACACAAGGTTGTTTTTTGTCTGTGTCATTAAATTTACGTTTCATAAGCACTACAAGCTCGTTCCAAGTCATGATTGAATTTATCTTAAAGAATCCAGGAAATCTGTGTTCTTAACATACTAATCATCCTTTAAATATGCGAAATTTGCGAAAAGACCCAAATTACTACATGTTTTTTCTTTGTGTGTGCATTAACAAAGATAACAGGAACATTTGATAAATGACACAAACCAATTATTTTCGATGATTGATTGGTTGTAATGAACCAATCATCAAATTATGAGATTTTAACCAATTCCCAACACTAGTGTGGATGAAGTGGTTGAAATTCTAAGTGACAATCACAGCCAGTTATAGCTATTTCTGCATATGCTATGTCGAATATCAAGACAATTTCAAAGCCTAGAATACTGACGTTTGTCTCAGTGTTCATATAGAGCAGGTGGCTACGCAATGTACATAATTATTCAAGGATTTATCTTAACTGATCAAATCAAAGGAATGTTATTGATTGAAAGCACACTTTTCTCTTGAATCTGTACTTTGTGGCTACAGCATGAAGTAATTAAAAAGCAACGAATCTGCAACACAAGATCAGTTTCTGGTTGTACTGTATTCATCCACTAAACACAACCATTAGACCAAAGTGTTGTGATTCGACAGCTGCAGCATACCTGGTTGGCCAGGCTCGCCATCAAGACCAGGTCGGCCTTGAAGACCATTCTCTCCTCTAAGTCCACGAGGGCCACCAAGTCCTGGCAAACCATCATCACCACGACCTCCAGAAAGTCCATCAGCACCAGGGCGTCCAGAAGGACCAGAGGATCCCTTCATGCCAGGAAGACCGGGCAATCCTGGCAGACCAGGCAGACCATCATCACCAGGCTGGCCAAGTTCTCCGTCGATACCAGGGAGTCCTTCCTGACCGCGATCACCTGTAAACCCTGGGAGACCCGGTGCGCCAGGCAGACCATCTACACCCTAAACAAGGAAGAAGCACAAGCTATTGATCAACTCAAGTGAGTCTGAGAATGTTTTTGTCACAGTCAGCTCTCAGGTGATAGGATCACTCTTGGTTGGGTTACAAAACTGGGTACAAATAATATATCCAGTTGTAGCCAGAATTTTGTTGCCCTAACCTTTTTAATCCCCAGCATAATGAAGAGTTCCCTAAATCTGTCCCTAACGCCATATTGCAGAGATGCCAACCCTATTTGGGGCCTAAGTGTAATACTAGAAGTCAAAAAGTGTAATTTGGACCTAAAAAGTGTGATACTTGTCTGCCGATCGCTTCAACATGGTACACGTTTTCACGAAAGGAAGATTCTAGACAGAAATATATGTGACCAATCATTATGAATCTCCATACATCGAAATTTGTTGGTCATGTGACTCAACATACTTTAATTCCTTGTTAATTGGAATGAGTGTGATGCTAAGAGTAAGCGATTCCTATCGGTGCAAGGCCATTTCTGCACCCCTGCAACTGTGCGTTACGAAACACTTCCCTGTGAAAATTTATCCACTTAACTGATTTTCGAAAAACGAGTAGAAAAGCGTAATTTTCGCAGATTAAGTGTAAAGGCGTAATTTAATGGTCAACATCATAATAATTACGCCTAAAGCGTAAGGGTTGGCATCTCTGCATGGGATTGGGATTTATTACCCACGAGGTCAACGTATTGATAGTTGCATACTAATCTCGTACGTCACACGAGTGTCGTATCGCGTTGACCTGTGTCGTAACGACTTGACCTGAGATTCTCACGATTTGATTGGATAACCGATGACCTCTCAATTAGGTCACATTCTGACGTAACTATTTTTTTCATTCATAACAAACACGTGAATACATTCATTCTACAACTTAAATGCATTGTGGGAATGTAAACATTGCGAATGTTGCCGTGTCGCTGTTTAATTGTGAGTCGAACTGAGACATTATATCCGTCGAAAAACATAAATGCAATGTTAGCCGAATGAAGCAACTGGAAACCAAGAAACGAGGTTCTACGGAGTAGTTTACTGTAGGAGGCTGTACGAGGCGATGACAACTGACATGCTTTCGCTCGGTCAGATACCATACGAAGGACACTCGTTTCGTATAATTCGTATGTATTCTCTATTTATCGCTTGAGAGAGATCAAACGATATCTCCTAGGAGATATCGTTTTGACAGTAGATTTTGTACAATGCCCTGACAATGCTATGATGTCATGTACTTGATGATGTCACAATGCTATGACATTGCTGCACTGCAAGTCTAATGGCAGTACCATGTTCAGAGATGTACATTTTTCATTGAAAATTAATGAAGAGTGATTTTGGATGATAAATAGAATCTCACCCTCGTGTCTTCTGATATCAAATATATCAACACTCGTTGATAAAGTAAAAATATCATCGGCAAGCCTTGGATATTTGTAACTTTATCAACTCGTGTTGATATAATTGATATCAGAAGACACTTGGGTGAGATTCTCTATGTATTTACACATGGTACAGTTTTGATACAAAGCAACACAGCAATACAATAGTTCCTCTTTTCTGACATTGACAAAGCAGTTGATTGATTACAGAAGGTATTGTCAGCTCCATTTGTGCAATAAGAACATACATAACTTTAATGAGTCCTTCTCAGATTAAATGTTGCAAGGCATAACAGACATAGATAAAAATGTTTAGAATCTCCATGTATTCTTTAATCTTCATTCCTGTCAAAATACACTGTCAAATAAATATTTTGTTTGTAATGATGAAGGTGAAAATGGTGGTGTCCCCTGGATTATGCCCATACATACCAAGCCACCTTGTTCTCCATCAAGACCTGGCAGACCATCAAGACCCCGCTCCCCCTTTAACCCAGGAAGACCGGGAAGACCATCATTGCCATCTCTGCCCTGCAGACCGGGGTCTCCAGGCAGACCATCTAGACCTGCAGAATCAACAATACAACTAGTATCCTGTACACCCACCATTAAACATTAAGGGGTTAGGAGCTGTAATTTCTTAAAAACTATTGAAACCTGAAAACATGTTAAATATGAAAAGCAGTTGTCTTTTTTAATGCAGCAAACAGAAATCTGTAAATACAAACACATTTACAGATGTTATGAACATACATGAGCTATTCCAAATACTACAAGTAAAACCTGTTAAAAATGTATCTTATAAATTTCCAACACCGCTAAAATGTTTTACCTCACTACATTTTCAGAAAATATAATACATACTAGTATTTGATTCTGTGTTTAGTTTTAATTACCTTAATTTTAACTGCAACTGAACAAAGTGTGTATGACAAGAGTCGTTGATGTAATGAAACTCACCAGGAATTCCCATTTCTCCAATCCTGCCTTTGGGTCCCGATGTTCCGTCGGGGCCTGGGAGGCCACTTAAACCGGGGAGACCCTCACGACCTACAGGATACAGACAGACATTAGATAAACAACGTAGCTTCTCTCCAGGGAGACCCTCACGACCTACAGGATACAGACAGACATTAGATAAACAACGTAGCTTCTCTCCAGGGAGACCCTCACGACCTACAGGATACAGACAGACATTAGATAAACAACGTAGCTTCTCTCCAGGGAGACCCTCACGACCTACAGGATACAGACAGACATTAGATAAACAACGTAGCTTCTCTCCAGGGAGACCCTCACGACCTACAGGATACAGACAGACATTAGATAAACAACGTAGCTTCTCTCCAGGGAGACCCTCACGACCTACAGGATACAGACAGACATTAGATAAACAACGTAGCTTCTCTCCAGGGAGACCCTCACGACCTACAGGATACAGACAGACATTAGATAAACAACGTAGCTTCTCTCCAGGGAGACCCTCACGACCTACAGGATACAGACAGACATTAGATAAACAACGTAGCTTCTCTCCAGGGAGACCCTCACGACCTACAGGATACAGACAGACATTAGATAAACAACGTAGCTTCTCTCCAGGTGTCAGGTGCAACACCTAATTCACACAACCTTCATCAACAAAAAGCTACCATGAGTTGCTACAAAGTGTCTGTATAGAGTCAGGTGAGATACTGCCAGCCCACTGAGATATCAGGTGAGATACTGCCAGCCAGCTGAGATATCATGTCACATTTTAAAGTGGATTCCAAATACACCGATTCTAAATCAATCAGTTAATGTATATCACCTCAATGCACAATGTCCGGGATCCGATCCTGCTTTGGTTTGTAACAAAGGATATTAACAGATGGTACCTATCATTACCCTGATAGATGGTCTCAATCCACAAAGCATCTGTGTCACTACGATATTCTTAAGCTTATAATACTATGTAATAATGATAGCTTGTAATGCTACGAATAGTTTGTGGATCGTGCTCCATGTGGATTGTGCCCCTGGATAAAGACAAGAACCATGTTTTCATGTCTTTTTGGTGCAGAGTAATGAGGGATCAGATCCCTGACCCTGTGCTCTCTGGGCAGACACTCCATCTACTTGACTAAACTGGTGGTCTCTGTCAAGAGTGAATGTATGAGTGAGTGTATTGTTATATTCAGTAACATCAACACAACATGACTTCAGCCCCTACTCTATCGTGTGTTTTTTATGTTCGGTCCCAAGGTATACAGTAAGCCCAGAGCCTCATGCACAAAGAACATATTTTGTGTTTCAAAAGGGTCATTCTGTATATTACCTATAAGAAAATTCAGAAATACATAAAATGTCGACCTACTGTTTTTGTGACCATTTTGAGAGATCATGAATGAGAGATTTCTCAAAGCTTTGCAAAGTTTCATATTATCACTGCATCGATCCAACCAGCATTGAGAATCTCTTAGAATGCACATTTGCATTTATCATACATTTCACATCATAACATACCGGTAGGCCATCTTAAACAGGTAATAACACATGTATTTCATCACACTTACCAATTTCTCCTGGGTAGGTGGGGCCCCTGTCACCAGTCAGTCCTCTAAGTCCCTCCCGTCCCGGGAGACCTGGCTGTCCGGCAAGACCTGGCAGACCATCAAGACCACGCTGACCCTTCACGCCCTTGAAGCCAAAAGGGGCTCTGTTGCCCCTCTGACCAGGGAGACCAGGGAGACCGGATTCACCAGAGAAGCCTTTAGGTCCTCTCTGTCCTGGGAGGCCAGGCAGGCCAGGGAGACCAGCATTTCCAACGTCACCTGGAATAATATCAGGATGTACTCCACCACATGTCTCTTATCTAAGGGGGTGGTGGGGTAGCCTGGTGGTTAAAGCATTCGTTCATCATGCCTAAGCCCCAGGTTTCGTTCCCACATGGGAACAATGAGTGAAGCCAATTTCCACTGTCACTTATACGATTTTGTTGGAATATTGCATAAAGCAGCCATTGCTAAAAGCAGCATAAAACAACCTTCCTCAGTCTCATCTAAACTGTCCTCATTGTCAGCATATTCAATTAATGTTTGTATCTGGACATAATTACTTTACCAGTTATTATAACAACACACATATCTTCATCTTCCAGAGACTACATGGGTAATATGTGTCACTGTACACTGACAGCAGGAAGGGGATATCACATTCGTCAACACTCGCCCCTTTCCTTTACCCCCCCAAAAAGACTCGCACCCTCTCGATGTACGTTATGTGTGAAAATATGACAAACCAATCAGAAAATGCATAAGGATTGAGGTACACATAATCCCAAGCATTTAAATAGCATTTTGTAATTGTTTAAAAAATCATGAAAAATGTACAGAGCAATTTTAATGACATAAGGGACATAGCTAACAGAATTTGAATGTTTTTTTTTTTTCCCAGTGCATTAATTTCAAATTTCAGTATGTATATGGCCCAAGGTTATACAACCAAGTTCAGACAACTGGTAAACATCTGTACACTAAGTCAATGCATGGACTGTCTAAAAATTCATCAGTTTGCATATATTAAAAAGTTATTTTGTGTCTCTATACTGGAACTTTTAACAGTTGAAATATAATGTTATTTTAACTGCCTAGTCATGAAAATGAAATGCTATTTTTAAATATTTAACTGTATTTTGCAGTGTAAGGTGAACAGATGATAATAATTACATAAGAAAGTTTAAAAAAAAAACCCATCTTCATCGTTATAATTGTTCACAACAGCCTATAATATTATAAAAGCAGCAACTTTCGAGCACTTCAGTAATATTTATTACTGTGGTAACTGAACAGCAATACAGTTGTAGTTCTTGTTTGAAGGATGCCAAAATGAAATTCCTCCAGAGGGGCAAAATTTGGTATTTGGCTTGTCCCAGCATAACACTAGTTGGTCACGAATATTGATATCAGTTGATATTGCAGCCACTTGTTTGTATGGTAGACTGCCACAAGATTTCTGACACCGAGGCATAAAACAACAAACAAGAGCACAAGACATACTACTTACCTTTTGAGCCACTGATACCAGGCAATCCAGTCAGACCATCAGTACCAGGGGATCCAGGAATACCATTGGCGCCTTTCACTCCAGCCAGGCCTACAATCATTCAGATATTTGTGTCATGTGGTTAAAAAAAATATCAATGGAATGCAACAGATTTTCTCACCCACTGGTGTGTAAAATTACTCACATGGGTTTCTCTCCCGCTGGAGTGTAAGAATACTCACATGGGTTTCTCACCCACTGGAGCGTGAGAATACTCACATGGGTTTCTCACCCACTGGAGCGTGAGAATACTCACATGGGTTTCTCACCCACTGGAGCGTGAGAATACTCACATGGGTTTCTCACCCACTGCAGTGTGAGAATACTCACATGGGTTTCTCACCCACTGCAGTGTGAGAATACTCACATGGGTTTCTCACCCACTGGAGTGAGAATACTCACATGGGTTTCTCACCCACTGCAGTGTGAGAATACTCACATGGGTTTCTCACCCACTGCAGTGTGAGAATACTCACATGGGTTCTCACCTACTGGAGTGTGAGAATACTCACATGGGTTTCTCACCCAGTGGAGTGTGAGAATACTCACATACCTCACATGGATTTCTCACCCACTGGAGTGTGAGAATACTCACATGGGTTTCTCACCCACTGGAGTGTGAGAATACTCACATACCTCACATGGATTTCTCACCCACGGATGAGTAAGATCGTCACATACCTCACATGGATTTCTCACCCACGGATGAGTATGATCGTCACATACCTCACAAACTGTATGTCTTATTGACAGCATCCACCCAACAGCTGATCACAAAACTGTTCCAAACTGCTGAGGATGCTTTATCAAGACCTAATTAAGCTACTCCTTACTCTAACTTATTTAGAAGGGTGGTGTTACCATGAGAATGGTGGTTTTCCATATATTTTAGTTGAATTACAAAAATATAACAGTACAGAATTCCCACAAATAACACAGCCGTGAACACAGCACAAATGGTTCACGATTAGTGCCCTGGAATTGAACCCTTCATAGACTGGAATCTGTTGTCATGGAAACCAGAATCGTTTCTTAAAAACAAAACCACTAGAGGCAAAAAGCACACATATATCTGTGGCAAGTTTTGTCCAGATATATCAAACAGCTGTTTAGTTAAATCGAAGAGACTTCTTGAAGGGTAGATGTTTTTACAGAAATCACAAATGTACATTCAATTGAATCCTTTTCCTGTGGTAGTTTTGAGACAGGCACTTTCAAAACTCATTACTTGAGGTATTCTTAAAGCTCTATTCTGATATCAAGAAAATACAACTGGTGAAGTTCACATGTTCTGTCTCAAACATAATGCATCCATCCTATCCATTATTATTGTATCCACTGTACACACCTGGGCGTCCAGGGAGACCGTCCAGACCAGACTCTCCTGGCTGACCAGAAAGACCATCTTCACCGTCAAGACCACGAATACCGGGAAGACCAGGCTGGCCCTTGGCACCAGCAAACCCTGGTATACCAGGCAGCCCTTCGTCACCACGGATACCACGCAGTCCAGGGGATCCTGAAATCAGATTTTATAAACAAATGTCTACAGTGACAGCACATTTACAGGTAAAGATCTACACTCATCTCGTGTGAAACATACCACCCTACAGGTATGAACAATAAATTATAATAAAGCCTGTGTTTAGGAATTTGATAAAATAAGATAGAATAATTTCATCATAGAACAAACATACAGTACAGTCTTTGAATGGCTACACATAAAGATGACAATTTATGGATGTCACAGTTTCGGAGTATATATTTTCTCCTCCATCACATGAATGATGGTGAATCATCAGGTGAATCATCAGGTGAATCATCAGGTGAATCTTCAGGTGAATCATCAGGTGAATCATCAGGTGAATCATCAGGTGAATCATCAGGTGAATCTTCAGGTGAATCATCAGGTGAATCATCAGGTGAATCTTCAGGTGAATCTTCATTCACCTGATGAAGGAGTAAGAATATACTCCGATACATTGTGTTCCTCAAAATAAAGATGTTGACATCAATAAATTCTCGTCTACAAACTTACAGTAAACTGAATGCACATATGAAGTGTCCACAGCCAATGTTTCTGAGAAAAACATGATCCATGAAGAATTTCGTACTAAAAATCGGTAGGCAAATTAGATGTGATATCCATAAATTCTCATCAACAAACTTACAGCATGCTGAATGCACATATGACTGGTTTGTTTGTTTGTTTTTTAACACTGCACTCGGCAATATTCCAGCTATATGGCGGTCATTAATTAATCGAGTTTGGACCAGACAATCCAGTGATCAACAGCATGAGCATCATTCTACACAATTAGGATACATGCACATGTGTCAACCAAGTCAGTGATCCTGACCTTCTGATCCCATTAGTCACCTCTTACGACAAGAATGGGTTGCTGGAGACAAATGCACATTTGAAGCGTCTACAGCTAATGTTTCTGACAAAAACTAATCCATGGAGAATTTCAAGGTATAAATCAGTAGGTGCAATGGATGTGAATGCTAGTGTACCTGGGAATCCCTGCATCCCTTGCAAGCCTGGCAGGCCAGGTAGACCACGGCTTCCAAGCTCTCCAGACAATCCCTTCAATCCAGGACTTCCAGGAAGACCAGGAAGTCCATCCTCACCTGTTTGAGAGGAAGGACAACAGTTTTATAGGAAGTATACACAGATACATCACAAAGGCCTGAAGAGTTCTTCATGAGTCCACATGACAGACAATCTAGGGGCTGAAACTAGAATTGCTTCAAGGCCAATATGCAGTCAGTAGTAAGTGCTGTCTTAATTCCCTAGAATCACATTCCAGTTCATGCTGGAATATTGATGATGATGTTTATGCAGATGCTGCTGCTGCTGCTGCTGCTGCTATGTGTAAATATAGAAGTTGAAGTTTTCATCTGTTATCTTGCCGAAATACTGTTACACACCCAGCACAGTGTGAGCAGAATTCAAGTTGGAAAAAGCAACAACAAGGACAATTTTATTTCTTCTTGTTTCAACATGTCATTTGTCAATATAGTGTTTCCTCCAGACAACAAAAGGGCAGGGTGAAGGTTCTACAGAAAAGGGCATCCTCGTTTGAAAAGGGCACAAACCACAATCAAAACCAAAACAAAATGATAAGATTCAGCCTCATTTATTGTCAGCTCCCTTAATGTCTTCATTTTGAACAAATAAATAAGCATTTGATAATTGTTATGAAAACAACATTCGCCACTTACGCCAGGGGAGGTAAGTCGTGGTGATGATAAAATCCGGAAAATTACGCAAGTACGAAGACATGTTAAAAAGGGCACAAGTAAAGTGCAGGGCACTGTAAAAAAGTGCAGGGCACCATAAAAAAGGGCAGGGCGCCAGAAAAAAGGGCAGGGTGCAGCGCCCTTCTAAAACGCTCTGGAGGAAACACTACAATATTCCGGGAATCACTCACCATATGTTCCTGGAATACCATCAGGTCCAGGTGTTCCCGGTCGTCCAGGTAAACCGACAGCGCCACCTACACCAGGTTCTCCAGGAATTCCATCTAAACCTCTTTCTCCTGGGATGCCTTGTCTTGGGGTACGTCCAGGCTCACCTCTAGGTCCCTATAATGGTCAAAACAGTTTAGATGATTCTTAGTTACAGGTAAAAATTTACAGGTAAGTTGTTTGGATGATCCAGTATGGGCTGGAGTGGCGATGGCTGTGGCTGTGGGGGTTGGAGTGTCTGTCGAGTTGAAGGGAGGTAACCTAGTTGAAGGGAGGTAACCTAGTTGAAGGGAGGTAACCTAGTTGAAGGGAGGTAGCCTAGTTGTTAAAACATTTGCTTGTTATAATAAAATTATATTCACTCACTTACTTATGGTACACATAATATTTTTTCTACAGTAACAAAGTCTACACATCATTAAGTCACATGATTACTCACATAAAGTACAGATGTAGATATAAATATGTAAGCCAGCTTGTTTATTTGCACATTTCAAATGAATAAATTCATTTTGCTCTTTGATATAAAACACTAAGTGGAACACAACCACTTATGACATATAAAACACACACTTTTTGTGAGTTAAATATCAATAAAACAGCAGTTGATTATGTCTATGAACATAACAAAGTAGTCAAAACAAAGTTCTACCTGTAATCCTGGCAGACCAGGCAGTCCATCATCTCCGGTAAAACCCTTAATTCCTGACTGACCAGGCAGTCCCTCGTCTCCTGGCAAACCAGGATAGCCTTTGGAGCCACGAGAACCTTGGCCACCGGGCAGACCAGAGAGACCATCAACACCTTTCATGCCTGGTAATCCTGGCAGACCAGGCATACCAGGCAGGCCGTCTATGCCAAGTTCACCTGAATAAACAAAATGATCCTTGCACCTTAACAACATATGAGTTGATGTGACATCTGCAACATTATTTAAGTTTACACCTATCTTATTGAAGCAGCCAATGACGTGTAAATTGTGTCATTATCTGGGTATTACAGTTGCCAAAATGAAGTAGCACCAATGTGTCATTATCTAGGGGTTACACCTGCCAAAATGAAGTATCACTAATGTGTCATTATCTGGGTATTACAGTTGCCAAAATGAAGTATCACCAATGTGTCATTATCTGGGTATTACAGCTGCCAAAATTAAGTATCACCAATGTGTCATTATCTGGGTATTACAGTTGCCAAAATGAAGTATCACCAATGTGTCATTATCTGGGTATTACAGCTGCCAAAATTAAGTATCACCAATGTGTCATTATCTGGGTATTACACCTGCCAAAATTAAGTATCATCAATGTGTCATTATCTGAGTATTACAGCTGCCAAAATGAAGTATCACCAATGTGTCATTATCTGGGTATTACAGCTGCCAAAATTAAGTATCACCAATGTGTCATTATCTGGGTATTACAGCTGCCAAAATGAAGTATCACCAATGTGTCATTATCTGGGTATTACAGCTGCCAAAATGAAGTATCACTAATGTGTCATTATCTGAGTATTACAGTTGCCAAAATGAAGTATCACCAATGTGTCATTATCTGAGTATTACAGCTGCCAAAATGAAGTATCACCAATGTGTCATTATCTGGGTATTACAGCTGCCAAAATTAAGTATCACCAATGTGTCATTATCTGGGTATTACAGCTGCCAAAATGAAGTATCACCAATGTGTCATTATCTGGGTATTACAGCTGCCAAAATGAAGTATCACTAATGTGTCATTATCTGAGTATTACAGTTGCCAAAATGAAGTATCACCAATGTGTCATTATCTGGGTATTACAGCTGCCAAAATTAAGTATCACCAATGTGTCATTATCTGGGTATTACACCTGCCAAAATTAAGTATCATCAATGTGTCATTATCTGAGTATTACAGCTGCCAAAATGAAGTATCACCAATGTGTCATTATCTGGGTATTACAGCTGCCAAAATTAAGTATCACCAATGTGTCATTATCTGGGTATTACAGCTGCCAAAATGAAGTATCACCAATGTGTCATTATCTGGGTATTACAGCTGCCAAAATTAAGTATCACCAATGTGTCATTATCTGGGTATTACACCTGCCAAAATTAAGTATCATCAATGTGTCATTATCTGAGTATTACAGCTGCCAAAATGAAGTATCACCAATGTGTCATTATCTGGGTATTACAGCTGCCAAAATTAAGTATCACCAATGTGTCATTATCTGGGTATTACAGCTGCCAAAATGAAGTATCACCAATGTGTCATTATCTGGGTATTACAGCTGCCAAAATGAAGTATCACTAATGTGTCATTATCTGAGTATTACAGTTGCCAAAATGAAGTATCACCAATGTGTCATTATCTGGGTATTACAGCTGCCAAAATGAAGTATCACCAATGTGTCATTATCTGGGTATTACAGCTGCCAAAATGAAGTATCATCAATGAGTCATTATCTGAGTATTACAGTTGCCAAAATGAAGTATCACTAATGTGTCATTATCTGGGTATTACAGCTGCCAAAATTAAGTATCATCAATGTGTCATTATCTGGGTATTACAGTTGCCAAAATTAAGTATCACCAATGTGTCATTATCTGGGTATTACAGCTGCCAAAATGAAGTGTCATCAATGTGTCATTATCTGGGTATTACAGCTGCCAAAATGAAGTGTTAGCAATGTGTCATTATCTAAGGGTTACACCTGCCAAAATAAAGTGTTACCAATGTGTACATTATCTGGGTAATACAGTTGCCAAAATGAAGTATCACCAATGTGTCATTACTGTGTATTACAGTTGCCAAAATGAAGCATCACCAATGTGTCATTATCTAGGGGTTACGCCTGTCTAAATGAAGTATCACCAATGTGTCATTATCTGGGTATTACAGTTGCCAAAATGAAGTGTTACCAATGTGTCATTATCTGGGTATAACAGCTGCCAAAATGAAGTGTTACCAATGTGTCATTATCTTGGGGTACCACCTACAAAAATGAAGTATCACTAATGTGTCATTATCTGGGATATTACAGTTGCCAAAATGAAGTAGCATCAATGTGTCATTATCTAGGCGTTACACCTGCCAAAATGAAGTATCACCAATGTGTCATTATCTGGGTATTACAGTTGCCAAAATGAAGTGTTAGCAATGTGTCATTTCTTGGGGTACCACCTGCCAAAATGAAGTATCACTAATGTGTCATTATCTGGGATATTACAGTTGCCAAAATGAAGTATCACCAATGTGTCATTATCTAGGGGTTACGCCTGTCTAAAGGAAGTACCCCCAATGTGTCATTATCTAGGGGTTACACCTGCCAAAATGAAGTATCACCAATGTGTCATTATCTGGGTATTACAGTTGCCAAAATGAAGTATCACCAATGTGTCATTATCTAGGGGTTACACCTGTCTAAATCAAGTAGTGTGGGTAATGTCTCACAAAGATCATAGCCCCCATCCTTTAACATAGGCTTACAATCATTGTATCGCTAAAATCGATTTGTGCAAAAGGGACATGTTGCGTAAATGAATTAGAACTCATTATGTTGCGTCTGAAACCATCCATAATTCTCATTACACATATTCCGTAGTTCAAATCATTTGCCATCTTTGATTAAGATCACAAAAATGCTGAGGTTACCTTCAAACCCTGGTTCTCCATCTCGGCCCGGAATACCTGGCAGACCTCTGCTTCCAACTTCTCCCTTCAGCTCCAGCTGAAATGGCAGCGCTACAGGTTCTCCTTGTTCACCTGCAACATAACATGACATCTTCAGAACAAGTACAAAGGCAAGGTGAAGAGGGACTTGTCTTCAGAACAAGTGCAAAGGCATGGTGAAGAGGGACTTGTCTTCAGGTGAAGAGGGACTTGTCTTCAGGTGAAGAGGGACTTGTCTTCAAGTGAAGAGGGACTTGTCTTCAGAACAGGTACAAAGGCATGGTGAAGAGGGACTTGTCTTCAGGTGAAGAGGGACTTGTCTTCAGGTGAAGAGGTACTTGTCTTCAGAACAAGTACAAAGGCAAGGTGTAGAAGGATTTGTACAAACACAATACAAACAAAGTGTCCTGTATGCATTAAAACTGAACAAATGATTTCCAATGTGAGTGTTTGTGATCACAGAACAAACTTAGAATGTGTCACGTATGTCTGACATTAACAGGGCTGGCAACAGGAAAATCTATTTTCAACTGAAAACTTAATATTGTGTCATCCAATGGGGAGGTTCAGGGTTTCTCAGTGGATTTTGACGATTCACAGAATTGATCAATTTGAAATAAAATCAGCGGAAATCTGCAGATCAGCGGAGAAAATTACCATCACTGCATTTATTTTCTGGAAAGAAATACATTCACATACAAGGCTAACAGTGTGAGCAGTTGATTTTCTTCACTCTAACATTGAAATCCCTTTTTCTAATTACAAGGCATCTGAGCAGTTGCAATATGTCAGAAAGATTCTTGCAAAACAAGCAAAGCTTGACAACTTTTGTCAGCCTAGACCCCTATGTTCATGCCTAGGATCCTCAAAGGCTGTTACAAACCCTGGCAAATGTGAAACTAGACAGGACCAGGTAGTTGAATGATTTGATTGGTACAACAGCATCCTGTCAGTTCCAAAAACATTCGGGCGGTGGGGTAGCCTAATGGTTAAAGCATTGGCTCGTCACGCTGAAGACCCGGGTTCGAATCCCCACATGGGTACAATGTGTGAAGCCCATTTCTGGTGTCCCCGCCGTGATGTTGCTGGAATATTGCTAAAAGCAGCGTAAAACCAAACTCAGTCAGTCAGTCCAAAAACATTCACTCAGGACCAAATGGTAACAGCTTGACTTTGCTCAGTTGGATCAAAACAATCATCAAATTGTATTTTCTCATATATTGCTATAATACATTGGTCATGTCTCTTTTTAAATCATCTGCAATTAATGGAGGATCAGTGGATCTGTCTGCAGCCTTAGTCTTCCTATAACAGCCCAGAGAAGAGAGATAGCCTACCCTTTAATCCTTTCCTGCCATCGCCGCCATCAAGTCCTGTCAGACCAGGATCACCCTTTTCTCCTCTGGCGCCGGGGATCTCATCCCCAGGCAGACCCTTGTTGCCAGGGAGACCAGGAAGTCCAGGTAGTCCGTCAAGACCGGTGTCTCCAGGAATGCCACCATCACCCTAATCAAAGAACAGTCAGATTTGGTAATTCCACACACGCCACAGGCATAAATGATATAATCATAATCATATAAATATAACCAGGTAATACAAATGGATAAAAAACTAATATGAATTAACTTTGGTAAATATGATATATATATATGATATGACAATTATTTTGTGGAACACGACGTTTCAGAGTATATTCTTACTCCTTCATCTGGTGAAAATGGCAATCAGGCATTCATTGCAACATGCACTACAATACAATAAATCACATTTGTAATTATTTTGCCTTTTTTTATCACACGAATCAGCACCAAGTCCACAATGTCAATCAACAAAACACATACTGTTCTGCGATAGGCGTGGCAATATATTGCAACTTCAACTCTGTAACAATTTCACCATGATGTTAAGGTCAAAATGCTTCCAAAGTCGGAATCAACAAAAATGTAATTTTTAAAGTAAAATTGATATTTTTATACTTATCCTGACTCATGATCTTTTGCTTATCTCCCTTTCCTTTTCGAATGGTAGTGGAACACTTGAATCCCTTGAAGTTCCCGAAGCGGACATAAAAATACACTCACCCACGAGTTACCTCCCTTTGCCCTTTTCCCGCGCAAACAGTCATGTGACCAGCCTTACTTGTCACTCTCTCCTGATTTTCTGCCCATGAACTTGGATCTGCTGTGAAATCCAAAGTGTCTCCAGCAGGGAGGTTGGGAGGGGTTCTCGTCATGAGTCAGGATAAGTATAAAAATATAATTTTACTTAAAAAATTACATAATTTTTCTTATCCTGGCTCATGATCTTTTGCTTATAGAATCCGACGGATTGGTGGTGGGTCAAGCCACTTCGTGGATTCATCAGCTGTCCTTAGATACGTCTTGTATAAAACTCGGGGGGACCACTTTCTTGTCTTACTTCAGTCTCAGACAAGTTGAATCATGTTGATTCATGTGGCTACAGATAGACTAGTATCTTCTTATTACTAGATATCTCATAACAACCCATAGATTATGATAAGATCTTTATCATAAATGAGTTGCGTCCCTTTCACGTACAGGTAAGATCTTTACCCGTGCAGGATCTTTAATCACTCATGCTAGCCTGTCTTAGACTGTGTGCATTGACCTTCAAACTAGTACTTTTCCTTAGTAAAAGTTATCAACAAGTCAACGTGATAAAGGGTGAGATTTTCCAACTCAGCGCCTTTGAGGAACCGTTAGTTGCTGTGCTACAACAAGAGGCTGAAATTGGTGAATGCCTGAGACGTCTTCAGTGGCTATATCTCGGAGGTAGTGGTTGGCAAACACCGTGTCTGACTTCCAAAGCAGCCCTCCATGTAATTGTTGGTATAGAGCAATATCCATGCAGAGCTAGTGTTGACGCTAGTGCTCTGACTTCGTGTGGGTTGGAAGCTCTAGGAGGTTCTAGTCCTGCTGCTTTATAGGCTCTCAATATGATGGCTCTCATCCAGAACGATATGGTAGTTCTTGAGACTTCTGCTGATGTCTCTGTTGATAATGGGATGAACAGGCGCTTGAATTTTTGTCTCCTTGTCTCAGTCTTTAGAAGATATAGGCTCTGACCGGACACAAGGATAGGTCTTCTATATCCTCTGGGCCAAGGATTGTAGATAGCGCTGGTACGTGGAACTGTCTATCTGGCTGACCAGGTAGTTGGTTATTGGCAATGAAGTCCCATCTAAGTCCTAGATGAACTGCAGCATGTTGCCCCGTGTCGAATCTGGTTCGACCAAAGTCCAGCGCATGTATCTCTGATATTCAAGCTGCCGTGGCTAGCGCAAGCAGGAACAGAGACTTCTGTGTCAGCAGCTCGAGGGTAGTCTTGTCTAGAGGTTCATAGGCATCACTCGTAAGATGACGTAGAATTACATTCAGATCCCAGGCCGGAGCTCTGAACTTCTTTTGCTGGTCCTCCAGTTTAAAAGATCTCAGCAGAGCAAGTAATTCTGGTACTTTCGTCAACTTGATGCCTGTTTTCAGGGTAATCACTGTACTGATGGCGGCAAGGTATGTAGATAATGTCGAACCTTTCAGATGTCTGGTCTGTCTAAGATGACACAGATATTCCGCCACTTGAGGATGAGTGGCTTTCATCGCAGTGAAGCCTTTCCGCCTTGCATAAGTCTCAAACTTCAGCCCTTTGTCATCATACAGGTTACGAGTAGATCTGCGTAACGCTATCGTTACTGCCTTGGCTGCCCTGGTGGAGTATCCTCTTTTCTTCAAACATGTTTTGATACAGTCCACACGTGTAGCTGGAACGCTGTCGGGTTCCCGTGGACTTGCTTGGTGTGCGGATGTATGAGTAGGTTCGGCCAATCTGGTAACTTGATTGCTGGACTTCCGAGATCTTCTATTAGGTCTAGGAACCATACTCTCGCTGGCCAGTATGGCGCGACCAAAGTCAGTTGTAGCGCCTGTGTCTGTTTGATCTTCAACAGTACTTCCGGAAGTAATATCGGGGCTGGAAACGCGTAAGCGTTTAGTCCTTCCCACGACATGCTCAGTGCATCTGTTGCCCAGGCTTGAGGATCTGGAACTGGTGAGACAAACGTCTGTAGTTGTTTGTTGAACCTCGTGGCAAACAGGTCTATGCAAGGGGATCCTATTTCCCTTATGATGAGCCGGAACGCTTCTGGATGGAGCATCCATTCCATAGGTGACGGGTGCAGTGGTCGGGGAGAGAGCGTCTGCAAGTACTTTCTTGGCTCCAGATATGTGACACGCCTTTATCCAGATTTTTGCTTCCTCCGTGATATGGAACAACTGGAATGTGAGATGTAGCAGGCTTGGAGACCTTGTGGATCTTGCCGATTTATGGAGAATGCCACTGTAGAGTTGTCCTTGTGGACCATCAGCATTCTGTTGTTCAGCGAGCTCGACCATAGTTGTAAGGCGTTGATCACGGCTTTCATCTCCAGCAGTTTGATGTGAAGATGCTGCTGTTCTATTTTGGACCACCTTCCTGATGCAACTTGATTGTTGAGATGTGCACCCCAGCCCTGCATTGAAGCGTCTACGTAGAGATGTGTGTCGAAGGCTGGCTCTTGTAAATAGGTCCCTCCACAAACATTCGACCTGTGCGTCCACCACAGTAGATACCTCTTGAGGTTGTCTGGCAGCAAGATAGGGTCGACGCTGTCTAGATGTTTTGTCAGGAACCGTTGCAGCGGTCTTAGTTGTAACCTTCCTGTACGAGTCAAGTCCTGCGCCGAGGTTAGTAGACCGAGTAGAACTTGCCATGATCGTAGTGTTAACGGAGAGATGACTGCTGGTGGAAGCATGGCTTGTATCTTGACCCAACGATCTTCTGGCACGACAATACGATTCTGTGTTGTGATAAACCTTATCCCCAGAAATTGCAGATCTTGTTTTGGTTCCAGCTCTGACTTCATAAGGTTCACCAGCCATCTTAGTTGAGTGAGCAACTTGATCGTGAAGTTCAGCTGTAGTCTGAGTTGACTGGCATCTTGGTGAACCTGAATTCCGTCGTCCAAGTAGAAGGCATTGCGTAGACCTCTATTATGTACATATGCGACTATAGGCTTGGTTACTCGTGTGAATAGCCACGGAGCCGACGATATTCCAAACGGTAGGACGTTCCATTGGAGGTGCTGCCCTCCTGGTTTTACAGGAACGGGTAGGGGTGGAAGACTCCAGTCATTCTGAACCTTGATATCAACGTCTAGTTCCTCTGGATCCTCTGGGAGTGCAGCCTCTCCCTGAGTTTCCTCTGTAATTTCCGGATGGGCGACGAAAAGATCCTTTTCCGCCTCTGAAGCTGGGGTACTTCTTCTCCTTTGCCTTCTGTATGCCGGAATATTTGGACTTGCTGTTTTACTTTTGCAAAGTATGACGGGTGACGTTGGCCAGAGTATCTATGGATTTTATCATCATAACTTCTCTAGAGTCGTGTGTAGCTTCCTTAGCTGCATCATCGATTTGCCCTCCAAAGATAGTAGGCGCCTACCATGGAGCTCTCAGTAGCGGTTGGGTGAATCTATCACTCCATGAACAGGATGCCAGTAGCCCTTGTCTGCGTAGTAAAGTGAGACCTGCAGATATCGATGCCAGATGGTCCGATAAAAAGTATTGGTCCTTCTTCTGTGTTATGAGTGCCGAACATATCATTCTATCCTCTTCCGAACTTGAGTTCTGGAATTTATTGATCAATGCTTCATTGATGGCTCTGGACCTGGCCAACCCTAAGAAGGATTTCCTTGTAGCAGTATAAAGTTGAGATAACTTTTTATCTTCCACTTTATACATCTTGCTTCGGGAATCGTTGACTAACTTTATGTTATCATCCCATTCAGGAGCCTTTGTAAATGGATCCATATGATGTAAGGGGAATCTCTTCACATTAAATGATGGCAGATGCTGACTCTGGTACTTGGATGCTTTCGCGAAAGCTTTGCGTAGGTTAGAGGGTACCTTGGATATAGGTTCAATCGGAGGGATAGTGACGGAGTCAAAGTCTTCGTTACGCATCATATAAGTCTAGACTTCATCTTTATCCTTAGAAGGAGACTCCAAGTTCAACCCGTTGGCAATCCACGCTGTAACCTCTGAGTCTGGGAAGACGAAATCTGCTTGCTGATCCAAAGTCTCCTGATTATTAGTGCTAGGCCTCTGCGACTCATCCATCTGCGAACCTGTATCCCTTCTCGAACCTTCATCATCCTTAAACGAACCTCTATCTGAAGATTCGCCCCTTTGCGAACGTCTATCTTGAAAGTGCTCTTTTCACGAACCTTTATCTGTAGATTCATCTCTTTGCGAACCTCTGTGTTGTGAGCTATCCCTTCGCGAACGTCTGTCGCTAAATGTATCCCTTCGCGAATTTCTGTGATGTGAGCCTTCTCTTCGCGAACCTCTGTCTCGTGATGAGTGACTTCGCGAACATGTGTGAGAGATATGAGATCTCGATCTAGAGCGGCTAGGTGTAGGAGATGGATCCTTCAATGTTCTCGAACGTTGAGGGTTCGCGGATGTAGAACTGTGAGTAGGCATCTCATCTCTTCTATCCTCTTCCAAGATCACAGAGTCATCCGACTGTAGAGACCTTCGCAAAGGTGTACATTCGCCAACATAGACTTGAGACGTATGAGGAGAAGGTTCGCGCAGGTCCGTAGGTTTGCACACGGTGTCGGTAGATGAGAGGCTTCGCCGAGCCTTCGCTTCTTCCTCGAACCTACGTTCCATCATGGCCATCATCTGGTTGATGAATTGTCTCATAAATTCGCCCGGGTCAAAGTTCAGCGTTGGTTGAAGCTGCTGCGGTGTAGACTAAGCGTTCGCGAACGCTGATGAGTTCTGCGCCTCAACTTCAATCTGTTGAGAAGTAGGTGGTAGTTCTTCAAACAGCTGGCCTGCTGTGACCGTTGCAGGGGATGGTCTAGTAGATGTAGAAGTCGATTGAGTCGCTGATCTCATAGGTACTTTGGGTAGAAGTAATGGGGGGTCATCAAAAACATCTACTTCATGTGGAGGTAATATCTCTTCGTTGAAAGATTTCTGCTGCGTTGACTTACTAGCCTGCATAGATTTACCCTCAGATCTGGTAACAGATGCTTTCTTCTGCGATGTAGAAGAAGATGACGTCTTTTTCTTAGCCTTAGTCGGAGTCAACTGCGTTGTAGCTGATCTCTTCTTGGCCCCTGTACCAGCAGACTGCCATGTAAAGCACTAAACATAGCACTAGTATTATGAACTTCAGCAGTAGCAAGCAACTTACGGTTTGGAGGCTGATCTCCTGTTTTATCAGCCGTGACTTGAGATGACTTCCTCACCCGATCCATGGCATGTCTATAGGTATAAGACAAATATTGATTAAATTGAAGATTTGATCAATCAAAACAATATGTACAGCGCAAGCTGGAAGAACATTGTCTTATGCACGAAGGGCACTGGGGGTGAGGATCAGCCACGGATAACCTGTGCCTGCAACACTGCAAGATTTCATGAAATGTAAACAAAGTTACATAACGATGAAATAAAGACACAAATACAAATAATTTGGACAAAATGTGTACATATCATACATAGTAGTTATTGTCAAATTCTTATACAGCATAATTTTGAAGAATAGGACCTAAATAAAAAGGATATAATGCCGTATAAGGGACTCCAGTGCTCGCCCAACCATCTGCTTAGGCGAAAAGGGAGAGCGTGACAAGTAAGGCTGGTCACATGACTGTTTGCCCGGGAAAAGGGCAAAAGGGAGGTAACTCGTGGGTGAGTGTATTTTTACGTCCGCTTCGGGAAATTCAAGGGATTCAAGTGTTCCACTACCATTCGAAAAGGAAAGGGAGATAAGCAAAAGATCATGAGTCAGGTTAAGAAAAAATTGAATATTTAAACTAATCTCAACCTTTCTGAATGCAACAGGTTAACTAAGCAACTTCTGGTGTGAATATCTATTACAGTTAAACAGTAGACAGGTGATACCATACATTTCTATTTTATTGTGAATATGGTGGTACTGACCTTCATTCCCTGGTAACCAGCACCTCCAGGCAAGCCTCTCTGTCCGACCGTTCCCATAGACCCATCCATACCAGGCAGACCAGGGTAGCCTGTTGAACCCTTCGGACCAGAGGGGCCTCGGTATCTTTCTACATCAACAAATCCCAGCGGTTCACCCGGTAATCCCTTGGAACCAGGGAAACCTGGGGCGCCATCCCGTCCTGGAACACCCTGATACAGCCAAACAAGCCACACGTTATTATTTCAACATGACACTACACCTTCTGTCTCGCCACACAAGTCATGACTCGTGGGCTGAAGGAGACTGCATTTGGCGGTTTTTCAAACATGTCTTCTATCTTATGAATATTCCACTAGCATAATATCAGAAATTAAACAACTGACATAATGACAGTTGAACAATGTGAGCTATGGCATCAACAGTTGTATGGCCAGTAGACATGTTAAGTACCTCTAATATAATATCAGAAACTAAACTCAACCATTGACATAATCACAGTTGAACAAAGTGAGCTCTGGCAGCAACAGGTGTATGGCCAGTAGACATATTAAGTGCCTCTAACATAATATCAAAAACATAATGACAGTTGAAAATTCAGAGATAAGACAGCAACAGATATATGGCCAGTAGATTTATTCAGTATATCAATCGTGGCTGTTTTTCAAACATGATTTTATTTAATGAATATTCCTCTAGTATAAATTCAAAATGCAGTGACAGTTGAACAATGAGAGCTATGGTAGCAACAGATGTATGGCCATATTAGGTAGATCAATCATTCAGAATTCAGGAGATACTATGATTGACGATTGATCCTTTCTATAGTTAACTAAATATGATCATTTCGTCCACACACAATACAGAATACTTACAGGCTCACCAGACCTTCCATCAGGACCAGGCAGTCCAAATTCACCAGGTTGTCCTTTCTCACCAGAGAAACCAGGCAGGCCAGGGAAGCCATCCTGTCCTGTCACAACAAACACAACAAATAGTGAGTGAGTGAGTTTAGTTTTACGCCACTTTTAGCAATATTCCAGCAACATAAATGCGGGGGACACCAGAAATGGGCCTCACACATCGTACCCATGTGAAACGAAACAAATAACATAATCAACACAAACATGCAAGCTTGTGTTTGTGAAAATGTCAATTTGAGCTATACAACTTCATGTCAACATCCAACGATTTACTGATAGCTGATATTTTGAAGAAGCTGACCTTGTCTGCCAGTGTCGCCATTATCTCCCCGCCCTCCAGGAATTCCATCTGGACAGAAGCCACAGTCGTCTCCACGGAAACCTGCAACATGCATCATCACACATGTCAAAAACATGACTGACTTAAACTGAGCATCAACAAAACCTATTGTCACAGATAGACCTCTTTGCATTTTTGTTGCTTGACAACTGATACTGGCTTCCTGTACGATACACAGTAGTGTTTTAAATTCTCAGTTTAACCTGCCAGTTTTTGTTGGGTCAAGCAATACACTACTTGAGGGATTTAACTGAGGTCTACACTCCTTCTCGCGACCTGAGATCCAAATTTCGTCAGCTTTTCTGTTCCTAAAGTTAAAACTGTCAGTTATGGTCATTGCGGTTTTGCTTTGGCAGAGCACATGAGTGGTACTCTTGATGTTAAATTTCCAGACTCTCAAAATCGATAAGTCTTGCTTGAAACTTATCTCTCTTATCTTGCCAATGCTGCTGAACTCTTTTGTGCACTCAAACATACAGTGTGTATGGAGACATGGGCTATAGAAATACACTATTATTATTATTATTATTACCAACTATGTGATAATGACCTGTAAATATTTAAGTCTGGACCAAACAAACAATACGTGTACTATATTAATTATGCAGTGTACATGATGGTTGTGAATGTTGGTACTACAGGGATCTGTATTGCAAGACGTATTGAGCTATCCAGAAGCAAAAATGTTTGAAAGTGATTAGCACCAGTTGTACATGATGATCCTATTTTCTACATATTTAAGTAGATATTACCATTGACATTGACATCCAATGATCGAGGGAAAAAATCACTTGAGCAAGCACTAGTTGCCTGGATATGTGCGCTATATAAGTATCATATAATAATCATAACAATAATAATATGACTCAGCATTTTCAGTCGCTACCATTTCATATTCATGGTTACAGCGGGATTAACAATTTTACAGAGACATCTCTTCCCTGTTTTGTAAATCAATTTCAAAGGGAAGACATCATTTGTGAATGAATATCTTTGTAGACTTAGGTTAAATGATACAAATAGTAGTAAACTGGTTGTAATTTACACCAAATATACTTGAACTAACAACAAATATTTCAATATGTATCATTTAAAAAATATATTGCCTTATAAAACTAATATGATGACACCTTGTGATTTGAGTCAACTTTATCAGTATGTTTACTTGTGGAGAGGTTGAGTAAACTTTATCAGTATGTTTACATGTGGAGAGGTTGAGTTGACTTTGTCATTCAGTTCTGAAAGGTGACCGGATTTACGACTAAGATGTAGCAATAATTGATGTTTTTTAAGGACTGCAATATAATGAATTGCTATCATAAACTAAAAGAATAAAATGAAAATGCCCATAAAGATAACATTTTCTATATTTGCATGTTCAAGATCCATGCAAGCACTTTACCTATTTCTCCAGAAAGACCTGGAAGTCCGTCCACACCAGGTGGTCCCGGTTCACCTCTGTCTCCTGGCAGTCCACGCGGGCCGAGGGGGCCAAACAAGGTGAAGCCCTCTCCAGGGTAGCCAGCCTCTCCATAGTAGCCAGAATCTCCAGGAAGTCCTGGTAAACCAGGAAGACCGGGAAGACCAGACAGACCTTGATCACCAGGTGGTCCATACACAGTCTCACCAGGACGACCATTTTCTCCATTCTCCCCGGCCAGACCAGGGAATCCCACAATACCATCTTTCCCATCAATTCCGCGTAGACCTGGATGACACACACAAAGCTGTTAGGAACACTCAGAGTCTGGATAACAAGGGTTTAGTTTATTTGAGCATTTTATCACGTTTTGAACACAGGTGGACAAGACTATGGATATACACGTACCTCCGACACCTCGGTCACCCTTCATGGACATGCCAGGGATACCAGGAAGACCAGGCAGACCCTGGGAGCCAGGGAGGCCAGCCAGGCCAGGCAGACCCCGGCGACCCTCCTCACCATCATAACCTGGGGCAAACAAAACATTGATACAAAGGTAATCTCTAAATGTCACCATTACCCATATTGGTAATGATTAAAAAACATATACATCTACATAATATTGCCAGCTGACAATGCACTTGTATTTTTTTGTGTGAATTAGCATGGCATTAGGGAACAGCTCATTTTAGATTAACTAGCACATGGAAGCCAAACAAGGGCAACTAAACTACACATACATTTGTCACTTTTTAGGTATCATCTTGTGATGTCATTAGCCTTATACATTCCTATTACTTGTGATGGCAGACATTTGTCACATTCCAGGTACTGTTTTGTGAGAATATATGTTTCACACAGTTATCTGACTATCACCGTTCCTCTTCCTGTTACTTTCCTCTACTTTTTACATAGGGAGGAGCTCTGAGAAATTATGTACAGAATTAATAATCCTTCCAAACAGATCTGTAAGCAATGAAGACATGCTGTTAACAAAGCCACAAATCAATCTACCTGGGCCTCCAGGGAAACCTTTAGGTCCTGGTGATCCAATTCGTCCCCTGGGACCTGGCCGGCCGGTGCCAGTACCGTTACCGAGGATACCAGGAGGTCCCTGAAACACACAGTACAATTTCTCAATATGCACGTGAGATGTACATGTTGTTAAAACATGCAAGCCAATACTAGAATTCAGAAAGACAGCGTTCAGTACAACAAACACTACCTGCACTCAACTTTTGGCAGGGTTGTTTGTGTTTTGCCTTTAACCAAAAGATTTCTCGTGATTCGAAAGCTGTTGTAGCAGAAAGACCTTCTAGCTAGTCATAAGGTGACTAGTATATTTTAAGGTGCTAATGATGCCACCTTCACAGAAGTTTCATATCTAGGAGATAAACATCATGTGTTGGCCAATTTCTGGGTATTTGAAGCACGGGAATTCATTTGGGACCGACGGCGACAGCTTCAAATACTCAAAAACACCCTGATATTGGCCAACACATGATGTTTATCGACATTGTAAACACAAAACTAAACCAAAAGGCCCACATGGGTTTTACTGTCTGCACTCATTGACATCGAGTACGGGTACAGCAGTGAAGTGTCATCAGCTGGCCGTTTCAGCTGCTTCCCATGGTAGCATCTGGAACTGCTCATTTGTGATGTCATTCCGACTTTACATCACAATATGATTTGAATGACGTCACCACTGCTGACGACACAACAATACAATTGTGTGCGCATTTGTATGTGTCAATACGCAGTGAATAGTCTTGCAATTTCCAGGAATCAAATACCATTCGAACATGTATTTTAACAAATCAGACTAAAGAACATGGTGACTTTTCGTAACAATTAAGGATTGTTTGATGTGTTTTGGCATTTATCGAAGGATAACAGTAACAGATTGTATAAAATCATGTAGCTTAACCCTTATTACATCTGTCAGTGTACTTTAGTACACGCTGGGTGTTTTCAGTTTAGCCAAACTGGTTAAAGCATTCACTCTTCGTACTAAAACACTATTAAGATTCCTTATAATCGGTGTAATATGTGAAGCCCATTTCTTATGTTCCCAGCCGTTATATTCCTGGAATAAAAGTAGCATAAAACCATACTCACTAACTCCTGGGTCTATCAAAACTTTGACCGAAGACTATAAAAATAGCAGGGAGATTACCCAGCGAAACAACACATTCATGAACAGAATGTAAGCGGACTGGTATACTTACAGGCAAACCTTGAAGACCCTGTCGTCCAGGGAAGCCTGGCTCACCAAACATACCCTGGCAACAACAAATACCATAAATAATTACAAATATATTACACAGAAATAAAATATGGATGTCAGTGCTTACAGTCAGGATGTCATTGTACAGACAAAAGTTATACACAGTGCTTATATTCATGATAATTATTCTAAAATTACAAACAATATCACTTAAGAATTAAGAGAAAAGTCCATGAATTTGCAAGTTTTCTGCTATCTTACCTTTACTCCATTTATTCCTGGATTGCCTGAGAAGCCCTTGGCGCCAGGGAAGCCTTTCGCTCCGTATGGTCCTTGTGGTCCTTCTTTACCCCGTTTACCCTGCAGAGTTTGATACAGGTCATCACATAATTCCAGATATACAAGCAGTGATTAGTACCAGTTACTTGTCTGGACTGAGAAATGAATACATGACAAGTTTTTATGGATAACAACTTCTTTTTATTCTTTATACAATGTTTCAGAGCAAGAATTAACTCTGAGACGTCGCATAAAGAATAAAAAGTTGTTTTCCATAAAAATGTATTCATGTTTGTCCAACTTGTAAATGCATTTGAAGAACTGGTCCGAGAAAACTAAACAGGCATTCAGACATATACGTCAGTACAATGTCTGCTGGTTTCACTCTGTTATAGATAGAGATATAATTAGAGATATAAAGAGATGCATTCGTAACTACTTGTGTGATTCCGGCACTCGTACCCCTCTCATGGTCATGTTTACGAATGGGCCCTGTCTAAGCGTAAACGGGCATGGATATGAAAATAGTATAGGACTATGACAAAGGAAAAATATCTCTGAATTTCAAAATATGGCTCATAGAATACACCATATACTTGGGCAAAACAGCAATACAGTCATTCCCTTTGTAAATATGTTTCAGTCTATAAAGTTTTTGATCCTTTAGCTCAAAGTTTACGCTTAAATTGTGCTTTGCGTAGTTTAGAGAAGTTTCAAAGTTTAACAGTGCCACCATTTTCATGCTTCGAAATGCGTTTTACTACACGCGATTTGATTGGTTTGCCACAATTCTTGGCAGTAATGGCATATGATAGGGGGACGAGTCTTTTTGTAGGTCACGGAAAGAGGTGAGTAGTTACGAATGAAAGCGATGAAGAAAGGAAATGGCAAAGGGAGGTAACTCATATAGTTCACCAACCAACAGAGAAGTCACCAAGACTGCGCTGTCAATAATCCCTCTACTTTCATATTACAGGGAAGGCTTGGTAGGAAAACTCAGGTTTTGACCGGAAGATTTCATTAGATGAACAGGTTTACTGAATGCTTTCCTCAGCTTGTAAGTGAATTTTCAATGTTGAATTTCTTGTCGAGTTGCCACTTAAAGTTTGAGGCTGATTTGCAACTCACACTGCACAGTTGTTGGAGTTTGAAATTCAAACTGGTTAAAGAAAATCAAAATGAAATGTGATCACTTGGTGTTTACTGAAATGCCAGCCCCAGAGACATAGAACAACATAGTTGATGTTAATGTACAGAATGTACAAAACAGATTATTATGGATTTATGTATGGATGAAGATGCAACTCTTCCAATCTGGAAGCCTGCTGGGATAATTTGAAATGCTTTATTAATCTCAGTCATGTATTCATTTAAAATGATAGGGCACAGCAAAGGGTGCTTGGAGAAGTGAACACATACCCTCCTTCCTGGAGGTCCATCCATTCCCTTGGGCCCCTTCAGTCCACTCAGACCAGAAGCACCCTGAAACATTGTTGAACATTAACACATAGTTGTCAAACAGTTACATTGAAATAGATACACAGTGTTTATTGTAAGCTTAACCATACTATGACAGACAGTTATACTGAAACAGTGTTTAATGTAGTGCTAATCATATCACACATATCATACCGTTCGCCATACCCCCATGTATAATATAATAATGCACAGTTTTGCCCTGAACTATTTTAGTTAAAGCATGAGTACATAGTGCACTTTACTGCCTGATATAGTACTGTTGGGACCTTTGATTTCATAGTGAAGCATCATAGAATTTATGATATTGACTTGAGCTACTAAACACAGAAAATTAACACCATGGTTGTAATACGTGGTTTTCCCTAACCTTAGGCACATAATTGTCTCCCTTAGTTAGAACCTCTTATTTTAGCTAAGATAACTGACACACAGATGAACTGTCATTGCATACATACCTAGCAATAATTTTCAACCATGATAATAAATATCTGCATAATTTTCTTTAAAAATTGCCATAAATGGGATTCACCAATCAAATGATATCTACAAAAGATGTTTCATCCAGTCCAGAGTTACGCTGAAAGATGTAGCAGGTTGGGAGAAAATGTTCGAGCACCTACCCTGTCTCCTTCCATGCCCTTGTCGCCCGGATCTCCTACAGGTCCTTTAGGACCGGTTTCACCCTTGTCTCCTGGAATACCAGACCGGACCTCTACAGGTCCAACTACGGGGAACTTCCCTGGTGGACCTGGGTCACCAGTGTCTCCCTGAACAAACACACAATGGACATAACAGAATTAATCTAACTGTATGAAAACATCTCTGTCAATATTTTGCTGTATGTATTGACAACAAACCATTATGATGACATGACATTATTGTAGTTGGAGTTTGTCTTTAGTCAGGCATTCACTATCTATCTGAAACATTTTCGAAACTTGACTCAACTATAGGTCATCCTACACAATTACAATGTATGTATATGTCAACCACATGATTTATGTAATAGAAATCAAGTAAATCTGTTGATTTCAGAAGTAAAATGAACACAGTCTCATGATTTCCCGATCACAGAATGTGTTCCGGGTTGACATCACCATGGATGTCGTTAGTTACCTTTGCTCCTTTATGTCCCAGTTTCATGGCACCCGGCAAACCTTTGTATCCCTTGGGACCGGGCAACCCTGATACACCCTGAAACACAATGTGACCGTGCCATCAGTGTACCTCGACCCATAGCATGATGTTGCTGCATGGACAGTATGATGGTACCACCACAGCTCATTCACTTATAACTCAGACAAAACTTCATACCTGCCTGACAATGATACAAGAATCTGTATCAAAACGTTGCATCACCTGAATAAAGAAGTTGTTCATCCATAAAGTTTGTCCTTGTCTGACTGAGACACAGTAATCATGGTTACTTATTTGACTTGATATATCTGTTTTCAGTTCTACACCAAAGTCAACAATATGATCACTGTGTTGTTTCAAAATTATCGATTCTGGGAAGGCGAATGAGTGGTTGATGCAATGAAAAAAAGTAGGCCAAATCATCAAAGTTGGCCACAAAATGCAGCGATTCAAGGAAGAAGCAGCAGAGTGAACCTGAAGCCACCTTATTACAGGTTCCTTTACCCTTGACACCTACATTACAGCTTCATTCAGGTTCTTTTACCCTTGACTTATACATTACAGCTTCATTCAGGTTCTTTTACCCTTGACTTATACATTACAGCTTCATTCAGGTTCCTTTACCCTTGACTTATACATTACAGCTTCATTCAGGTTCTTTTACCCTTGACTTATACATTACAGCTTCATTCAGGTTCTTTTACCCTTGACTTATACATTACAGCTTCATTCAGGTTCCTTTACCCTTGACTTATACATTACAGCTTCATTCAGGTTCTTTTACCCTTGACTTATACATTACAGCTTCATTCAGGTTCTTTTACCCTTGACTTATACATTACAGCTTCATTCAGGTTCTTTTACCCTTGACTTATACATTACAGCTTCATTCAGGTTCCTTTACCCTTGACACATACATTACAGCTTCATTCAGGTTCCTTTACCCTTGACTTATACATTACAGCTTCATTCAGGTTCCTTTACCCTTGACTTATACATTACAGCTTCATTCAGGTTCTTTTACTCTTGACTTATACATTACAGCTTCATTCAGGTTCTTTTAACCTTTGACTTTTACATTACAGCTTCATTCAGGTTCCTTTACCCTTGACTTATACATTACAGCGTCATTCAGGTTCTTTTACTCTTGACTTATACATTACAGCTTCATTCAGGTTCCTTTTACCCCCTTGACTTATACATTACAGCTTCATTCAGGTTCTTTTACCCTTGACTTATACATTACAGCTTCATTCAGGTTCCTTTACCCTTGACTTATACATTACAGCTTCATTCAGGTTCTTTTACTCTTGACTTATACATTACAGCTTCATTCAGGTTCCTTTACCCTTGACTTATACATTACAGCTTCATTCAGGTTCTTTTACCCTTGACTTATACATTACAGCTTCATTCAGGTTCTTTTAACCTTTGACTTTTACATTACAGCTTCATTCAGGTTCCTTTACCCTTGACTTATACATTACAGCGTCATTCAGGTTCTTTTACTCTTGACTTATACATTACAGCTTCATTCAGGTTCCTTTACCCTTGACTTATACATTACAGCTTCATTCAGGTTCTTTTACCCTTGACTTATACATTACAGCTTCATTCAGGTTCTTTTACCCTTGACTTATACATTACAGCTTCATTCAGGTTCTTTTACCCTTGACTTACATTACAGCTTCATTCAGGTTCTTTTTACCCTTGACTTATACATTACAGCTTCATTCAGGTTCCTTTACCCTTGACACATACATTACAGCTTCATTCAGGTTCCTTTACCCTTGACTTTATACATTACAGCTTCATTCAGGTTCTTTACCCTTGACACATACATTACAGCTTCATTCAGGTTCTTTTACCCTTGACTTATACATTACAGCTTCATTCAGGTTCTTTTACCCTTGACTTATACATTACAGCTTCATTCAGGTTCTTTTTTACCCTTGACTTATACATTACAGCTTCATTCAGGTTCTTTTACCCTTGACTTATACATTACAGCTTCATTCAGGTTCCCTTTACCTTGACTTATACATTACAGCTTCATTCAGGTTCCTTTTACTCTTGACACATACATTACAGCTTCATTCAGGTTCCTTTACTCTTGACTTATACATTACAGCGTCATTCAGGTTCCTTTACCCTTGACTTATACATTACAGCTTCATTCAGGTTCCTTTACCCTTGACTTATACATTACAGCTTCATTCAGGTTCCTTTACCCTTGACACATACATTACAGCTTCATTCAGGTTCCTCTACCCTTGACTTATACATTACAGCTTCATTCAGGTTCCTTTACCCTTGACTTATACATTACAGCTTCATTCAGGTTCCTTTACCCTTGACTTATACATTACAGCTTCATTCAGGTTCCTTTACTCTTGACACATACATTACAGCTTCATTCAGGTTCCTTTACTCTTGACTTATACATTACAGCGTCATTCAGGTTCCTTTACCCTTGACTTATACATTACAGCTTCATTCAGGTTCTTTTACCCTTGACTTATACATTACAGCTTCATTCAGGTTCCTTTACCCTTGACTTATACATTACAGCTTCATTCAGGTTCCTTTACCCCTGACTTATACATTACAGCTTCATTCAGGTTCCTTTACCCTTGACTTATACATTACAGCTTCATTCAGGTTCCTTTACCCTTGACTTATACATTACAGCTTCATTCAAGTTTTTCTTGAAAGTAGCTTCTGTGTATGGCAGCGTTTAAAATTCCCGCCTGCCCAACCGTCCGGAACGGTCTATTTTCATCTCGGACGGTCAAATTTCGAAAGTAGCCTGTCCGTGGTCTGGTAGATGTTTTTACCCCTACCATTAAATATTTCATAATATCAGACATTATCTCTTGTCGTCAGTTTGAGGTGTTTGAGGTATTATGAAAATTATGTTAACCTACTTACGATTGGACAGTTCATGTTAAGATAACCAATCACAACAGGTGTAATTACAGTTTATTGTTGAAAACTGGACAGGCAAGTTTGTATCCGAACTGGTAATTTTTTTAAGTTACCAGTCCGGCTGTCTGGCTTGGAATTTTGTGAGCTTTAAACACTGGTGTATGGTCATACATCCTTAAAAACCAAACTTCCAAAAGAACAATTCAAGTAATTTATAGAAGCACACAGATCTGGTGTAACCCCATTTGTGTTCAGTTTGACACATGGTCATCTTGGTCAAACATCTGCCAGGACAGCTATCTGGACTTTGGTTTGCACTATGACGTCATATGAAAAGACGCTAAAATATGGTACTTGTTGTTGCCGTGCCTGACACTCATCATACAGGGGATAAACCAAGGCCTGTGTCGGTATACCAGCATTATACACTGGCATTAGTCCATACTAGGACACGCATCTGCAATGTATCTATGCATGTGTATGGCAGGCATTACCCTTTAACACAATGCTAAACCTGACTTCACATCATCCCCCTCCAGTTTGACAAGTCATAAATTTCAAAATAATGATTCTTTTAGAAGGTATTTTGATTCTACTCACAGGGATTCCTCTGTCTCCAGGGTAGCCGTAATCACCAGGTAGACCAATCTCACCTGGGAAACCCTGTCAACAAACAGAAGCTGTGTACACAAGCACAAAATCAATGGCACATTTGTATCTATTTTATACTAATAACCATTGTTAGAAAAGTTACTTTTTGTACACACAGTTACATATTTCTGTTTCTGAACATCATTCACACTTGATAGCACAAGCAGGAGGATGTCTTTAGAAACATAATTATCCTGTTTATTACCTTTTACAAAGGTGAAGGATTCATCTAGGGAATAACAAATGATATCGCTTATTACATTAATGTCAAACATTATCAGGGATTTTCCACACTTAGAATCTGTCATTTGGTTCAAATCTGGGATGTTTTTAGAATGTTCATATTTTCAGAGGTATCTTGACATTGCTCTTAATGTAATAATGTAAAATTACGCCATCAAGTACATTCTTTTTTATTAGGTCTGTTATCTGTTAAATCCTTTTAAATAATTGATTATATATCTCGGAACCAGAAAGGAACCATATAAGTGTACAGAACTTGATCAAGAAACATGTGGTAACCAACTGTATCAGTCATCCTATATCACTTTGATGAAATCTATATCAAATATTTATCAAGTTTTCAAATACCAGTGTAGGACATTTTGGAAGTTTGATATGGCTTACCACTTGTCCATCTCTTCCATCTTCACCAGGCTCTCCCTTGAAGCCAAACCGCACACCTTCACTTGCTCCTGGTGCTCCCTGAAAGCAACATGTATTAGATAAGAATAGAATAGAATAGAATAGAATAGAATAGAATAGAATAGAATAGAATAGAATAGAATAGAATAGAATAGAATAGAATAGAATAGAATAGAATAGAATAGAATAGAATAGAATAGAATAGAATAGTACTTTAATGCCTTTTTCAGAGCTACTGACACATCAGAGAGATACAAAACATATTTACATAAATTCACTGATTTACGTATCTCCACATTTGTTTAAGAGATATGGTACTTGGAATAAGGATGTATGGGCTCTCTTAGTTTTCACAATTAGAACTTTGTAGCAGCGGCCTGAAGGGACGAGTTTCTATCAAATTAAGTTGGAGAGTAATAAACAGAATACTAAACTCGCTTCCATGAAATACCATTTTTATTTAACTCATGAAAGATTTAGTATCAAACTGGCTTTCACTTGTTTGATACCAAATCATTAACTCGTTTAATAAAAATGGTATTACACGGAAGGTCGTTTAGTATCCTCCATGTATACCACACATACATAATACAGTATCTCATGTGTGGAATAACCTGAAATATACCATACACATATCCAAATACAAACCACCTGGGTGGAACACCTTGGAATATATCACATACATACCCTGTTTGTGTAACACCCACAAATATATCACATACATACCCTGTTTGTGTAACACCCACAAATATATCACATACATACCCTGTTTGTGTAACACCCACAAATATATCACATACATACCCTGTTTGTGTAACACCCACAAATATATCACATACATACCCTGTTTGTGTAACACCCACAAATATATCACATACATCCTTCATTTTCTAGCATTGATTAAAAAATAATTGGGAACGTCTTACTGCCACTTGCCTCCCTTAATGTCACTTCATACACACACAAATATTGTATCAAGTATACTACAGCATAGTTAGATCACCCTTTAAAGAACAACAAACATACAACACAAGCTGAAAGTGATTTCAAAGATATACCACATTTCATGTCCCTATTTCATCAATCACGCACATGTTAAAACCTTGTCCCAGACATTTACCGGTATTTGGGGCATGTCTGGGGCATGTCCTGGACTACTGTAAGTCTGCGTTTAAGTCTGAAGCTAAGATCTTAGAACTAAGATATCTTTGTGAATGGTACATCTATTCTGTTTAATGCCGGCCCAGTGGCAACTCACTACTATACAGAATCCCACCTTCTACAGTCACATGTATCTGAAACACATGCTATACTGTATTTGGGATTACACTTTCTCCTTTCACTTTCTCACATATATCTGGTACATTTGCTGGAAATGAGTATTATTACTACCTGAACACAACATTTCGGCATGTGCACAGTATAACCTGTATATCATGATTTGAAATGCTAATGTGCTGGTACCGTCACCAGCAACACTTACCAAATGTTGCATCAACAAGACTGACATGCTTATGTCAAATTTGTGTTCATAATATCGCATATATCACAAATATATTTAGGAAAGGATATGATATGAACCAATGAAATATAAAAACAATTCTTATTTCTTTAGCGACAACTAACTGAAATCTGCAATTACACTTAGTCATATTTCTGAACTAAATATTTGATTTGGATTTGTTCTCCCCAATTAGAATCATGCTTTCCCACCTTGTTCTTCCACACACTCAAACTTAAACTACCAAACCGTTTACATGGCTTACACAAACTAGTCATAGTAAGAGAACCAATCAGATGTAAGCTTTTATTCAATATAGTGCATTTGGAAACCTGAAAAATAATTGTTTCAAATGTTGGGGCCATGGAAAGCTATATTCATAATTGGTTGACAAATACCTCAAAAGACTGTCAATCTAGCCAGAAATTTTGAACATTTTATGTTAGTGAACTATCAAAACAAGATTTGGTTTAAAAAAGAATATTGAATCAGCAGACACAGGGTGAGCTGTATCTAATAATCTGCAGCCTCCATATGAACTGATTGAAATCTGTATTAGGTATGATCATAATGGCAAGACAGGAAAATCAATAATCAAATATATGAAAAACAGTAAAAATTTGTTTCTGCTCATCTCAAAAAAACATTCCACTCTCTTATAAAACCAAACATGACTAAATGTTAATTTTACAAAAGAAAATGTTCCGACTATGCCAAGGATATATAATGGTCACTGGGCAGACATTTAAGTCAAAATACTACAAAACTGAGACAGTTTTTCTGTGCTTATTCTTACCTTTCTACCAGGTCTACCCGGACGTCCTCTAGATCCTGGCAGGCCAGGCAGACCAGGCTGTCCCGAGAAACCCGCGTCTCCCTGGAAGAAGAAGAACATGGGGTATGAGTTGGATCACTGAAGACTAGACCGCCTCCGTGGTGTAGTGGTTGGAGCGTCCGCCCGGAGAGCGGAAGGTCGCGGGTTCGATCCCCGACCGCGTCATGCCAAAAAGACGTTAAAATATGGTACTTGTTGGTCCCTGTCTGGCGTTCGGCATTAATGGGTACAACAAGGACTGGTCGGCTCGGAGTCAGTATAATGTGTCTGAGTGGGGTATTCATGCTTAACTGCGGTATCTCAGTGGGCTAGCACTATAAAACCAGCTTAAGTCTGGGCTAGTACAAGCAGACGCACATACACATACACACGCATGCAGGTCGTCATATGAGCGAAATATTCTCAAGCACGACGTAAAACCCAATTTCACATCACCTCACCTGAAGACTAGACTCCAACATCTTGAAATATACACATAACTATAAACATACTGTTATTGCATTTTAGCTGACCTGGATATGTAGTCAACAGTTAATAATATCAACAAAGAAACTATACAAATGTTACTGTCAGTGTTGACATTAATAGCAGAAATATAACAGCATTAGGACAAACACACATGCCAAAGTTCAGCTATCTGAGAGGCAAATGTGTGTTTCTTTCTGAGAATTTAAGAACATGGTAAAAGCAAGTCGAATATGAAGTATCACAAAAACAGAACATTAATGCTGAACATCACACTACCATATACATGTGTAATTGACATGAATAGGTTTTGAAAATTTGCTGCCAAGAGGATTCATATTGAGGATTGGACATCATCGCTGTTTGGAATCAGGCCCCGATTTCTCGAAACAAACTTAAGTCTGAGTTTTGACTTAAGTCTGAGTTTTTACTCAAATTTGAGAAAACGCAGGAAAATGCATTTCCAAGAATAAACTGAAATTAATATTAAACTCAAACTTAGCAGACAATTTGAGTTTGGTGGATAGATTACTTAAGTTGTTTGGGCTTTTTTTTTAGTTAAAAAATGCAGTTGAGTTAAAAATTCAGCTGTTCAATTTGTCAAACTCAGTTTAAAATTTGAGTACAAACTTAAGTTTGTTTCGAGAAATCGGGGCCAGTATGTGTAGGTACAGATTCTCTGGTCTTCTTGTTTCTGAGAAGATGAATTGCCAAGAAATGCATTTTAAGAGAAATTAGAGAGTGCCATGGTCAGATGTAGGTCAAATTATAAAATACACTTTAAACATGTAAAAGGAACAAGGTTTGTGTTTGTGGTTTCACATTGCACCCAGCAATATACCAGCTGTTTGATTGCTGCCTTTAGATATTAAGGTTCAGTGAATAATATTATGAGCATTTAGGTCTTGTACCATCAACCAAGGCACCAAGCTTGACTATCCTACCCATAACAATCACCTCAGCCTATGACCACCATAAGGTTGTTGGACACCAATTCTTACTGGAATCTGACCCATGCTACTGCAGCATACTACTAGCCAAGTTTACTGAAGGAAACAGCTTGAAGACTATTATCATGTCCCAATGATAAAAGCTTCATGGTGAACTACATAACAAGGCTTTGGATGACATTTGGCCAGACACCACTGCTGGAATCTTTGGTTATCTAACAGTGCTGGTGCCAGATGAGTACAAAATGTTAATGAGGCTGAAAATTGAATCAAGATAATGATCTGTGAAGCCCCAAAAATGACAGTGTTGCAGTGAACCATATCAGAGGAACACGACATATGGGCAGCCTCAAGATTGTGTATGTTCCTTGACAATGGACCAGTGTTAACTTAGACATGCTTTTGGGTGTAGGTAATGGCAACCTAACTAAAGGCATGAGAGGAGCACAATAGGTTAAGTTGTAAGTGAGTGAGTTATGTTGAAGCCACTTTTAACAGCATTGAAGTTATATCATGACATGTCAACTTCATGAAGGTTGGTTTGTTGTTTAACGCCACACTCAGCAATATTATAGCTGTAAATAATCGGGTCTGGACAAGACAATCCAGTGATTAACAGCATGAGCATCAATCTACGTAATTGGGATACGATGACATGTGTCAACCAAGTCAGCAAGCCTGACCACCCGATCCTGTGAATCGCCTCTTACGACAAGCATAGTCGCCTTTTGTGGCAAGCATGTGTTGCTGAAGACCTATTCTACCCCGGATCTTTACGGGTCTGCACAAACAGAATAGTTGTAAATCAAACTAAAGTTACAAAGAAAAGGGTGGGTTACTGAAGATCAATTCTAGCCCAGATCTTTGCTTCGTGAGAGAGGATAGCTTGACATTTACCACTTTTGTGAAGCCAAAGTGCTGACAAATGAAGAAACATAATTCGGCAAACCATGACTTGAACCTACAATATTTAAGCCTGCTGCATAGATGACAAGGCCACAGGTGCCCATAAGTCATACTGTGGAATTTGATTGACTAACCAATCAAGTTTTAGCTTGATAACAGTGTAAGAATCCTAACTGAAATGTCGCTCTATGCAGTAAACAAGAACTTGTTATCAATAAAGCCGTGATGCTTCATTACTGACTCACTAACTTCTAGAATGCGGATCAAGTTTTTTTAAACAATTTGGACAAAGTCATAGAGAATCTACTGGTCCATGATTGGGGGAAACGCCAGTGCTTGTGTTGTGCCATTGTGATGTCACTGATTCTGTCACGTGGTCTGCAATTTTGGGGGTTAATTAAATAATGTTCAGTATGTAAAGTCATAATTGTTGACATATTTATATATAATAATTGACTTGAGTGTTTTTCAATTTATGGAGGTTTAAATATTGAAATAGGTGTTGTGTGTGCTATGCAGGCTTATACAGCATATCCACCTGGTGTGTATATCTTCATAACACAACAAGGACTGGAGTAAACCCTTTACAACTGGGGCATTTAGAGCATGGCAAATACTTTCATCCAATGGGTAGTCACTATTTCATTCAAGTATAGCACATTTATAAGCTGATGAATTACTGTAAGATATACAATTTACAGATGTGTGGAACTTGTAGGCTTTGTGAAACTTGTACATTTCCGCATGATGGCCCTTAAACATAAACACCTGACTGCAGAAATTGTAGTGCTTATATACACAATTTGAAATCTGTTCAAACTTGCATGGGAGTTTGTAACGTGTAGTTGGCAGAGCTCAGCCATATCCCTGTGCTCCCAGATGGATGGAGAATTTGTGCCAGGGCTTTAACAGGATATACAAGCAGAGTCACAAGAACCTCTGGCAAGCATACCATAAATTGGGCTGCATTGTATGACAAAAAGAATTCATTTTTAGAGGCTGGTATATGAGAATACAATTTCCAGCTTTCTTATCATTTAACATAATGATCTATGGTATCTATGGCATCTACATATCTTCTTTGGGGACTATGCACCCAATCATTTTTGGCATAAGTTCACGAAAGAAACAAGTGGGCAGATAAATATTTTGAATTATTGACATAAGACATGTAATGGCGGAAATCTGAGCTGATCCGAGATTGAAACAGTGAGTTCCCAGAAGAATGTATGTGTCCCCCATCGGATTGTGCTGACACATGCAGAAACCTGTTTGTTTCAGCAGAAATCAGCCACTTTAAGACAAAACAATAAGCAGCAAGTGCATCCTAGAAGGCCTGCCAGTTCTCTTTATCTGTGAATGTGGCACCATGTGGCCTGGGTGGGCTGTTGTCTTTGTGATGCTTGGGATAAACACGCTAATATTTCACCAGTATTGTGTTGAGGCCATACAGGGGCTTACTCATTGTTGGTGCATAGTACAGTTGACATTTAGGTTTTTACCCATGCATGTGGGAGGGACTGAAACCTCCATAATTAATCATTAGGAAGAAGAGGAAGGCGGAAGACAGAGGAAGGAGGAGGAGAGGAAGAAAAAGAAAAAAGAAGAACAAGTAGAATAAGGAAGAAGAAGTTTGTTTAGGGGAAATGAATACTTTACTGAGTTGACCTGATCACATTAACCTTTTCTTTTCTAGCAAACAATTTTTTAATTACTTTTCAAAAATCTGATAGCAGCCCATGACTATCAAGTACACTTTTCTAATGACAAAGTAAGAACCCCCAAATGTACACTTTGACGCCAGACATATCAACTTATGAAAACAAGAAATGAACGGCCTTTAACTGCACATTATGCGTGGTGCACCCTGACATTTGGAAGCCTTGGGGAGCTGTGCAGCATATCATATGTGTACAACTGTTGCTTTAACCTTTGAGAGTTTTTAAATAAACTTGCATTAAATATTGTAAGCTGTTTTCAAAACTACCAACACAATTTTCATATATCACTGAAAAATTTTGCCATTTAAACTTAATCGCATTTGATTGACACCATAATTGTATTTCATGAATATCAAGGGATTTTGTCTAAAAGTTGTGTTATCAAACATGTGGACTACATCCCCCTGAACTGAAATGCCAAGCAGTTCTCTGAGACAAGGCTCAACCCCCTCTAGCTATCCTCACCACTAACTTCACACAAATTGGTCTTAAATAAACAACTCAGTTTCTCCTTTCTCATTCACATGTCCATGACCATTGAATAATAAACTAATTCTCACTGTCCAAGTATTATCATGTAAATATTTGCATGATGTAACATCAAGCAGCTACATCCAATAAGCATCTCCTGTGTTCTCACATGGACAGAGTTAGTTGCTCTGCTAGGGGGCTGGCTGCACAGTAGTCTGGCTAAGACACAAGGAGGGGCAGTGTTTACACTACTCCATGAAGTGTCAGTCCCTACACTGGGTGTCTGGAGACGACCACTGCATGTGCTTGTTGTTACAACTTCCTTCCCCTTTATCTGTATAATCCTGGAGTCAGATTAGCGCTGAGCCCATGTGTGTCATGCCATGCTCCTGACACACTGATTAAGATATGAAAGAAGCTTTGTCTGCTGTAGCTGGCTGCTGATTGCTTTAATGTGGAGATGATGTGGCATTGCACCCTGCTACTGGTTCATCTGACGGGGTAGGGGGATCACAGGGATGGGGAATAGTGGACCCCGAGACAAACACCCGAAGGGTAGGTGATGGGAGGACAGGGTAGGGCAGTGGGTAGGTGAAGGGAGGACAGGAAAGATCAGTGGGTAGGTTAATGGAGGACAGGGTAGGGCAGTGGGTAGGTGATGGGAGGACAGGGTGGGACAGTTGGTAGGTGAAGGGAGGACAGGGAAGGGCAGTGGGTAGGTGAAGGGAGGACAGGGTGGGACAGTGGGTAGGTGAAGGGAGGACAGGGTAGGGCAGTTGGTAGGGAAGGGAGGACAGGGTAGGACAGTGGGTAGGTGATGGGAGGACAGGGTAGGACAGTGGGTTGGTGAAGGGAGGACAGGATAGGACAGTGGGTAGGTGAAGGAAGAACAGGGTAGGACAGTGGGTAGGTGAAGGGAGGACAGGGTAGGACAGTTGGTGGGTGAAGGGAGGACAGGGTAGGACAGTTGGTGGGTGAAGGAAGGACAGGGTAGGACAGTGGGTAGGTGAAGGGAGGACAGGGTAGGACAGTTGGTAGGTGAAGGGAGGACAGGGTAGGGCAGTGGGTAGGGAAGGGAGGACAGGGTAGGGCAGTGGGTAGGGAAGGGAGGACAGGGTAGGACAGTTGATGGGTGAAAGGAAGACAGGGTAGGACAGTTGGTGGGTGAAGGAAGGACAGGGTAGGACAGTTGGTGGGTGAAGGGAGGACAGGGTAGGACAGTGGGTGGTTGAAGGAAGGGAGAGAGGGTATGACAGTTGGTAGGTGAAGGGAGGACAGGGTAGGACAGTTGGTAGGTGAAGGGAGGACAGGGTAGGACAGTGGGTAGGTGAAGGGAGGACAGGGTAGGACAGTTGGTGGGTGAAGGGAGGACAGGGCAGGACAGTGGGTAGGGAAGGGAGGACAGGGTAGGGCAGTGGGTAGGGAAGGGAGGAGAGGGTAGGGCAGTTGGTGGGTGAAGGAAGGACAGGGTAGGACCGTTGGTGGGTGAAGGGAGGAGAGGGTAGGGCAGTTGGTGGGTGAAGGAAGGACAGGGTAGGACCGTTGGTGGGTGAAGGGAGGACAGGTAGAGGGCAGTTGGTGGGTGAAGGAGAAGGACAGGGTAGGACAGTGGGTAGGTGAAGGGAGGACAGGGTAGGGCAGTGGGTAGGGGAGGGAGGACAGGGGTAGGGCAGTGGGTAGGAAAGGGAGGACAGGGTAGGGCAGTGGGTAGGGAAGGGAGGACAGGGTAGGGCAGTTGGTGGGTAGGGAAGGAGGAGGAGAGGGTAGGAGCAGTTGGTGGGTGAAGGAAGGACAGGAAGTAGGACCGTTGGTGGGTGAAAAGGAGGACAGGGGTAGGGCAGTTGGTGGGTGAAAGGAAGGACAGGGGTAGGGCAGTTGGTGGGTTAAGGAAGACAGGGTAGGACAGTTGGTGGGTGAAGGGAGGACAGGGTAGGACAGTGTGTGGGTGAAGGGAGGACAGGAGTAGGGCAGGGCAGTTGGTGGGTTAAGGGGGAGGACAGGGTAGGACAGTTGGTGGGTGAAAGGAGGACAGGGTAGGACAGTGTGTGGGTGAAAGGAGAGGGGAGGACAGGGTAGGGCAGTGGGTGGGTGAAGGGAGGACAGGGTAGGACAGTTGGTGGGTGAAGGGAGGACAGGGTAGAGCAGTGGGTAGGTGAAGGGAGGACATGGTAGGGCAGTGGGTAGGTGAAGGGAGGACAGGGTAGGACAGTGTGTAGGTGAAGGGAGGACAGTGTGTAGGTGATGATGAGTGTTTATGGTATATGGCCTGTCCAGACTTCATATCCTCCTCAAAGAGCACAGTTTGATTATTATTACCCCGGATAATAGTCACATGACTTATCCCACTAGGTACCCATTTTCTGCTGGGTGAACAGAGGGAATTGTGAACAAACTCAATTGCCTTAGGTGAGAGTACATGTATCACATGTGCTTCGTTGTGGGGCAGGACAGAAGTCATAGAATCTCTCAGGAGTCAAGCTGCCAAACACGGTCACCCATCAAAGTACTCTCCGTGCCCAATGTTGCTTAACTTCAACTGATTTGTGACCTGAGCTCTATGCACAGGCCCACACACCACCACATACATAAATATTATAGCTGTATAGGAAGGGTTGAATTTGGGAAAACACTCACTCTATTCCACACAAGGAATGCCTGTCAAGGAATTATCCTGACATCATCAATGCTTCAATGCTGTTTTCAATGCATACCCCAATAGCATAGATAGATGCTCCTGATGTCTATCATTTGATTGTCTGCACTCACCTATCACAGACATAGCTGGACTATTGCTGAGTGTGGCATAGTAAACAAACATGTTGATAAAAAAATAATAAAATAGTAAATATGAAAGTAACAGGCATCAAGAGACCTCCTCCCATGCTGTTGTCTTTTTTAAAACGATAATGTCCAATTTTCGGGTGTAAACATGCGTATGATAGTGAGTCACTTCCTACATGGTGAAATGTTATACCCTGAGAATGATCATTACTCATGGTGGGACCTCAGGGAAGCCATTCCATCAGATAAACCTCACAAAGCTCTGAGTAAGCATCTTTTGTTTACTCAGTGCACTACAAGGTCAAGATAAAGCAGACAGGGTATGAATTGGGGAGATGGCTACGGTAGTCATGAGCTGCTATATATAGTATATATGGTATATATAGTATATATGGTATATATGGTATATATAGGACCCAGAGTGACCAGGGTACAGTATTTGTGACATACAGACGCCAATGTAAGGAACTGGAGCTAACGGTACCCACCTTAAAGGGGGATGGTGGAGTGGGGGGATGAGGGTGTAAGGAGGGGGGGAAATTTCGTGGATGTAATATGAGGAACATGCAGTTTCGGAGTATATTCTCACATACAGGAAAACAGGAAAATCTATTTTCGCTGGTAAGCTTAATATTGTGTCATCGAATGGCTGTGTGTGTGTGTGTTCAGGAGGTTCAGAGGGATTTAGACGATTCACCGAATTGATCAATTTGAAATAAAATCGGCAGAAATCTGTGGATCAGCGGAAAATTGCCATAACTGGTCACATATGTGGTACTTACTTGGGTTCCATTGCAGCCAGGATATCCTTGAGGTCCTACTGGTCCCTCGATACCGGACTGACCCTGAAACAAAACACAATATGAGAACTCGTGGAAATGTTTCAGTCTACTTGCTAAGTGATAATTATCCTGATAATTCCCATCAAATATTAATTTTCAGATTATGTTCATTCAAAGTGTCATGCACCAAATTATATATAACTGAGGTCAACATCTAAAGTTTGCAATAATATATTAAAGTGATCTACTACTATACAGTTTTAGAGAATACACCCTATTCTTTGTAACTTTAGTTTGATTTACAACTCTTCTGTTTGTGCAGACCCGTGAAGATCTGGGGTAGAATAGGTCTTCAGCAACCCATGCTTGCCACAAAAGGCGACTATGCTTGTCATAAGAGGTGACTAACGGGATCGGGTTGTCAGGCTCGCTGACTTGGTTGACACATGTCATCGGTTCCTAAATGCGCAGATTGATGCTCATGCTGTTGATCACTGGATTGTCTAGTCCAGACTCGATTATTTACAGACTGCCGCAATATAGCTGGAATATTGCTGAATGCGGCGTAAAACTAAACTCACTCACTCACTCTGTTTGTGCAATACAGAACTGCTGATGGGTATTTTAGACTTCTCTCTTTGAAAATCAATAAAAGTGCTACTTTTGTACATATTTGCAACATTTCAAGCAATTTATGCGGGGGGAATATTTCGTTGCAGATATATTTCCTACACTTAACCAACTTATTTTTGCATAAGATTCTCCAAACTGTTGCACAAGATGAGTGATGGTTAGACAGACTCGATCAAAATTAACAATTCCTTTAATTTTCAATTACATAAATAAGAAACTGGAGATACTTTCTTTGCTCCTCAGTGTATATATGCATGAATATTGAAAAACTGAAATCTTGTAAAATGTGACTGTTGACACAGTCTATCTATTTCACATCAACAGACATAATGTATTCAATAATAACCACTGATCATCGATGCAAATCCAATGAAATTGCCTATTGTACCGTCATGTACTTATATTGAGTAAATTAAATGCAAAAAAAAATATTTAAATTTAATAAATTAATAATTTTCAAAAAGCATGACTAGATATTGTCCCACCCAATGAGGTCACCTGATCACCAGATCAGATTCATATGATGTGACATGGTAGAACATACTGTAAAGCACAGGCACCACTCGCGTGGTCAGTTGACATGTGTTAGCTACACATACTGAAAAGTAGTCCTATAAATGCGCTTGAAAATTCATCAACCCTGAGTGTACCATAAATGTATTTGCAAGAAAACTAAGACACATTTTATGAAATCCACATGAAGCAGTGTGCTGTTGATGAAATATATGTCTAAACCGGTATGCACACTCAGTGAAAGCTTTATACACCAAGTAAACAAAGCTTACCCAGATACGAGGGAGACAATGTGACAGGTTACCAGGATAATAGAGAAACTACTTACCGGGATACCTGGTATTCCTGTGAAACCGGGCAGACCTGAGGCTCCCTGCAAAGAAAAAAGAAAATTTAGTTGTCATTAACACACTCACCATGTGGACAACTAACGTTTTTCTAATATTTTTCACCACTGTTCATCAGTCGTCAATTTAGTGTGCTTTAGTCTTTTCAAAGCAAAATCTTGAATTTTAAAATCTTTTAATTTTGTCCCAATATGAGTAGTGCCAGCCTCACTGTGAGGATCGTTATGTGGCAATACCTGCTGTTAATGTATTAACTTATCAGGATGAAACCCGTGAAAATCCGGGTTAGAATTGATCTTCAGCAACCCATGCTTGTCGTAAGAGGCGACTAACAGGATCGGGTGGTCAGCCTTACTGACTTCCTTGACACATGTCATTGAATCCCAATTGGATTGTCTGGTCCAACTCGATTATTTACAAACAGACGCCATATAGCTGGAATATTGATGAGTACGGCGTTTAATAACAACCAACAACCAACTGTCAGTTCACTTGTAGTGACTTGCAGCAGCAAACGACTGAAGCACTCATAAAATGGTAATCAGATGATAACCCATGAAGGTGTAATTTAGAGTTCCATCACCTTGTAACACATGGACAAGTCTGGATCCTGTATAATGTCAATGACACTTTACCCTTACACCATGCATGGCTTTCATGTATGACTTCATAAAGAATTTTCATTTATTTCATATTAAACATATTTAAACCATCACATACATCACTCTTTAGGGTGTGGCCTTGGTACATTTAATTACTTTCCCCTGGAAGGACTGGGTATATTTATGCAAAATGTTTTAAATCTTATCAGTGATTTCAGTTGATGAAGAAAGTGTCGGTACAAACGGTAGAGAAATTTATAAAATTTGTCGCTTTCCGGATTACATGCACCAATCCTCCGCCGCTTGAATTTTGCTGATGTAGACTATCCTGTTACATGTGTTTAAGTTCATGAGAAGCGACAAAGCCCATCCCTCGATGATGCCATGACAGTGGGGAAGTGCATTCCCAAGCACTCAGCTCGTCACCTCCCACTCTCTACCCACTCTCACTTTGTCACAGTCGAACCATTGACACCAGGTTCTACATCTCTACCACTGAAGTTATGAAGTCATCCAGAGACTCCTCATGCACAGACCATTTGACATGCTTGCAATTATTTCAAAGACAATCCTTTTCCTTCATAGGATTCTGTGACTGGATGTGCTGTTGGGTCACTATGATCGATGGTTTCTTTTACTTGAAAATGGTTTCTTGTAAAGCTGATTGATGTCTAAAATATTACAGTGGATACCAGAAAATTAACAGAAAGTCGCTTTTCCATAAAAAGAATCATCCAAATTTAAGGCTTGTTTCACCACAGGATCAAAGACGTCATGGCGTCTGTCCCTTGCTGCACCCTAAATTAGCTTCAAATTTCATAAACATAAGAAATCAAATCAGATTAGAAAAATAATCTTGAGTAAAAATGTTTTTAAACATAGATATAAAATTGCCTCAGAAACAATTGTTTCTGCTTGTAAACCTGACTTTGAGTAAACAATACACTTGGAAGCTATCAATACATCTGATGTGATTTCATAACAAACAGAGTTATGAAATTGGCTCCATGACTCAAAGATGTATACGTCATTCAACAAGAGCAGTTTGAATGCATTAATGGAACAACAGCATGTGTGTGTCACATGGTGTAGTGGCAAACTGGGCGGGTTCTCTTATGGCCATCAAGGAGAAGGAGGGGGAGAAGGCTGTCAGCCTACACACACCACTCGGCTGGGGCTGTCTGCAGATAAGTCTGCCCACAAAATACACTAGGCCTGTCTACAGACAGCCTTCACACTACACTAGGTCCAGCTTCAGACAGCCTTCAAATGACACTGTCTGCAGAAATGTCTGCCTACACACTACAAGGGGGCTGTCTGCAGAAACGTCTGCCTACACACTACAAGGAGGCTGTCTGCAGAAATGTCTGCCTACACACTACACTGGGGCTGTCTGCAGAAACGTCTGCCTACACACTACACTGGGTCTATCTACAGACACTGACCCTACAAAAGAACCTATCCTTATTGAGCCGGATGGACCGCACACCTCACAAGCCCAAACAACAAACACACAGCAGACCCTGCCACTTCCATCCTACTCAGCCAGCTGGCCCCACCCTGTAACCATGTAACCGAAGCATTGATCACACGTCACAAACTTACTAATAATTCCCTCCCCTTAAACATCAGCCACATGAACAAACAGGGCTGGAACACTGATATCATCTCAACTTACATTTACACAAAGTTTTGGTAACCAATTTTACATAAGATTTCAGATCTACATAAGATTTCATAGTTGTTGTTAAAGACAGCCACAGTTCAAATTCTGAGTAATGAAACAGACAAACAACACTTAGTTAAGAAATTATTAAATATGGACGAACAGTTTACTTTGTAAGTTTGTTGCAGGCATTTCTTGCAGTTTATAAGATTTTCACCCTTACTCATGTCATTTCAGAATATCTTGCCCCCCAAATAATATGCATGCTTCTCCCATATTTTTTCATATATAAATTTCATAATTTTTGTGGCCTAACATGGGAGCAGATGCAAATGAAAATAAAATTAACTAAAATCTATCGATTACTTTTTCATGCAAACAAATCAGTGTTAAATTGCAGTCAGTATTGAGATAATGCATTGAATTAACAGTAGTCTGAAAGGTTTCCGAAACATCTGCCTGGATTGAAAATGATTAGTTACTATCTGGTCTCAATTCCCAACACTGCTCATTCTGACATGAGGTTCACACTTGTAGTGACCATAAGCGTTCCAAGTACATGCCATACAGAAGTGCATATGCTAAGTTCCGATGCGGCACTGCACCAATTAATATTGAGCTGGGTAGATATAACAATATTCCACTTAACGACAGAAAATGTTTTTATTGTAAACACTGTGTTGAAGACGAAGTTCATGTTTTAATTAATTGTCCGGTTTATAGTGATGAACGTTTTAGTCTTTTAAATATTTGTGATAGCCTATGTCAGAATTTTAGTAATCTTACTGATATACAAAAAACTGCTTTTATCCTGTCCAATAGCAATATTTGTTTTATAGCTGCCAAAACCTACCATGTTATTTTAAAAAGGAGAAAATCCGTATTATATAACTTTTAATTATTGTTATTCATAATACATGTACATGCAATTTTTAAAGAATTTTAGTCTCTCATAATTCCGTATGGAATGGCCCTATGTAAATATATGTTTAATTAGTTTGTATATATGTATAACAGGGGTGAGACTTTAATAAATAATCTGTCTGTCTGCCAAGTCCACGGACCCCTGATCTTATGTCTGATGTCTAGTCCACACAACCTTAGAGGATAACTCAATTAGGAAGCTGACAATGGTAAGGACAACATCTGTGGGATGACTGTACACTCTCCTACACACTCATCACTTCTGGTACTTACTCTGAATCCCTTGGGTCCTCGAGCGCCGACCTCACCCAGGTCACCTTTCATCCCCAACTGGCCGATAGGGCCCTCTGGTCCAGGGAAGCCGGGCAGGCCAGGTGGACCTTGCAGCCCTGGAAGTCCTCTCCCTCCCTGCAACACACGAACCAGTTTATAAAAGGCATTCATAGAACACATAAAAAATGTGTAAAACAGATGGTTAGACATCATTCACTAGATTATGTGTATTTATCATATTAAAACATAATATTTTTCAATATATGTAGCTTTAAAAATAACATTGATATTTCATTCCAGGTAATTAACACTATGTACCAGAACTAATTTCAGCAAGCACTTAATGACACTAAGGTTTCTGAAGCATCATGAGGCCAGACCAATTTTAAATCTTGTTTTATGTATTTTTGTCCCCAGAAAACCTAAAGGCAGGAGGGAATTTTTTTTTTTAAAAATCGCCAGTCAAAGTAATAGTCCTTCTAAATTGTTGGGAATTGGTAAAAATTGCACAATTGATAATTGGTTCATAACAACCGATCAATCATCGAAAATAATTTGTTAGCGTCATTTATCAAATTCTCCTGGTTATGTTTGTTAATGCACAAAAATATAGAAAAAAACGTGTAGTTCTTTTGGATTTTTTGCAAACTGCACAAAAAGCATTTACAAATTTCACATCTTAAAGGATGACTAGTATGGTATGAACCTAAATTTCATGGATAATTCAATCATGACAAGGAATGAGATTGAAGTGCTTGTGAAATGTAACAGACAAAACCAGCCTTGTGAAAAATATTGTTAATGCAAAAAAGTGTTCCAAAATTGTTTGTTTTCGTTTATGAGAAAACATGATCGATTGCTTGGTCGTTTAGTCACTGGGACCAATCCTTGATTACTAGTATTTCAATTAATCGGACCACCACTACTTCTAAATACTAAAAGTATTTTACTTTTGACAATTTATGAAGTGTATATGGGGCAAAATACAACCTAAAATACATTTTCTTGTAAGTTTACATTTTTGGCCAATAAAAACATTAGGGTTTGGATTTTTGATCGGGGAAAATCATTTTATTCTCTTATTCTTGAAAAAATATAACCGGCGGATCCGAAAACAAGAAATAAAATTGGTCTGGCCTGAAGATGACAAAAAATATACTTAAATTCAAAAGAAGTTAACAACCATCCAGTTTTTTGTTCACATGAATAAAGTTAATCTGCTAGTAGAACACACTTGAAAATATCTGATTATTCTGGCATCCTTTTGCATACACCATGACGTTTAATCAATAGTTTCATAAAACTAGTTGTTAAAAACATTTTCCCTGATGATTATTTTACAATTTTAGAACATTACCTATCATCTTCAACTGTGATTTTGACTTTTGAGGCCAATCATTAAATAAACACAGATGTTCCACAGAGATTATAACTAAATCAAACAGCACTAATGATACACTATTCAATTTATTGTGTAAAATATTCACATCAGAACTTAATATAGAAACCATGTATGTGCACAGTACATCGCTTCTCCAGTCAGGATAATGAGATTTCTTCACTTGACAAGTGTTAACTGCTAAAGCTGATGCAAGGAGGTTGAACAATCATAATAGAGCCAGAAAATGTCAACGACCAGCAAAGTTTATTTGCTAACAAGTCCTAATTAAACAAGGTGTTGCATCACTGTTTTAGCCATTTAAACACGAGCTGTGAGAATGATTAAGTGTGATGTAACCCCAGTCTGCGGTTTCCCTAATAAGAAGTCAGAGGACAGACAAACAGCTTCACACACCAATGTAAACAGTGCACACACAACAGCTGAGGTTTAACAGTGGACCTCTGCATCTCCTTTACCGGTAATATTGAGTTGGGATGTATTGACACTGTTTCCTGTTATATCACATCTGGGTGATAAGTCATAACAATACAAACATGATTGTAGCACTCCAAGTAATCTCAATAGTTTTACAATGTAGAACATAACATAATGAAGTATTGTTATGAATGTTTGGACACATGACAACTTGGTGATAACTGATAATAGTACATGCTGAAATGTAAATTACAAAACACTGTGGAATTAATTCTAACATTAAATACAAAGTTCAACATATGTCTAATATGCTAACAGCAAGACCAATGAACCTCTGTATACAATCACAAGTTGTACCATATAACACATACTTTTCAAAATAAGACTGGTAGGAAGCTTTACTCACATTTTCTCCCTTCTGGCCCTCACAGATACACACAGCTGATGTGCATCCTTTACAAGCCTGAAAAACAAAAAGATGATCTTAAGCACATGAGCACATGAGCACGCTTTAATGTCCCTTTTAGCAGTATTCTAACCATATCACAGCAGGGGACACAATAAATGTACTTCACACAGGATACCCATGTGGGGAATTGAACTCCTATCTTCAGCATGAGCAAACGCTGTAATTAAAAGCTACCAAGCTGCCCCAAATGAAAATGAAATATGGCATTCTGCACAGTTCAAATTACAAGCCAAACAATTAACTGTGGGAATCTGAAATGGCTAATCTCCTTCAATCATAGGAATATTAATGACAGTCTCACTAAACTCAAATAAATATATATTTTTGAAAAGGGTGTAATGATTTATCAATTGCACAGATCAAGTACTTGTTTTATAATGCTAGATTACTGACACATGGGTGGTGACAGGTCCTGTTAAGGGCCTAGGAGTCAGAGGATCCTTGCTATAAGAGTGAGTGAGTGAGTGAGTTAGTTTTACGCCCCACTCAGCAATATTCCAGCTATATGGTGGCGGTCTGTAAATAATCAAGTCTGGACCAGACAATCCAGTGATCAACAGCATGAGCATCGATCTGCGTAATTGGGAACTGATGACTTTTCATAAGAATCATAACTGCTCTGTCAAATATGAGCGATTGATGGTGTAATCAGAATCAAATACTATAAGAGCAAACCTCCAGGACCCATATCCCCTGTCTAACCCCTTACACATTTTTCAAAAAGTTGATAGCAACACAATCTGAAGGGAAACAAGAAAATTTGATTTCTGAAAATGTTATCAATCAATGTTCTAATATACAAGACTTAGATTAGCAAAGAAGGTTACAAACTCATGACATGTTGTGAGGTGTGTTGGTGTTTGAAAATGGTGTCTTTGAACAGTTAGATCTGGAAAGGTCATTTATGTTTTAAAAAACAGAATTAATGTGAGACAATAACAATTCTTTCTGAAACTGCTATAAATTAAAACTCTTGGGATCACAGATGTTTCCAAACCACTGATGCACTTAAACTTTTGTAATCCTTTCAGGGATTCGGATCATCTAAGTGTATTTTCACTTTACTGTGAGTATCAAGCTTGCAGTCAGAAAATTTAACTCAAAGTTTGGTTAACTCCCAGTATAACAACAGCAAAATATTATCCCTGCGCCAAGACAAAAGTCAACAAAAACTGTATCACTTTGATAGACAGGTTTAGTTAATATATTTATTCGATCCATTTTTTCAAGCATATCTTCATATTTGTCTCTGTGTCACTAAATATCATGTAAAACCCAGAAGGAAACCTATGCCCCATTATTATTCCAAGAATATGGAATGAGGATCCTAGAATTATGCTTATTATCCATTCTTTGGTCTTTTTTGTCTCTGTTTGCTCTAGACATGAGTGCCTGTGTCCCTTGTGTAACATTACCCCACCCCCAGGTGACATGTGACCCCAGGTGGGGGCCAGTCCAGGCCTACACACTGCTGACTGGGGCTGTGTGGTTTTCATTAACCCAGCATCAGGTTTCAGGCAGGGATGTTATCAAATTTCCTTATCTTGACCAAAACTATGCAGCACTGGGGCCATGTGTTAACAAAAGCAATGTGCTTCATCATCAGATTGAAAAGTCGCCCAGTGGGTGGGTGTGGCACTGAGAACAGTTGTAACATCTTATTCCTTGATTAACATTGCAGTATTGATATTTTAAACGTTCATGCAAAGAAAATCTGCGTGCACTCCCTTGACCTTAAAATAGCACTGTTACATTATATATATCAAAGTTTTATATTCCATGAAAAGATCATGTTGCATACTTTATAACTAGTCATGTCCATTACTGACAAATTTATGGATAACAACTTCTTTTATTTTGTGAGTGCGACATTTCCACAGATTCTAGTACCATATGTACTGAAATATTACACTCACAAAATAAAAGAAGTTGTTATCCATAAACTTGTCAGTGTTGTACTTCTCAACTTCTAAAATGCCACTCAAAGAATTAGTGATGTCCATGCTTTACACCCTGTCTCCCCAGGATACCTATGTACACGAAGCCTTCTTCTATTTGTGAAACTAACATAATTATCATCACTACCTATCTTATGAAGGTTAAACTCCTCTTGACTCAATAACATAGATTGATGTTTTGTGAAAACATATTTGAATAATTTACACTCTTAAGTAAAAGACTTATCTGGGTAATTCACAATTAAAATTTGATGTTTCTTAAATTAAATATGATGATGGCATAGTAATCTATACTGTTAGTTGATAAAAGACCTGAAGGTTTGTGCAGTGCCAGCACTTGTATATCAGACATGGTATCTATTCTATCACACTGGGTCAATAGGGAAAGTTGGTGAAGGGTCATTCCTGTAGAACATTCTGGAAACTCCAGCTGTTCTCAGTAAGCAGTCCAGTACCGCACATATAACACATGCATAGCTATAACAGTCACACCATTCCTTGTTTTACATTTTCACATGTGTTTTGGTACTCTGGCATGTTAGTAACAAGATTCATAATTAACAGTTTTCTGATTTTGATTTTTAATACTTTTACAATGGGTCTACGTGACAAAATATCTGGGAAATGTGTGCTGTTTCAAATATGCCTGCTTTTAATTTTAATATAACCCAGATAAACACACCGGGGTGTATTTTGTTTCCATGTCACGGTGTGAAATGGTGATGGAAACCCGTTACGTTGTTTGAAATGCCAAGACTTGACGTGACAAAAAGTATCAAACATAAGATAGGTAAGAGATTTGATTCAACAAAACGTGTTTGAACAACTGCGTAGCAAGTAAAAAAGTCATGCATCTATTTTGGAATTTGTGAGCATCGCGTCCAGACCGCCAGCAAATAAATCGTTTTGAGTGCGAACGCTTAGTCCCAGATAAGGCCTGTGACCTACATCAAGCTCAGCGTAACCGTGCAAAACGAAATAATGACTGCTCCCTGTATCATGGCACCGCGAAAGACCACCAAGCACATGTACATGGAACTTTTATTGAATGGTATTTCTTTTCATCAACCACTTGACTAATATCTTCACTGATTAATTTTCAATATCTTTGTTCGAAACGCACCTCAATAATATAAGGCTGTTAATATTAGAAACTTTATCCAAATTGTTTTGGAGCTTAAAAAGGTAGATGTTTCGATATCTATAACTTTAGACTACCATCATATCCATTGAACAGGAGTATCCCGAACCACTACAACTTACACCTCTAACAATGTCATATCTACAGGTCTATGGTTATCCAAACACGTCCCTAGCAACGAGGTGTTTACTGAGGAACTGGACATTGGCCGATTACAAGAATTACGGCATAGATTAAGATGACTATCGGTTGATCATAGTTCAGATGTTCAATCGAAGTCAGCATACAAGCGCTGTACCTATTCAGACTACAGAATAACTAATATCATAGTTTGTAACTAAAACAATTATTTAAGAAAAGGAAATGCCCTGTGAGGAATGACACAATAAGAGTAAATGAAAACATTAATTGGATGAACGTGAACATGACCTTTTCTTCACTCGACATGTCCTCCGGGACATTTGAATGAATGGAGATTACAAATCTGTAACTGATGCAGTGGAAAAGTGGATATAAGTACAAAGGAAATACTCACGGCTCCAGAAGCAGTATCCAAATAATCCAAGAAGAGAATCACTCCCAGAACTAACGGCAAGTGCCGCTTCAGAAATTCCTTGGGTTTCATGTTGTTAAATGTTAAATCACACTTTGCTTATGCAGAATAATACTATCATAAAGCCTACTGGCCAAAGGAAAGCCAGCAAGCCCCTCAAACTAGCTGTTCCTCGCTATCCCTCACTCCGAGACGGGCTAGTTTCTTCAGTTTTCCACCATCTTGTCTCGAGTTGAGGGAATATGCACCAAACTGCAGACGACAAAATAGGGGCACTATTTTCTCAGGTTTCTGAAAGGCACCGAATTTGGAATATTTTGTCACGGAAATTCCCCACTTTACCAAGTCATATCTCAGTACATGATTAAAGTGGAAAATTTGTCAGTATTGTAGTGCAAGAATTTCCAACAAGACGGACTAACTTCTCTCAGCGGAAGCAGAGTTCCTCCTTTTCCGCGCAAGCCGCCCTGAACTTGTGCCTGTGGGCGGATGCAGCGGGGGGTTGACCTGCCAATCACTCCGTGTTTGTCGTGGGGTAACGGTCCGCTGTACCAAATATCCCACGAGAACTTGGGAGAATTCACGACCGGGCGCGCAAAGAACTGACTGTAATGTGTGGAAAAAGTTCTCCGATTTGAATAATAGACTCTATCTACAAGAGAAAACCCCGTACTTTGTCAAAAAGAATAAAATTAGAATAAAAATCTTCTCTGAGAATTCTGTACCTCACATCAGTAATTTGATCTGCATATGAATTGAATACAATAGTTGCCGTTCTTGTAACACCCTTCTTTAATGCAAGAGTCACGTTACAATGTATAAACAAAGGTCTGTTGTCCATTCAAATTGCCATTGAGTAACATTTCCGATTGAAATAGCGACACATGAGTAATGCGACAAATTCTCAACATATGCTACGACGGCGTGGGAGGGGGTGTGGTTAAGCCTCTTAAACTCCGCCCATTTCCCAAATCTATGCACATCCGCGGAGAAGCACATCGTCTTCCAAGATATTCTTGTGGAAGAACTGGGTGCAGACGACTGAATGTTAGAGAAAAGATTCTAGCGTCTGTTCAAGTGAGGGATTTGATTCTTTGCTGAGTCCAAACTCAGCTAGAAGGACGGCCGGAGCCTTACTTGCTGGCCGTTTGGACATTTTAATTCCCTGTAGATGATTTTGTGTTGCTCGGGTGCCAGTCCCGTGGCTGGCACTGCCAACCTCTTTCATACACATAGAGTACCGAGTTCGTCCCGTAGAATTAAGGCCATGTCTACATGGTAAGTTGAGAATCGTTTCTTTGCCTCTGCAGTTAAATATATTTCTTAATGTGTGTTATAAGTACTTTTCAATGCTGGTACCATTTACCATGTTCTGAATGTCTTCACGCTTCTTTTACCCCCAGGCTGCTTCTCTGCATCTCTGTGGTCGCCTTAGGGACCCTTTCTCAAGGCGTCAGCGCAGTGAGTACAATATTTCATATACACGCTATTAACCAAATTGCATGCTCATAACCACCCACCGATATCATTTTTGCCAATATTTGTGGTGGCACATTTATGGAATAACAGAATATTGACTTCGTTGATGAAGACACGACTAATCTGTTTCATTGCGTTTTTGTTTTTACATGAATAACTACACAATTACGATTGCAGGCGATTTATCCACTCCACGCGATGTTTAGGTGCATGTTAATATAAAAAGTAAAAGTAATATCTGCACAAATATGAACAAACGTTGAACTCTTTAGTTAGGTCGATAACATGACCCAGGGAGCATTTATTATTTCGTTTTGCTCGCGGTCCCAGCGAGGCCAACAGCGCTATCTGTATCAGTATCAACATTTGTGAGGTAGAGTTTAGGGTTTGTTCGGCTTTTGATTGTATGTTTTCATTGTTTATTGTTTCATGGCTAGCTGGTCACATAATTTTTATAGATTACAGTGAGACAGTACGTTTAACCATTATCCTCACTGATACTATCTTCAAACAATGTGAACTCAAGCAAGAATACTGTTGGTTTTTCCTCTGCACAGTGCAATCAATCGTAACAGATCACATAATCTGCCAACTGAAAAATGATAATTAATGCTGGCAACTCAGTCTTTCATAATTGTAGCTGAGAAACAATTTCCTTACATACTGATATGGTTTAACATATTTATATTTCATAAATGAAATTTGTTGATGTAAACTAGCAAAAGAAGGCTTGAAAACATTTAGCTAAGAAAATAACAGATTTCAGTTTGTAAATTACACAAACTTGTTAAAATTTAATATAAGTGTACAGTTAAACAAGCTGTGTCCAAGCAGTATCACATTTCAAAATTTTAACCAGATTACAAATTATTATGCCATGTTTTATACTTCCACTAAACTAACCAGCACTTTGTGTCATTATTTAAACTGAGAGAGGATGAGTTGAGCATTCATTTCAGGGAATTGTAAACCTGATATAATGTAAAATACAAATTTCTTTTTCTGAAAAATTGATTATGATGAGCATGCAAAATCAACAGTATACAAAATATGTTTATTTTTTCATTTAGTAACAAATTTGTAGCCAAATGTTTCTTGATAGGCATTCGAGATAAGATTCATGATTTACTAGTATATGATTTTGATCTCTGAAGAGGATTGAGGACAACAGGAGTTGTCTCCCCCTGGTTCCTCCAGTCCCTGGCATTCCCCTTATTGCTGATTTCCTTCAGACAGAAGGGGTGACTGGATGTGGGGGAGGAGGCAAGATGTCTGCCGAAGGGGAAATTCCGCAGTAGAGGAGGGGAAATGTAACATGGAGGGAATAGTTTAGTTTATAGGTTTAGTGTTATTAAGCAGGAAAAGCATGGGCATTCTTTGAAACAGTACATACAATCATTATTTACGATGATATCTATTGCTATATGTATTGTAACCTAGGACCCAGAGATTTCAACTTAATACTGAAATCAATCACATGTATGTTTTCCTTGACTCCATCACTGTTTCAAAGCTATCTTTATTATAAGATAATTAATCATCTAGCCATGTGTTCTCTTATTAATTCTCTCATTTCATAGAATCATCTGATTAACGAACAATACACTAATTGCATGTATTATCCTAAATATTTTTAACTATAAGGCATATATTTTAATTGAAAATAGAAGTGCTTCAATGTGTGGGTTTTAGAAATGACCCCCATTAAGATACCAATGGCTCCATTAATTATATACTATCTGTGAGTATTTGTCCTGCTGGTCTTGTGTAACAAGTCAAATGGCTACATACAGGTTTTATCAGCAGGTTGTAACGCCGGGCTGTTTGTGGGGCCTGAGCCTAAGTCCTGTGTTTTTGATTCGCTGGGGGATTAATGGCAGCATAATCAGGACAAACAAACACGATTGACAAGTTGTTTGCACATGTGTTGACTGGGATGTCCCCAATTAAAGACTGCATCTCCTCCTTGATAGTCCTGCCTTGCAACTTCATTATGGAAACATTATCCTAATCTGTCTTAGAAACATACACTTTATGTTGGGGGTTCATATAGTATTGAAAATGTAATGTTTGACTAAATATTTCAATGTTTTGGGTTCGATATTTTCGTTTCTTTTCTGGGACATTTTAGTGGCAGGTATTCAGATAATTTTTGAAGGCAACATCTGCATGTGTGAAAACAGAATGATTGCATGAAATATATTGTTTTGTGTTTGTTATACAGATATTGTCTATTTATCAATCAAAGGTGTAATCAATAGATTCATGAATAGTATATATTTGTCTCAAGGCAATTTGTAGTTAATGCAAAAAAAGTAAAAACATTTACATTGTTATGTAAGTTAGGGTGTAAGTTATGTTATAATATGTTTTTTTACATTTTGCAAGTTTCCATTCTGTAGTCATGTGATGTATGGATCATGTTTAATGATCCTGTCTGAGAATAATTACAGGGAACAAAGTTGTCATTCAGACTTATTTCAGTCATTCTTAGTCTCCTATTTAAACAGAATCTTCCTGAAGGGGCACCATCATGTACTTGATCTGAACAGGCCGATGGGCACAGTCATGTCCTTGATCTGAATAGGTCTATACTGGATCTGAACAGGTCTATGGGGCACCATCATGTACTTGATCTGAATAGGTCTAAACTGGATCTGAACAGGTCTATGGGGCACCATCATGTACTTGATCTGAATAGGTCTAAACTGGATCTGAACAGGTCGATGGGCACCATCATGTACTTGATCTGAACAGGTCGATGGGCACAGTCATGTACTTTTTCGAAAATGCCCATGGGACATAGTCATGAATTTGATCCGAACACATCTATGGGACACCATCATGTACTTGATCTGAATAGGTCAATGGGGCACCATCTTGTACTTGATCTGAACCGTCTATACTTGATCTGAACAGGTCTGTGGGGCACTATCATGTACTTGATCTGAAAAGGTCAATGGGACACCATCATGTACTTGATCTGAACAGGTCTATGGGGCACCATCATGTACTTCATCTGAACAGGTCAATGGGGCACAGTCATGTATTTGATCTGAACTGTTCTCTAGGGCACAGTCTGATAGTGGAAGGAACACTTCTAAGAAGACATAGTCCTGTCATGGAGATCATCATTTCTTAACGGCCCTAGTCCTATAGAATGGGCAAGGGGCAAACTGTTTGTTGGAGTAACCATAGTAACAGTGTCTATTCATGAAACAGTCATTTCTAGCCAGTAGCCTGAACAGTTTATTCCCATCCTTACAGGGAACATTTCCATCACACAAGTCATAATATACTAAACAAACACCACCCTGTACACCAGTTTCCTAGTTACTAGAACAATTCCCAACTTCCCAGGTTGATGAGATGGCCTATAAATTCTTGACCAAGATTCCATCTACAGTGGACTGACACAGTCTTCTTCCCAAGTGAATGTTTCACGCCATGACTTGGCAGGGTGCCTGCCAGTCGCCATCTTGATCCCATCACCTTCAGGTGAACAGGGGGATGAGCTCACAGGATACCATCGCATGTGATCTTCACCACTCCATCTCCTGGCGGCCATCTTGGTTCGCCATAACTGGAACCCCCCCAAGTATGCCACATTGACTGAGAACTTTCCCTGACAAGATGAACACTACAGCAGCTGGTGTTGATGCTTCCTACAGACTGGCCAGCGAGCTCAGGCTTTGCCAGAACATCATCAGCATGAATGTTTTCATCCTAGTGATATGCAGATGAAAGACAGAAAAGACAAGTTGGCTTGGACAGAAGGATAACATATCCCTTGAATCACACCTAGCCTCACTTTGAACAGTGTTATTTATATGTGCGGTAGATCATTTGACATGGTCCATCCATACATCTAACCCAACACTTAGTGCAAGATGACTTTTTCAATGAAACTGTGTGAAATAAGAATAGTTCTTAAAAATGATAGTTATGCTCTGTTTAAAGAAGATCTTTCCAGCGACTCAGTGTTTTATCTATGGTATACTAGTATATCAAGAAATAATACTGTGTGCCTGTCTTAATTATGTTTTTGAGATCACTGTTGTCTGAGCAGCTTGACCAGAACCTTGAGTGTTAGGTCCTTCTCATCGTCTTGCTTATCACTACTCTAATTCTGGTGCATAATCAACTTTTTCTTTAGTTGAATAAGAAGTCATATAATGCTGTAACTAAAATATTAGTTTATCAGTATCTGCCGAAAACTGCTGACCTGAAGTTGTCATTTGACATTATTTTCAGTAGATCTTAGAACTTGACCGAAAGATATTTTACTTGACTCTGGTTTTAGACTATCGACCAAATGTCACAGATTGGTTTGTCCAATTACATTCTTACATTTTTCGTTTTTTCATATTAGGACATTATTTTGTTTTCTGACTCGGCAATAGGACTGCACAATGTTCCAGTATACGCTTTGCAGGTTATACATATAGCAGCATTTTTGTGATGACCGTTATATTGGTTGAAAAATACATGAAGTTTTGTTATTATCTCTTGTGTTTTATGTTAAAATCTACACAGACTTTCAAAGATAGTATATTTAAATGATATATATGATTACATTCAAATGGTTTCTTAGCACTAAGTTAGCAGTCTGAAGAAAATTAATTTTGTGAATCAAATTACAAGAAACTAATTACTCTGATTTGTTGATAATATTTTACATTATCATAACAAGTCTAGCATGATTGCCAAACCAGTGATTTTGCCCAATGGCAGTAGCACCTTATTGTGATTTTATATAAATCAATGGGACATTATCATGATTTTATCATCAGTCAGAAGGATATTGTCATGATATTTTCATTGTTCAAAAGAACGTTATCCTAGATTTAACATCATTCAAAGAATTGTTTCCGTATATTATTACCATCTTCAGCACGTTTTAAGTGACAATTGGTCAATGTCATAGCAAATGAACTGACCATATACCTTGCATAATGACTTCACAAATATAGAATCATTTT